ATGAGGCGCCCGCCGCCGGCGCTGCTGGTGCCGCTGCTGCTGGTGCTGCTGCCGCTGCTGCGCGGACCGGGCGCGGCGGCGGCGGCGGGCGAGCGGGCGCACTACGGCGGCGACGGCGAGCACCTGCCCGACTACGACCGGGAGGCGCTGCTGGGAGGCCAGGTGGGGCCGCGCGGGCGGCTGGGCGCCTCGCCGCGCTCGCCGCCATGCGGGGGGCGCCGCGTTGGGGAAGGCGCTGCGCGCCCCGCGGGCGGGGGCCCCGGATTTCCCCGGCTTTCCGGGCGGCGGGACGCGGCGGGAGGGCGCGATGCGCCAGCGGGACAAAGGCGTCGCCGGCCCGGCGCAGCCGCCCGCGGCCCAGCCGCCCGCCCGCCGGCCGTATCTGCTCCGCGCGGATCGCGCGCAAGGAAAGCGCCTGCGAGCGCTGCATGGCGCTGCATGGCGCTGGGGAGGGCGGGGGCCTCCGCACGTGCAGGATCGTGCCCTCAGGGCCTTGTTGGGGCGTTTGTCTATCGCGCACTGCACGGGCCTGCACCCGACTGCGCCCTAGGAGTGGCCTCCCTCCCTCTGGGTGGAAAGGTGGTCTGAATTTTGGGGTGGGTTTTGGGTTGGTGTTGGAGATGCCAGGGAGGAGGAACGTTATGCCTCATGTTCAACACATTGCAACGAGAGGTGCAAATATTTGAAACACCTGTATGTTTGTACGAAATATAAACAACCCCCTCGCTCTCTTTTACTGTGGGTACATGAATGCCCATTGAAAAGTGAGATACGAACCTTCTAAGTAAATAAATCTATGCGCTGTGTTTACAATGCCCTTAGTTTCTGCAAGGTATGGTGCCTTAACTGCAATATTATGTACACCTCGGAATACCTTTAGTAGATAATCCTACGCAAATTGAGTCAGAAAAGTCATACAACTCCGATGTTGCCACCCAGCCATAGTATTGCAGAAGTTCCATGAACTTTCATCATCTGCCTTTGAGACAAAAGATGTGTGCAGTTATAACTTCCAAGTGTAGTCATGACTAGTGTACTCAACAGTTCAGCGGGTTTTTACGAGATCATTGAATAGGATTTCACGATCAGAGATTTAATTCCAGGGAAGTTGAACCTTGACAGAAACAAAATTTGAGTGTCGCCCATGCCCCAAATAGGTGGAAATGGAGATGAGGATTTTCTTTGAGTAGGAACTTAGATGTGGGGTGTGGAACAGCAGCTAGAGTGTCGGACTGGGACTTGGGAGAGCCATATTTTAGTTGCCACGAGGCCAGAAATCTCATCTGGGAATTTTGAAAGTCACTGATTTTGAGCCTTACCTCGTGTATGGTAGAATAAAATTAAGAGGGGGAGAAATATCTAAGTTATCTTGGGTGGAGGGAAAAAGTGGAATATAAATGTAGTGTAATCATCATTTGAATTACTTCTCTTTCCCTCCAAAGGAAGAGGTGGAAGAGTTCGCAAAGCTGAATGCAGAAGAGCAGCAGAAGAGGTTGAAAGGTATTATAAAGAAAATTGATGTGGACGCTGATGGATTCCTCACTGAAGGTACAGCAGATTTATCTTACAGTGCGCGAAGCAGCACGCACGATCACTTGTGAAAAATTCCCCTGCTTGTACTGGTCTGTAAAGAAATGGTATTAGCCACAATTAAAATGAAAATACTAATAAGTCTGACACTCTGCAAAGTCCAGCAAGAATTTATTTTATTGTTTTAATTGTACGTTTGTGGGCAGAGATGCCGAGGCATGTGGTGACGGCATATAAGAGTTTCACATAAATAAATAAATATCCTAATTATACAGGTGCTTTGAGGTGCTGGCTGGCCTATGTATGCCACTGACTTTGGCTGCAACTCTCTGACAAACCTTTGCCTTGTTATTCCAGATCAGTGTGTGGAACTCTGCCCTTTATTCAGCTTTGCTAGTCTGCACTGCCCTTGCTTCTGAAGTGGTCCGTGTCCTTCTGCTGGGCGGCCTGCATCTTTCCACATTCTGTCTTTAGGTCACCTTTTTTGGTCTTTTTGTCCTTGCACTCACCTTCCTTTTTTTCAGCCTACTGTGTGTTCCTGCTAGGGTTGTTTAGCTACACTTTCTTCAGCTTCTTCGCGTTCAAGGGTTCTCTTTCCACTCCGTTTCCCATCATCCCCCTTTTCCTTTTGCCATTTACCTATAGCACCTCCTAAGTTCTGACTAAGCTTTTCGCTCCTCCGACTTTCCTTGTCTCCAAGTTTACTATTTTTATCACCCATCCACCCAAAGTATTTGACTTTGAAGATGTATAGCCTGCTTTTGCTAAAACAATCCTTTAAAATTGCGAACTACAAAAAAAAGCCTCACAAATGCAAAAGAAATCAGCCTTTGGCTGAAGAATAGTTGAAGGTCTGTAGTTTGAGGACAAACGGACCATTGCAAAGGCAACATTCCACTCTGCCCCTAAAACAACCTTTTAAAAATATTTATTGGGAAGAAATCCTTTCTAATTATGTTATGGGTAATATTTACAGCTGAGCTAAGTTCATGGATCCAACAATCGTTTAAGCATTACGTTGTGGAAGATGCTAAGCAGCAGTTTGCCGAATATGACAAAGATGGCAATGGATATGTATCCTGGGAGGAATACAACATTCAGATGTATGATCGTGTGATAGACTTTGAAGTCGATGCCACTTTGGAAGACACCGAAGAAGAATCTTTCCGGCAGGTGAGACACAAAAGCACTGCTCCCCGTTAAAGCAGACATTTAGAAGATTTCTAATACAGGTATTTATAAAGCTGGACCATCTCGCAAGGACCGTTTCCCTCCTGCAAATGAGAGAAGGGAAGAAAAACCTCTCCTCGTGTGTGTATGAGCTAAAAGCAAGCCGCCTGTTTTCTTAGCAGTGTTTCCATGGACACAGTTTTAATCAATTGATAGACAGAGATTTCTGTCGTCAGGTAATAGCCTGATGGATTGCCTGTCAAGAAGGCTGCCCAGCTCTGCTTTGCTTTAACATTGGTCAAGATGGAAAATCGTGGGGCATCTCCCATGTCAGCCCTACCTAGAGTAGGCCCATTGAAATGAATAGGGTTTGACTTGGACCCCTTGATACAGGAAATATTAAATGGAGACACTATTCAAAAGCAGCCAGTTGAGTAAAACAGCGAGCCACTGAGAGAGGCCCCACTGTAGCATAACTTAATCTTAGTTTAAAGATGCAGCATTTTAAAGTGATTAACCATCTTGAAGACAAATAGAATACCAGCTTCTAAAGAGCGTGCGCTAAATTATGTCAGACCAGTGGACAGTACATAACTAGCTCTTCTGCAAATTGTTTTATAAGCTCCACTTAAAGGACAAGAAAAGGTTTGAACGGGCGGATGAGGATGGAATTTCTGGCCTGAATCTGGATGAATTCATAGCATTTGAACACCCCGAGGAAGCTGAATACATGAAGGCAAGTTTTTAGACAATCTAGGAAAAATTTCTATATACTGCAGCATAACTGCTTTTAGATCAAAATATGCTTTTTTTCTATGTGTAAAAACTGATTTGTTTCTTCTTCCAAAGACTCATTACTGGGTTGTACGTGAATGTAGATTTGAAGCTTTAGGAAAATTGATAATGGATATAATAGCAAATGTGAGGTAAAAAGCTTGGATCAGTTAATCAGTGTTAAGGGCAAGAAGAGCATCAAACCATAGTTCTGTAAGAGGGAGATGGGCAAAAGTGAAATAAAGACAATTTTCATTTTCAGCTGGCTCATGGATTTTTTAATAGGGCGTTTAATCTATACAGCTTCCTTAGTAAGCCTTTTAGCATCCAAGGCAAAGTAAAGTTTTTTTAGTGGAAAAGTTACCTATTGTTTTCTATTACTTTTCTTTTGGAGGTCAGGTTAGTTTTGGGACTGTAAACCAAGCATATTGAGTTCATCTTGAAATTTGTGTATATTGTTTGCAATAAAGGCTTCGGCGAATGGGGCGGCAAAAAATGTTTTAAAAATAAAAAAAATAAACCAATAAAATACTGAAGTTTGGAGTGAAACAATTTTGTTCAAATAATGTGATTTACTCTCACTTTATTATAATAGCAAATATATTTATTGTCCATGGGTGGTACTGTGTACTTTCTAGGGCTGCTCTGATTTCAGATTCGGTGGCTCAAACCTTAAAAAAAGGATTGCAAATGGTGGCGTAATTTCAGTCAGTGAGAGAAAGGGTCAGTTAAGATCACAGAGTTAAGTCAAGTTTCCAATTTTTTATACATTTTCGGTACAGCGTTACAGCTCTGACCTTCCTGTGCTATCTTCGCAATGGTGTTATCGCAGCATTGCAAACATAAGGTGCTGCTTCCTTATTTCCCCAGCACACGAGTGTGGTGTCTCTTCTTAATAGAGCCAGCGAGTTCGCTATGAGCAACTGCTTATTAATGCACGGCACATTCCTTCCAGGGTCTTGTGTTTTCCTTGGAATTCAGTCCAATTATCTGATAAAGACGATCATAGACGCATTCTTTTAGCTGCTGTGTCGTGGTGGTTAATGGATCGGCATTACCTTCTCGCTATTCCTTCCCCTCGCTAGGAGTTCGTGATTCAGGAGGCGTTGGAAGAACATGATAAAAACGGAGATGGATTTGTGAGCCTCGAGGAGTTCCTGGGTGACTACAGAAGAGATCCAAGTGAGTGGGAAGAGGTCAAAACGCCATCAAGAAATTCTGCTGTCAGAGTTCAGCTACTGCTAGGAACCATAATTGTATATTTTGTAAACAGGAATGTAGATGTACCGGCACTATATTTTATGGTTGCTTGTTTTTAGTCACAATTTGTCAAAACAACATTGTACATTAGGTTGAGCTGATTAATGGTGCGGAAGTAAATTTTTGACAAAGTCAATCCCATCTTTGTGACTCAGAATATAACGTCTTGTTAGGCTATTTTTTTGAAAATTCTTATTTTTCCAAGTGTCCAACAGATGTGATCTGGTTACCTTAACTGTATACTTATTTTTTTCCAGTATGTGCATATAGTCATCAATATAGGTTTGGAGAAATAACAAAAGTTCCAAGTGTATTGTATTTTTGCCTATTTCTAATATCTTTTTAGGGGGAAGTTATTTTAGCTCTTCTCATACGTATAATTTAGGGAGAGAGTATCGCCCGTTCACCAGTACTTTTAGTTCATTAGCTATCCTGGGAATATTTTCTGATACGAGTACAAGTTCACACATAATTTAAATGATTTTTGTTTTTAATTCGGTATGTTTTTAAAAGGTATGGTTTAAAATCCGTGTGCCTTGTTAAGAATTATCATTTTAATTTCTTTAAATCTAATGCCTGGAAGCTGTGAGTGTCCACTGAACAAAAAGAAAAGATATAAGTATGTAACATTCGTTTTAGCTGCCAGTGAAGAGCCAGAATGGATAATCGTAGAGAAGGATCGGTTTAAAAACGATTATGACAAGGATAAAGATGGAAGACTCAACCCTCAAGAGCTACTAAGCTGGGTAGTTCCCAACAATGAGGGTATTGCACAGGAGGAGGTAAAACCCTTTACATTTTTTGCATTTCAATGGCTGGAATCGACTGCAGAGTTGCATGTACATTTAAAGCTCCTTGGGAAGCGATCCAGTGATGTGCTCTCTAAGCACCTGACATAACCTATCAGTGTGCTACATAAAAGGTTGAACAGGGATGCAGCAATGATGTGGGTCTCTCCATTTCGACAGCATTTTATTTTCTGCAACATTCACAATAGGAGAGGGCGCAGTTGTGCTTTATTAACATGGGCGGAAGTAGTTTGAGGTCCGTGCACATGGCGGGCATGTCGTGAGCGGAGCTGGCTGGAGCCAGGGGTCAGACTAGATGGCCCGTGAGGCCCCTTCTGAGTCGCTGTTTCTATGATTCCACAGGAAATTTGATACTTGTTCCAGAAGCAAATGGCGAGCCTTGGATTGTGGCCATCAACCTTTTGATTTGGATTGGGAGTCTTCTTAAAACCAGGGCACTGTTTCTCTGTCATGCTAGCGGGACCTCTATTAAATAGGAAGATGTGACTTGAGGATTTGCCCAGAAAACCTAAACTTTGCATAAAGTTTACCAGCACCTACTTTAATGAAAGGAAGTAGAAAACCACGACTAGAAAGCAAAACTGAAATTAGCTTGTGAAAGCAGTACCGTTACTTCAAGAGAGAGGGAGCTTATATAAAATATACTGAAATGATTTTATTCTACAAGCAACTGGGTATTTTTCCCAGAAACTAATAGGGAACACAGACTGCTGCCTTCAAGCCTCTTAGTAGTAATTCTGTAGGAACAGATGGATTTTCTAAGAGTGTCTTGAAGGCAATCAGAAAAATACAATTAAAATGGCTAACTCTTTACTGAACAGGTCTTTGAGATGTGGATCAAGGGAGTTAACAGGCTGTTCAAGCAAAAGTTGACATGAAATAAAATCAGTCGTCAGTGCCGGAAAAAAGGAGGTGGTTTCCTTCCATAAGGGGAACCTAAGGCCATGATTCTAAATGTACAGGAGCATGTCCCATATGAAATTCTGTGGGAATACTTCAGTGTAATGGCTGCAGTTGGATATAAGCTGACATCACATTGCTGGAGGTATCCACTCAGTTGCCTTTAGTATGCCTTATTTTCAGGGAAATGGGTATAGGATGATAGTTTGAAGTACACTCAAGTCGTGTCCATTGCATTTAGGAGTGAGGAAGGGAGGAAAGACACATGGGTGAAATCCCAAAGCATTTACATGTCAGTGCTCAAATTAGTCTTTTTCCTTTTACAGGCTGCCCACCTGATCGAGGAAATGGACCTGGATGGTAACAAAAAACTCACGGAAGCTGAGATTCTTCAGAATCAGGATCTCTTTCTCAACAGTGAAGCCACCGATTATGGCCGGCAGCTCCATGATGCAAGCTTCTACCATGAAGAACTCTAGTTTCCGAGAGACTTCATTTTGCTCCTTTTATCCCAGTGTTCAATCTTGAGTGTTTTGCAGCTTTGAATGCAATGATACAAATGGTATATGTGACGTTCATATATTGTTGTACGCAACGGTTTCTTCTCTTTGTTCATTGCCCTCACTGTTTTAGCTGCCAGGTTTTTGGTATTACAAACCCGTACCACAAGAATGGGAATTTTTAATCTTCCTATTTTAGTACTGTTTTTTTGAAATATACTTGAAATGGCAAAGATTTGACAACACTAAATAATTTCCACTGGTTCATGTTAGATTTTTTAAAATGCAAAAGCGGAGAAAGTGTCTGGTTTTATGTTGATAATAATTCTTCTGTATGATTATTCAGGAGAAATAAAACCTTACTTGTAAGGGTTCTGCATATAAACTTCAGTAGTAGAGGGTGTTTATATGATCTGGAAATATTTTTGCATCTAGATAGCATTTATTTTTATTGTAAAGATTTAGCTTTAGAAAGTGTATTGTATTTAAGTTAAAACAGTATTCCAAACACTTGGATTAAAACACTCAAATTGCCCTATTTCTTGTTTGTGTCATTTTTGGTGTGACTCACATTTATCCTCATCCAGACCACAAAGCGCCAGGAAACTCAGTATAATATAGAAAAAGATACGAATGCAACCTGTTAAAACGGATGCTCTTTTCCAACAGTGGAATACTCAAAATTCTAGTATGACCTGCTTAGCTAAACCTGTCTTCATCTTCCTGAAAGACTGGATGGTGAAGGACAGAGAGATCTCAAATGTCATCCCGCATCCAGGGTACTACAGCTGGGGGGCCCTCCCTTGGCACCCCCTCATCTCGGACCAAGGTGATCCACGAGGGAGTGCCTGCAGAGCAGAACAAAGTTCCTGCAAAAGAGCAAGAGGAAGGAAGGTGCAGTTTTGTGGAAGAAAAGAAACTAAGAGCAACTTGCTTCTCATGTGTATAGAAAAGCCATTCAGACCCCATGGCTGCTCATGGCTACTGGCCCCAGATCCTGTTCTGCCTGAGGGGTGGAGGATCCAGCGAGGAGGCCTTCCTGCTTCACCGTCGCAGGCAGAGGCAGGCCAGCCGGGGTGGCTGAGCTGTGGCTGCCACCGCACCGGCGGGCTCAAGCCACCTCGACCTCGCCACCTCGCTGCTGCTGCGCACTCCCCGGCGCCTGCGACCCGACTGATCATCAGCTGGGAGGAGGGCTCCAAAGTCATTCCGAAAAAAATCTGGAGGCACGTTACAGAATTTTGGGGGAGGAGGCCAAGAGAGCTGCTTACAGGAAACTTTCAGCTTCTTATATGGCACGAACACCAGGAAGCGCTGATTGAAATCAAGCTGAGATGGCGGCCCTAGACATCTTGGCATGCGAGGCAAGGAGGGCTGAGGGAAAGTGGGCTCGGAGGTCTGGACCGGGAGCTGTGAACAGGCTTTGCGGCTCCCCTGAAGCACGCAGTTATCGGGGCTGAATGTGGTCCCCAGGGGCCGGAGGGTGGGTTGTGGGCCAGTCGGACAGCGATCCAAGGGCAGTCGATCATTAGGACGGCGGAGACTCCAGAGCAGACGGGAGAAGGCAGAGATAAGAGCGGATTATTTTCATCGGCTATATCCAGGCAACACAACAAGGCTTGATTATTATTGCTGCCCAGTTCATTCTAGCTCAGTTATGGTATTTATTGAGGTAGGATTGGACTTCAGAAACCCTGACAAGCAGCCATGGCTTGTTTGATGGTTTCTCCATAGCGATATAGCTTGCTGTGTTGTCTGAACCCTGGATCACGCTTTCCATGGTCCTGGCATGCCACGACCAGAGAGTCCCCTGGAAAGAACAGCGACTTGAGGAGCTCCTCAAGCTCTCCGGCCTGTCTGTGTGGACCACGGAGGAAGAGGCAGGCAGCATAAGCAGGGAGAACGGCACCCTGGGATGGAATTTCAGGTGTGGTGGCTGATGGGATACATGCTAACCGTAGTTGGACTGAGCAGGGAGAACGGAAACCGTGGGAATGGCGAAAGCGCATGGCAGAAAATGCCAAGTAATCACACAGGGTTGCTTGTGTTGTGTGAATCCAGCCCGGGTTACATTTTTATCCTATCTTTTCCTCTCCTTTAAGGGGAGACTAAATCGCCCAGGGACGTTCATGGACAGGAAGGGATTAGAACCGGGGCATCCTGAGTCCCTCTGTAATCACAACGCTCTAGTGACTTGCACGCTCGTTTGCAGATAGCCTGTGTGGAAATACTTGATCGGCTATTTCTGGCACAACCACACATGCATATCTTAACGTTTTCTATAAATAATGCATCTCTGTGCGAGTTACCTCTGGCAGCTTAAATGCAGAGAAGAGGCTTATTTGAGTACGGAAATCTAGCAGAAAAAGGCTTTTGGGTCTGCCTTGTTTTCAGAACAAATCAAGATTCCTCTTCCTCCAAGTCCGAGCATAAGAGAAAGGCGCTGTAACTTCCTCTTTATAATCTATGCAAGTTTAGGGATTTTGGAGAAATAGGGGAGGGGATCCTTACAAAACGTTGTTCCGTCCTTTCAACTCGAAGGTTCGGTCTGTTTTATCATGTCAACACATTCTGTCCCCTAATTCTGCTGTGAGCGTGCATATATCCACGCAGCCAGGGTGACTTAGACGGCAATTGTCGGCATGTAAAGACAGAACGGTCCTGCAACACTTATGTTCCCCAGCCGAGCTAGGAACACTGCAAGTTGTAGGACTCCTGCTGTCTCGACAAACATTGGATTGGGCCCTTCAGACCGAGCATGTGTGATTGGCACCTGCCCTGGAGTGCGTTGGGAAGTTGAAATGCATGGGGCCTAAGGAATTGCAGACACTGTTCTCAGGAGGAAGAATCGGTTAAGAGCAGCGAAGCAAAAGCTGAGGGGCAGCAGCTTGAAGACAACTGCTTCTGTAAAGCCTTAAGCCACTTTCGTGGGGAGCGAACGGTTGGCTGGTTTTGTCAGGCCGAAAGCGCTTTCCGCTCCTCCAGATGATTTGTATTTCAACTCCAACCAGCTCCCCAACTGGTTATGCTGCCAGAGGTCTCTGGGAGCTGAAGCCCCAAACATCTGCAGATCTACCGCTGGCCTTGGACCCAGCTTTAGCCCTCCTGTGATCAGAGGAGTAATTACGGGTAGAAGACCAAGCAGGAGCGTTCCAACAGCAGTTACTTTTCGGATTCGCAAATTTGGCCTATTCCATTTGCTTACGGGGACTGACTAATGTGGGAAGAAACCTGACAGTACCTTATGCCAGTGGCTGGGCTGCCTGTCACAAAGCCTGCATGAATAAACTGACTGATTTCATTTGAATGGATGCAGAGGAAGTGAGTTTGCATGACTGATACCAAGCTGACTGCTCTGGAGAGGTGGGTGCCGCCCTTCTAGAGCAGCATAAGGGCCTTTAGTATCTAGCTTGAAGGAGAGAACAGCTTGCTGCAAGAAGCATCATGAGCAGATCCCCTGCTGGCTATTCCTACTTAAGAGAGGGAAAGGGGACTTAGGGGGAGACCCAGTGCCCCCTGCTGCAGAAGCATGGAAGCCCCAGACCCCACCCCCTGGCTGTTCCCCCTCTCTGAGGCCCTGTTGCATCCTTGGATAAGGAGCTGGCCTGGAGCCCTCCAAGTTGGAGGTGGGGAGGTGGGGCAGGGGCTCAGCCATCAGAGACCCCGGCTCCAAGTTTGCAAGACCTCAGAGCGAGGGTCCGAATAGTTCTGCAGCCTCACTGGGAAGTTTGGGATGCCACGGGGTTTTATTTGGGTAATTTTTACCCCGTCCAATACCCAGTGGGTCTCAGGATGGCTTACAGTTCAAATCCCATAAATACATAGATACCCAAATAATCTAGTATAAATGATCCACAAAATGAGCATAAAAGCATAGCTAAAATTAAGCATTAAAAGTATGGAAGAATAAAAAGGTCTTGACCTGGCGCCGAAAAGCATGTAATGTTGGAAGGCACCGGGGCATTCATAGGTGGGGTGAACATTGGCCCAGCTTGTGTGAGACGACGCAGGCATACCGTGGGTGGTGGAGCCCCTGATGGGCTGGGGCATGAGCCAAGGGCCAATTCAAATTGTTGCTGTTAGTCGCGAAGTCGCATCCGACCCCTCGCGACCCCATGGACAACACTCCTCCAGGCCCTCCTGTCCTCCGCCATCCTCGGAGTCCACCCAAGCTCACACCGACTGCCCCAGTGACTCCATCCAGCCACCTCATCCTCTGCCGCCCCCTTCTTCTTTTGCCATCTATTGTTCCTTTGCCATCTATTGTTTGCATTTGCCAATTCAAATATGCAACCGCTAATTAGAAGGCTCCTGTGTTGTGCAAGTGTGAGCACCATGGGTTATCCGAGGGTTTCACAACCTTGCATGATGGGCTATGAGAGTGTTGCTTCACCGTCAGTTAACCACCCTGGCCGGCTTCACGAGAACTGGCAGCTCAGTACGGTGCAGGGGTTAAGATGGCAGGACGGGGACTTGGGAGATGCAGGTTCTCCTCCCAGCTCAGCCATGGAGCGAAGGCGGTGCCTCTGAGCCAGTTACAGACTCCCAGCCCAACCTACCTCACAGGGCTGGCGCTGTGGGGATAAGATGGAAAGCAGGAGGGAATGATGGTGTGAGACATTTGTACGAAAAAAGGTGGGGTATAAATCTAGGAAATAAATAAATGCCCACCCCCATCACCCTGATTGGGGTAGCATATTCAAAATTGTACCTGGCATATACACGTAGCTTGTTAACAGGTGAACAACCAACAGCCTGGAATATCAGGTGAACCTGGCCAGAAACGCAAGTCTCTCCTGCCCAGACGGAACCAGGCCTGCTCTCTCTCTCTCTCTCTCTCCCCTGACAAATGGCAGAAAGCATGTTTGGGGGTTGTATGAAAAGTGGCCAGTTATGCATCTCCCAGAAAGGGGAAGTGCTTGACTCAGCCAGAGGGCAAAGGAGATGCAAATTTGTATCACATCTGCTCTTGCTGGTTCTTATGCTGAATTTGGGATCTTGGAGGAAAGAGCAAAGAGGAAGGAGAACTCCCAATCTGTGCCAAGAGCCCACGTGCTCACCTGAAAGCGGTATTGGTGAGCTGTTCTTAGGATCCAGGTAAGTAAGGATTCTTGAAGCAGCTCGCTGTTTCCAAACCTGTATTAGGATACAAACCCTATTCAAATCTTGGTCTGTTTGCATGTTGGGCTAAACTGGGAAGGGGGAAGCACGGACGGACGCATGTCAGCTCCCCACGCCTGTAACACTTCTGAGCGCTCAGTTAGTGTCCAGTTTAACCCCTGCACATGGAGTGGGAAGGACATGTGGGACACACCTGGCTGGCCCAAATTAGGCGAGGCAGTCCCAAGCATCCTCCATGCTAACAGGGCATCGCCAACCGCTAGAGATGGAACGACCTCCTGCCGAAAGTTCTCAGCCTCCCAGGTAGGTGTGGAAGCCACCTGAATTCAAACATGCCCAGAGGAACTTGGGGTGGGCATTTTAACCCAGTAAGAAGTTGTCTGGGCTACCTGGTCAGCCAAGGGACTTGCGCCATGTGCCCGGGGTGGACGGCCATTTCGCTGGCATCAGACGTGTCCTCGAGAATAAAACAGACTCTCTTTCCATCTCTCACCCTTGTTGTGCTTAACTGGGCTGCGTGTGCCAGGCCTGGTCTTCCTGAGTGTGTTTAGCGGCACGGGCTTACAAACCCGTGTCTGAAAACCTGCTGTGGGGCACAGGAGAGCTGTAACTGCAGCCTGCTGAATGAGCGGACAGAACCCTCTTCAGACCTTCTCCGAATGTGCAAAGGGCGGTTCAGAAGCAGGGCTGCTGTGGAGGGCGCCAAAACACAGACTCGTGCCCCCTGCTGGGTACGGCCCTGCATGCGGCCTGGTGTATCAGCAGGGATGCAGAGGGCCTGAAATCCAGTGGCTTGGTTTGTCTAATGGAGCATGAGATCTACTCGTCTTCCAGAAGCCCTTGTTGAAGAACTTGGCACTGCATGTCTCCTTGAATTGATTTCCCCCTTTAAAATGTTTCCAAGGCCTCTTTGTTTTCTAGCAACTCACTCTCCTCCACTCTCTCTTTCCTGTTCAGCAGAAAAGAAAGTATTTGCCCTTCGTGACAAAGCTCGGGTTTTCTTGCTAAATATCCGGGAAGCGCTCTCCATCCTATTCCCTCCGCAAATGACATGAGGGAGGATGTGGGCACACTCGGGCCCACACTGCGCCTGAATCACTGCCTTTGAAACGCCTGGGCTTTAAGGACACCGGGGAACGTCCCCATTAGTATTCCAGCGGCACAGCGCTTGGGCTTCTCCCTCCATTCATCGCCACAATGCAGGGTATGAACGGCGGCCCAGGAGCTCCGGGCTGATCCAGGCGGGCGAGGCAGCGGCCAGAGTGTCCTCCGAGTTCCCTCGCCTTTGATCAGGGTTGGAAAATTCTTCCGTTATTGCAGCATTCACTGAGGCTGCAATACTGCAGCTTCGCTTCCTGTGTGTGTGCATGATCCCTGCCCTGCGTAAAAGAGGACCGAAGCATGCACGTGTGCGTGCGCACACACAAAACATGCCTCGCGTCAAGAAAGACCTGTGGTCAACAGCACAGACTTGATCTCAGACACCTTCCTACAGTAGCTCGGCTTTGTCTTTGCAGCAGAGAGCTCTGTTGCATTTGGAAATGTAACTAGTTTGGGTTATTTATTTGTTTCTCTCTCTTTAGTGTCTTATTTGCTCATTTCTGTTTCCGTATTTCAATATTCGCCGCTTGCCAGAAATGAGATGGGCTTAACCTCAGTGAAGCGAGGGGGGGGGTGGAGCGAGAGGAGGAGAAAACGAACGGGAGACCTGTGAGGTCTGGGGTTACTTTTCTTTTCTGAGCTGCAAGTCAGCGCGCACTGAGCTTCCTCAAACTGCCTGGTGCTATTTTGCAAGCTGTAAAGAGAACATCTCGCTTCGGCGCACGGTGCCAGCAGAGCTGTTCTTTCCTTCCAAGTTCTCACACGCCGGAGCTCATGTGCCAAAAGTAACCCATTTGAGCTGCTCGCCATGGCGCACCTGCAGTTTAAAGATACCTTTTGGGTAAGTGCTGATTCCTTGTGCTCCATCTTGGTAGAAATGAGAGAAGCAAACTCTGTGTTGTGAATTAGGTCTTCCTGTGAACGGGGCACCTGGGGCCGATGGTCGTGATTCTTTGGACGAGTTTGGCTGAGCGGATTCAGTTTGCTCTCTGGGCATGCTTGCAAACTGGTAGTTGGGGAAATTGCAGGCCAAAGCACAAAGATCGACCTGTGGGTCTTAAGTTAAAAGTATTTTCTATTCCAGACTTTGAATTGATTTTCATATGTTTTTTAAAAAAGGATCCTCCCTCCCTCTCTCTATCAAATTTCAAGCTATTTACCTCTTTTTCTGAAGTGCCGGCACGATCGAACATGTCTGTTGTAGTAAACCATTCCTGTTTCCATTTTCTGCCGAACATTTCGTGTTACATGCACCACGTTGCAAGAGCAAGCTTTATCTTGAAAAACACACGAAGCCACACGAGCAATGCTTTATGCAAAATGCAAAATGCATTATGCAAAGATTCCCCACACTCGGGGGTGCTCCTATCGCACTGGGAACGGCTAGTTTCTTTTGAAAGCACTGAGAAGAGCCGGGCTCAGCTGAGCACCCGGCCCAGCTCTTCCCTTCAAGCAAGATGCCTCTGGGAAGCTCCACTTCTGCGGCTGCTCCTCATCTTGTCATCGCCTCTTGCCTTTGGACGGCCGACTTCAGAATGAAGCAGTGGGCAAGAAAGGTCCCTTCTTGCAGGGGAATTTTTCTGGCTTGGTGTCTCACATGCGCAGGCCTTTCAGAGGGACGGGGACTCCAGGAAGAGGTGCGGGCGCATCTTGGAAGCAGCCCCGTCGCACCATTGCTCTGTTCCCCAAACTCATCAGATGTCTCGGGCTGTGATGCCCGATGAGGTAGGGCCATGATGGGCGTCTGTTTCACAGATCCGGAGGGAGTGTGCACTCTTGCAAGCTGTTCGTGGCCATCTGTGTTGACTTCCCTGCCCTTCTGGCCCGACGGCATGGCACCGATCCCTGCCCTCACCGCCTCAAGTGGTCCGACGTTGCACAGCTGCGGGCACACCTGTCCTCACACAGCCCTCCTGGTCCCGTGCCGGGAGGTGTTGCCCTGCCCCGGCTCAGCCCAGCGGAGGCTCGTGAGGACGCCTGCCGAGGCGGCTGGAAGCGCCGGTCCAAGCCAGCCCTTCCCTCAGGCGCACTGAGGGAGCAGCACTAATGCGATCGTTAGCTGAAGCCGCAAGAAAAACAGAAGGACCGTTCAGTGTCAAGCAGCACGACAGAGCTCCATTTCCGGCCTGCCAAAGCAAATAAGGAAACCCACAGCAAGGTAACGTAATTCTCATGCTCGAGCAAGAGAATGTAGCAGAGGGCCTGATGTGCCCTCGTTCCGTAAGGGCGTTCCTAGGGGGCAAGACCCACAGAACCGGCTTTCTGATGGCCCACATCAGTCAAGGTAGCTTTCGGTGGCCTGCTCAGGCGGGAGGGCGGCCGCACAGCGCTTTATCAGCGCTGGCCTCACGCCCAGCCACCTCCCGCTCATTTCTGTTTCTTCGTTTGTTGTTGTTATTTTGACGGGGAGGCTGGCACGCCGCCAAAGGAAGCACAGCCCTGGAACACCGAACATCTTCGCTGCTTTGTGCTTCTGGCACTCCGCCCCGCCATCGCTTCACCCTTTGGGCAACTTCCTTCGGTTTTCATCTCACCCGTTTGCACCCTGGGGAATGAGCGTCCAATCACCTTCGCGATTGGTTATACCAACTGTGGTAGCTGCTTGATGAATGGCCAGGTCTCCCCCGCCCTGCAGCAGCCATTTTGTGAGAGTGCCCATGACTGTCTCTCAAAATTCCAAACAGGCTCACACTTCCAGAAAGGTCAGGGACCCCTGCTGGAAGTCAGAGCTGCACCCGCTAAGCCGTCTACGGCTTAGTGTGGTGGAGCTGGCCAGCACTGGAGTGAGATTTGACTGTCGTGGGTCATCTCCTGTCCACAAAAGCTTTTTTGCATCAGGCGGCAGAATGCAGGTGGTGGAAACAGGAGATTGTGCCAGTCATTTCCCTTCCCATTCTGAAAGAATACAAGGCCGGGGAATATTGTGACCTGCCACAGCATTGCACGGGTCTTTAGTCTCCTGGCTGGTGGGTGAGTCCATTTGCTCTCCTCCTGCTAGTCTTTCTCTCCACTTCTAGGCCCACATCAGGGCCAGGATGGGCCGTGGGGCAAGGTGGGTGTGGAAGGCCCCTGCGCCAAATACTGGCCTTGCGCGTTTGGAATTTACTCATCAGTTGTTCCGCTAATGTAGCTCATGCTCACCTGTAGCTCCTCCATCGCACACACCTGGATCAAGCCTATATAGAGAACCAGTGTGGTGCAGTGGTTAAGAGCACAGGACTGGGACTCAGGCAATCCGGGTTCGAGTCCCCGCTCGGCCATGGAGCCAACTGGGTGACTTTGGGCCAGTCACAGATGCTCAGCCCAACCTACCTCACAGGGTTGTTGTGGGGATCAGATGGAGGAGGAGATGTAAGCTGCCTTGAGCCCTTTGTAGGAAAAAGGCAGGATATAAATTGAAGAATGAATGAATGAATGAATATGGTTGCCCATTGGGCCAAGATGTCCTGTGCGCCCCCTTTTATTTGCTGTCTGGGCGGGCAGAGCTGCAAGTCTGAGTGATGTGTTAGGGCTAAGGTCCGAGCGAGAGTTAGCAAAACTTGGTTATGTGAGCCCCTGTAAGGAGGCAGAGAGAATCAGCCTGCGGTATCGTTAATTCACTTCCTCTGGAAGGGTGTAGCAGTCTGCAAAATATGCTCAGAACCTGTGAGCTCACTGTTGTTGTTTGTAAAACCCCTCTTGATTCATGTGTGAACATCTAATTCCGGGATGCTGTTTTTGCTTCCTTCTGCAAAGTGCTTGACTGGGGGTTAGAGTGATTCTGCAGCACAGCCTGGCATTTACTGGCTGAATTTGGGGCAGGGGGGTTGAGAATGGATGTAAATATTCACGGGCGGTATAAAGAGTGCTTCGGGGTACAAAACCATCCCCGTTCATGGGGTGGTTTCCCAGCTTTTGCAAGGTTTATGCCAACCCCTCCCCACCCTCCACCAATCTAAAAGGCTGAAATGCTTCTCTTAAACCTTAGTTACTGGCAGCAAGAACCCTAAGCTGAAATATGCTGGCATTTGGGGTTTCCTTTGCCTTTGGCACCCTTCACCACTGGAATGGGGCCCTGAGAGTGCCCCCACAAAATGGAACTCAGGCCTCTGGCTGAAAGAGCTGCGATGCCCCTGCTTGTTCACGTGAAAGGCCCCAAAGCAGCATGTCCTCAGTCGCTTGGGCTTCTGCAGGTTCCGGCCAGCAGAATCAGTGATCACGGATTGCAGGAACGGTTGTCCAAAAGATCTGGAAGGTACCGGGATGTCTGACCCTGACCTTAATCAGCTGCAATTGGGACAGGGAGAACAGAAATCTTACAAGCCGTAGCAAAACTTGGTTCCAAGGGGATTCCAACCCAGAAGGTGGAAGGTTTGGGCGGCTGAAACAAACTCCCATTTCATTCCTGGAATCAAGATGTAATCCGTTTAAAATGCGAACTTGTACATGCTTAGAGTGTTCAATTCCTAAAGCAGGGATGGCAAGCAGTTTGGTTGTCATCTAACGTATCGGGAAGCTTCTGTTATGTTATGGGAGATAGCTTGGTTTATGTTTCCAACTATGTACTCCAAGCCATCTATGTGGCCATCTGGGTGTCCTCCAATCACCACCGAGTCCAAGGGGCCGAATTATGTCGGTGCGCCACTGGCTGTTATTCTGAGTTATTCTTGCTCAGAATAAGGCCGCTGGGCATGTTTCTGCATTCCAAAATGCAGGGATACTTCCCTGGGAAAATCTGACGGTTGCCGAGCTCTGCCTCGAACCTGGTGAATCAGCCAGGCGGGAGCAGCTTCTGAAGCGGTGGAAGGAGAATCACACACTTGCTTCCCACACAAGCAGCCGATCAGAATGTGGGTCCTCCGGGCTTCCTGTCTTTGATGGGGTGTCACACCAGTTTAGGAATGGCAAATGCAAGGGTAAGTTTGCTTCTAGTTCTGATATTGTAGCTTCCTGGAACAACGTTCTCGCGGTCGTGGTGTTGATTTAACATGGGGCTGGAGAGCATCTTGCATTTCCTGGTGTATTCCACTGCTTTCTTGTCCTTAGATGCAGGAAGCCGTGGGGAGGTTTCTGCTGTGCTTTGCCGTTCATCAGAGTTATGCTCATTTTCTTCCACTCCTGGGAATAATGTTCTCTGCTGGCAACTGTCTTCAACCAGGAAGTCCTGTGTTCAGATCCTCAGTCAGCCATGAAACTGGCTGGTTTTAAATGCATCATCCCATGAAATGCATACATATAGTTGAGGCTTGTAATATGCACTGAAAAGGAGGGGAGAATAGTGCTATGGAAAGGAACCCCCAAACTGGATTTGGATTACAGGTAGGCATGGGAGAAGAGGTCAGCTCTTTCGCCCCTGCTGTGATTTTCCACCCCAAAGCTGTGTTCTGCACCAGAAGGAAAGCTCCCGTTGGTTTTCCATGGCTGCCATCGGAAGCTGCTGCAGTTATTTCAAAGTTTTTAAAAATGCACGCACTTAATTGCAGTGACACATTTACCAACATGTGCTGCTTGGCTCTTCCAGGGTGATCTTCCCAAGTACTCTTTCCTAGCCATGGGCCGGCAGAAGGTACAACCAATTCACTTCCTTCTGGGCTTACTTTAAGCCAAAATGCTGGTATTGCTGACCTTTACAATTCTGGAAGTTTTAGAATGAGGGAAAATACCCAGGAGCCGCCAATGGACTGGCAGCTGCAGGGGAAGCGGGTGGACCGGGTGACTCAGAAGGATGAACTGTGCTCCATTTGGGCCCATGTGCTGATACCATAAACAGTTTAGGACCAGGTTTACCCGCCTTCACACACATGAATCTGCTCAGACATTCAGCCTGGCCTCAGAGGTCCTGCTTGCAGAGCTGCTGTTAGGCTCAAGAGTAACAGCAGGAGGCATGGCCTTCTAAATGGTTGCCCAACATTTCCTCCCAAAGGAAGCACATTTGACGTCCTCCTAACTTCTTTCAAGAGGGCTTTTCTTACTTTGATCTGCTTTTTATTACAGAGAGGAGTTGGAATGTGAAAGTGGCATTTCTCTATTGTAAAGTGCAACATGGTTTACCGCTTTGATTGAGAAAAAAGTCTTATTTCATTTTCGTTCTACACTACCCAATAACCAAAGCTCTCTGGGCATTGTTATGCTTCTGTTACGAGTTAAATATTTCCAGATTTAAATCTACTTATAAATTGACACAAGTTGCCAGGAAGGAAGTTTGAAAGGTGCTGTATAACTCAGGATATAAAAAGATGAGCAGCCTGTGCTGCATAAATAGGAATTTCTGGAATGGAGGGAACTGCCTATTTTCAAATGCATCAATGCCGCCATGAGGGGCAGAAGCTCAGTTTATTAAACAAAATGGAAGCGATGCTCTGATCGCCGCATTCTGTGTCAGTTTCCAAACTGTGTGAGGCGTCTTTGGTTACATTTCCACTCTGCTTACTCTAAAACTGTTGCTTGTTTATTTTATGGGCCATCTACTTGCCATTGGGACCAAACTGTTTCCTTCCATGTTTGTCTTGTGCTACTTAATTTCTTTTGGGATCTTATGAAATCCAAGTTTTTACAAGCAGAGGAGAAGTGCTATCACTGCAGCGTAGATCACCATACCATGCTTTGCACATGAACCATGAATATTATGGGCTGTGACCCCTCTGGCCGTGCCTTTTCATTTCAGCACAGCTTTCTGGTTAGTGACATATTAGCAATGTGTTTACTTGTTTTAACGTGGAGCTTTCCCTCTGTGCAAAGAATCCAATTCAGCAGGTGGATCTTGGGTCACCTTTCGAAAGGACTGAATCGCGAGATTCACCCTCCCTGCCAGCCTAAATACAGGCCCAGTTCGAAAGCACAGACGCAATCCCGACATACTGACAGATCATGTGCTTAGTACAGTGGCAATTATCTTAACTAACGGACGCTGCACGTTTTCATTTCCCAGTGTAAAGAATTCACCCTTCATACTGGATACGATGTGCTGCTGCAGCGGCTCCTGGATGGGAGGAAGATGTGCAAAGATGTGGAGGACTTAATCAAACAAAGGTAATGAAAAGGAAGGAGTGGCTAAAGGCACAATCCTATGCAGGCTTAGGCCGAAAAAGACCAACAACTCCCAGTACACCCCAGTCAATGCGGAGTATGCCCCAAGTAGGAAGACATGCTGTGCTGATCCTCTTCTAAGCCCTGATTCCATAATATCATAGTAATTGATTTCATAAATCAGCAGATAATTGCTATGATCACATTCAAATGTCTTGCTAAGCCATAATTTCTGACTGGACAAGAATACACCACAGAGTGTCTAGCTCTAACCGAAGCACAGCTATCTGAACCTAGTCGCGCTGAGGTTCATATTAACTACGATTTGTTTGAAACCAGATACAACTTCAGATGATCGGTTATGAAACTGGCTGGCTTAAACAAACTTTAGTTAATGAAAAGCGCAGTTTAGGGTTTGGCCAGCTGACCGAATTAGGGTTGATTGAAAATGGAAGGTCTTCTTTTTGACTACATCGGAAGGAGAGAGGGGAGATGAGGAGCAGAGAAACTGAGTCTCAGTCCAGCTCACTTTGTCAACCAAGCCATAGTTTAGTGCAGTGTCTGAAAAGGCCATTTAATGCCTATGGAAACTCAACCGTGCACATTTTGAGTCAAAAGTGACACAGACCCTGCCTTCCCCCCAGGGCTATTTTAGAGTATGTGAGTAAAGATTTCTTCCACTTTATGGAAATAATGCCTTGATAGGCGGAGGGAGAAGAAGAGGCTTAATGGATTTCATTGCCTCCCTGCCCTGCAGCTAAATTTGCGGAGAAAGTTGCTTGGGTCATTTGAGGGAGGGATTTTTGGGGGTTTCCCAGGCCCAGCTTTGGTGAAGTGTTTTCCCCTCATTCTGAAGGATGGAAATGCCTCTCTGAAGGATTAATTACTGGCATCAAGAGATTTAAGCTAACACTGGGGGGAACCTTGGGGTTTTTATTTTGTTTATTTTTATTTATTTTTCGATTTATATCCTGCCTTTTTCCTACAAAGGGCTCAAGGCAGCTTACATCTCCTCCTCCATCTTATCCCCACAACAACCACCCTGTGAGGTAGGTTGGGCTGAGAGTCTGTGAGTGGCCCCAAGTCCCCCAGTTGGCTCCATCGCCGAGCGGGGACTCGAACCCAGATCCTCTGAGTCCCGGTCCCATGCTCTTAACCACTACACCACACTGGGTCACACTGGTTTTGGATGCATTCCTTCCGCCATCAGGCTGCCCGCTGCTGGAATGTGCTCTGTGAGCTCATTCAGAGAGAGCAGCGCCCCTGGTCTAGGACATCCATCCACAGATTCGACCATGAATGGGGTTTTTTTTTGGTATGTCTCTTCCTGTCATGTGACTGCTGCATCTTGTTCTCATTTCTGAGAATCTGGGCAAGCAGGTTGATGAGAAGCTGGACTGTAATCCAGTGAGAATGAAATGGTTAGCTTTGTTCTAAGTGTTCCCTAGCGGGCGAAACTGTGGCTTTGGAAAATGCTTATTTTAACTCAGGGAAATGGCAGAACCACAGGTCCAACCAGGATGGATCAGCTGCCCTCTTTTACAGGGGGCAGAAATTTATTTGCAGGGTGCCAGGGGACTGCTCGGTATTCTTCTGTACAAAAGGCAGGCCTGCCCAATTCCCAGTTAAGATCATGGATCCTAAAAAAAGTCGCCTCTTTACAATTAACCCAAGGGGGCCATGGCACATGGGTCAAGGTCTCCCACACTATGATGCAATGCGCCATATTTCTGTTTAAAACCTAAGAATTATTTCCCCATTTGCATCTATACATATTAAGCCGATTGTGCAAGTGTTGTGTAAATGGATGTCCTTTTTTGGCGCGGCATCTCCTCATTTCGGGTGCTTTATCAGCCGCCATCCCAGCTGCGAAGCAACGGACACTCCCTGGCCACCTCATCGTGCGATTTTGGCATTGCTTCCTCAAAGGGCTTGTAGAGAGGTCTGTGAAGGATTTGCACTGTGCCCCGAGCATGCCCACATGGAACCCCTCTGAAAAGGGTACCTGTTCCCCCCATTCCTCTGCCCCAGAGGGAGGAAGAAATTCTTCTTTCTTTCACGCCCCAGCCCCGAACACTCCACCACCTCCTTTTTGTTCTCTGAAGGTGCTTCTCCCCAGCTGCTCCCAAGAAGCAATTGCCGTGCAACGGCGAAGGGAGGACCTCCCCCGCCATGCACCAAAAAGTACAGAGCCCGATACTCCATGAGCTTAAAATAATGAGGGGATTTTGCTTCGCAGGGCGCAGGTGGAGGAACGGTACGGGAAGGAACTGGTCCAGATCGCTCGGAAAGCAGGAGGCCAATCGGAAATCAAGTGAGCCTTTTTCTTGGGTGCAGCATGATCTGGCAATTTACTTCCGGCTTGACGTAGGAGCAGATGCTCCGATCTTTGTAGCTGCGCCCCACGTTTTTTCTGCAAAGGGGACCCCAGTCAGCAGGTAGCGAAAGTGAGGAGGAGCACGAGCTGGTGGCAGGAAGCTCTTAGCAGCGGAAAGAGGTGTGGGCCTTGGCACCTTCCTGGCTACACCGGTCCATGGCGCTGGTTCCAGCTCCTGCCAAAGCCAGGAGCTCTTTCGGGCATGGTGCAGTGCCATCCGGGGCACGTCAGCCGCACTTGGTTGGGTGTCTGGAACCCATGGACCTCTTTTGGCAGGCGCTTCCTGTGTAGAAGCCATGCCTTGCCGAACTCCTGCCGCAGCTATCAGTAACGAGAGCACCTGTTGTCTGCGGTGCCAAGCGTGATAAATAAAAACAGTAGAAAGTTATTAAGTGCTGTAGGCAAATCAGGAGGTAACGGGGTTTGGCTTTGAGGTCAGCGGTGTTTCATCTCAGATGCACTTATGGGATCAAGAGCTGACTTGCTGCTCAAAATCCAAACTCATGTCTGAATTGCATCCTTTTGGGCTCCTTCTCTCTGCCTCTCCATGCACATCAGTTATTTCTTGGGCGTTGTCCACAGCGAGGAAGCACCGATGCATCACAGGAGGGATTGGTCCTGGTAGACCAGGGGTGCACGCCCACAGGGAAAGAAAGTTCGGATAAACTGTTGCACTTGAATCTGGCCCTTGTGAAAATGCCGTGCCAAACTCGGACCGCAGCCGCCAGACGGGCTCAGAATTGTTGGAACGTTTGGCCTTGCCTTCCGCACAGCCTTTTTTCTCTCTCGGACTGCATGGATACATCCATGAAGAAACACTAGAGAGTTGCGCAGGGAAAAGGAGCCTTCAGATCTTTCAGGGAGAAAAAAGCGTAGAACAAGACCCTGATTAGACAAAAAGTGATTAGAACGCACCGCAAATTCTGAGAATGTTTGTTCAGAGACAGTCTCCTTATTCTTCCAGGATGGGGCTGCTTGGTTACAGCCCTGAGCTTTTTCCTTCGTACCTTTCACTGTGCTGTTGGAATGAGGTGTGATTTTTTAAAACCTGCTTCTGTAATGTCCTGACCGGGATTGTGGTGAAGTGGGAGTATGGAAACTGTTTTCTCTTGTGCTGTTTTTCCACAGTGATATTCTCCCCCAAAGTCAGTAGCAGCTTTGTGGAAATTTCTTTTTGTCCGGGGTGGGCGCAGGAAACTCAGTACAACAGTCTATTTTCCCTTAAAGCCATTATTGCGTTTCAACCTTTAGAATGGCGAAAAAACGGTAGCAAACCCAGGAAGCCGCCGCATGAGCAGGGGCTGCCGAAGGGGGTGGGAGCCAGAGGATGTGATGCGGCACGGCGAGAATCTCTGGATGGCCACAGTCCGTGGTCTCAGGTTCTGCTCCCCCGGCATAATCCCGTTTGGCCCGAATCCGCACGGGTGAATTGCTGCACATCAAGCTGAACTGGCACGGAAGGAAAGAGAGCCGGGCTCATTCTCCTTTTTGTGGATGTCACAACCGAGCGCGGGTCTTTAGGAAATGTAACTGAGATACGAAGTTTAGCAAGTGATCTGAAAATCTGACTCATACGAGCAGGAAAAATTGTGAAGCTTCGCATATACTTCCTGTGCCATCAGGCTTTATATAGAATCGTGCTCGCAGACGGGTACCGGGGTGGGGGTGGGAAACCCCCACGAGCGCGTTTCCTATCTGGCCTTTGCAAGGACCAGATTGATCATGATGTGGCGCACGATGTGGGGTGCGCCCGAGCTAACTGGGGTCAATCCTGCGGCTTCATCTTGGATTTTCCGATGTGGAAAGTGTGCTGGTTCTTTTCTCGGGGCTCATCTTGTTCGATATTCACTCTGAGGCGAGGCACTGGCCGCCGCCGCTTCTTTAGCAGTGGGCTGCAAACCGCCCCCCTCTGCTTCCCGCCTGCTGGCCGTCTCCTCGGGTTGGTTCGCCACGGAGGCAAGCAGGATGCGCCTGCCCTGGCAGCCCGGTCCCTCTGGGGGCTTGGGGGCCGGCCTGCACTGCGGTGGCATCGGAGGGGTGCCTCATGGACAGATCTCTTTGTGTTCTATTTCCGTTGCGTGGCAAGAGAGACTGCCTGCTCAGGGCGAGAGGCAGGGCCGCAGGGCTTGCATTTCTGGTTGCCGCTCCTCCTGGGCCGGGGGAGCCTGTGGTGGGCAGGAGCAGGCCTCCCTTGGGGCGAGAGGCGGCCGGGATGCTCCAAGGGAGGGCAGAGGAGGGATGCGGATGCGGCAGAGAAGACGATTTCTTGTGCCTTCCAGGGGGCTGGCTGCGTTCAGGCGGGCCGACGAACGGTGTGCGTGCTGCAGATGGGCAGTGAGTGCGGGCAATTTCTGGTGTGGCGGGACGAGCCTGGAAGGGTTTGCGGCAGCTGGCGACCCCGCTGCAGGGATCTGGGGCAGAGGGAGAAGTCTCTGGGAGCAGAGGGCTATGCTGGCTATGCCCTGCAGCCCTTCTGCCCTCCTTCTGGGTGCCACGCATCTGTCCGTGAGCCCCCCGCCTCACAGGCCTGCTGCTAAAATGACTGATCTGCACACAGGAAGACACACTGACTCCAGCTGTGCCTGACATGGATTACCAGGGCTGGGTGTTTAAAGAGAAGTTGACTTGCTTCCCTTAGCAACAGAAAACAAACAGCCCTGAGGGTGCTGGGCTAGAAAGTGCGAGACTGTCAGAACTACCAAAGTGGAAGGGATTTGATCCTCTCTGTTTTCTCAGTTGTGCTTTGCAAAATTGTGGAGATCTGTCGGGGGGGCCTCGTGCCCTCTTCGACTGAGGACAGCCCTCTGTTCAAAGGGCTCCAGAGGACTGCCTTCGGGTTGAGCAGTCCTCTGTGGAAGGCTGCTTAGCCCAAGTCTGGTTGAAAGATATAGAGCCATCAGAAGGGAAGGCTGGGCCTCGGAGTTCCCTGCGCACAGTTAGTACATGGGGATCAAAGTCCTCCTGCTTCTCTCCGGACCGGCTGGATTGCAGTTCCCCAATTCCCAGCCAGCAATTACCGGGCAGCCTGTGGATTATGGGAAATGCAGTCTTACACATCTGGAGGCACCAGGCTGCGCCAGGCTGCCCCATGGAGCACACGAAACTGCAACTGGGGGGTGGGACCCACACCTGCCCAGTGGCCTGGGGTATCGTGCCTGCTGCTTCTGCAGCGACGCCTGCATTCCAGGCATGGCTTGGGGGGAGGCACAGGCCCGTTCCACAGCGGATGAGAACACGGCTCCTCAGGGGACGGCTCAGTCCAGCTTTCCACTGGTTGCTGCATGAATGGCAAGAGCAACGATGAAGTCGAAGCGAGCGTCATTTTCGCGGGTGCCCTTGGGCCCATCCATCACCCTTCCGGGGGGGTGGGGGCGGCGTGATGCCTTCGGTGGCCAAGGAAGTTCCTGCCAGCTGCCTCCCGGCAACCACCATTTCATTTTCCCAGAATGCCTCAAACAGGGGCACATGAAGGGAATGGTGGGAGACTTTAGTGCGCAGCCGCCAGGCCAGGTTGCTGCCGTCAGCGCCTCTTAATCAGGGCTCCCTTAGAGGCCCTAGTCAATTCCTGGCAGGAGGAGCATGATCCGAAGCTTTGGCAGAACGACTGGATGAGATCTATGAAAAGGCAGGGCTTCTTTTTATGAAAAGTGATTTAGGGAAGAGAAAGTTCCAGCAGGTGAACAGGCAGGCCTTGGCCTGGCCCTGGACTCACAGGGCTGTGTCGTAAGTGCTGTTGCCACATTGTTTGCCTGCGAAAATGAGCAATGCAGCAAAGAAATCTCACATCGCGGCGCTGTCTGCACATTATATTTTTACCTTCTTCCTTGCACTGCAGGCTGCTTTGCACAGGAAGCTTGTCATGGCCAGAGCTGCCGCACAGATAGCCCTGCTTTTCTTTTTGAATGCAAGCCAATCCACTCCCTCGGCCGTCACGTTCTCACTGACCCTGTTTGTTCTCTATTCAGAGCCTCCGATGCTGAAATAGGCATTTATAAAATCACAGATCTTTTACAAGCCCGGCAGAAAGGCCTTCCCTGCTCCTTTACGATTTCCCTTGCTCTAGTTCTTCCACAATCTTTAAATCATCCATTTTGTCCGCAGGCATGGAATGCACTCCCATTTAAGCTGTGCAAAGCTTGTAAATTAATTCTATATATTTGAAAAGCAACACCAGACAGTGAGGACAAAAGAGGATTTGGCTATCGAGAGCGCGCACAATCTCGTGGGCTGTTTCTCTGGAATCCAGCACACGTTTTGTGCTTCCATTACTTCCACTCTCGACTGTTACCACGTCGGGGAAATGTGGCATGGCAAGAACATCGAACGCAATTAAACCTTCCCGCACGAAGTGTTCCTCTACTCCTGGGAGCAATCCAGGGACCGAGGAGAGCGATGCACACGCAGTGGTGAAGCTGATCCGGGGCTCGCAGGGCCGAGACGGCAGCGGGGGCAAGGTGCCCTCAGCACACACACATTCCTATCCTGCCGAGTTTAGCCGCGATCCTCGCCTCGTCGTCGCTGCAGCGGTGTGGGTTGGATTGTTGGGAGAGATTCCCCACGGCAATGCAAGGGGCACGTGCGATGCAAACCCAGGAGAGCTGTTCCTGCTGGAGAGGAAACCCGCTAGAACTAGTGCCTTAAGTCCGGAGGAAAGCATTTCTCTGTCCTTGGCGTGGTGCTGGGGAACCCTTGCAGAGGCGGTGATCAAGAACTCCTTGGGGATGTGCCACTTCGCTCTCTCTCCCTTTCTCGTGCGGCCTCAGCAATTTCCAGCCACAGGCCAAGAGGCTAACTAACCACGAGGCCTGCCTCGGCCAGCCAGCTCTTCTGGGCCTGTCAGCCTGTCCTCGTACGTTGGGCATGACGTTCTGCATTGCCGTAGTTCATGAGTGCAGCAGACGGACCCACAAGGGTCCAGAAAGCCACCTGTGTTTTGGACTTGGCTTCACAGTGTGGCTATGAGACTGGGCTAGCACCAGCCTTCAGATGGGCCCCCCTGCTGCCCCCCCACTGTTCACCCACCTGTCACTCCAGGGTGATCCAGGTTCTAGTCCCTACTCGGCTGTGAAGCTCCCTGGATGACTCTGGGTCATGCACTGCCTCTGAGCCTAACCTTTCCTGTGAGGACAGAAATGGAGTGGGGATGAACTAGCTTAGTCACACTGGGGAGTTCACGAGCGAGGGGAAAAGGCAGAATATAAATGTAACACGTGACTCCTCCTCCTCCCACGGCTAAGCGCCAGCACGGTTGATGCAGCAATACAATGACATGTTTCCTGCTCTGCCCACAAATCATTTCTGGTGCTTTCCGGCTTACCACCAAAATCATCCTGACGGGGGAGTGTGTATTGAGAAAGGCATGCAATTAATGTGTGCTTGCAACACAAACCCAGTTACTCATTGGGCATGGTATTTTTTTCAGTTCACTTTCCCGAAAAGTTTTGAAACAACAAGGTGAATGTGAGATTCCATTTTCACTATGAAATCTAAAGGGGTTTGAGAAGGGAAATCTTGGTTTGCAACTGAGTGCCGGGGTTGCGTGGAGGTCTTGGGTCCGGTCCATGGCATCACCTCTCAAAGGGGCTGCAGGTAACAGGTGATGGCAAAGACGCTTCTTAGCTTGAGTTCATGGGAAGCTGCTGCCAGAGAAGCCGATGCTGGGTTAAATGCACCAGTGGCCTGACTCAGTATAGTGAAGTGGATTGGTGGGAGGTCCGGGAAAGATAAAAGGAAGGACTTGCCTTCACTCGGCATACACTTAAGCTATAGAATTGAAGGACTTGCCTTCACTCGGCATATACTTAAGCTATGGAATCCTTGGTCAAAAGCTGTAGCAGTGGCCACCCGTTCAGATGGCTTTCAGAGAGAATTGAGCAAGTTCAGAATTCATGGAGAATGAACCTATCAGTGGCTACTAGTCCTGATGAATATATGCTCCCTCCACTGTCAGGGGAAGTACACATATGCACACAGTTTGCTGGGGAACATGGGTGAGAGAATGCAGTTGCATCCATCCTGTCTGTGGCATTCCACAGGTATCTGACTGGCTACTGTGGAAACAGAAAGTTCTTGGTCTGATCCAGCAGAACTCTTGTTCAGTTCTTGAGGAAGATTCGAGTGTTTCTAATTGTGTCCTGCTTCCAAAAGTACCACAGGGGGCTTGAATTCTGAGTGATGTCAATGCATTGCAACTAAAATTAAATAAAATGCAGGCTGTCAGTGAACCCACTAAAACTTATGTAATTAGCAAATTGATTAAATCAGAATTAAATTGTAAAACACTGTAATTTATCTGAATGAAACATGTATATAGAAAAATTTAAAAGGACTTCAGAACAGAAGGTTAAATTTACGCCACAAGAGGGCATCAAGGAAACATAGTAAAATGCTATGCACTATTAGTTATTTTCAGATGAAGTGGCTTGGGGATTCAAGTGTATTAGCTCCATAGTCAGTAAGTTTCTTTCCAGGGACTAAAAAACCACTTGATGCACAAATTACAATAGTCTCTCCTGTAATATTTCAAAGCACTGGTAAGATCAGGAAAATGTTGGACACACAAAAAATCCTAGTGCAGATGCTAAGAAAGAAGATGCTTGGAGATCACGATGAGGAAAATGTGCTTGCTTTTTAAGAGATGCTCACGGCTTAGCGGAAGCTTTACGTGCACCGCCAAATCAGGCATTTCATTGATTTTCCTAAGAGAAAAGTGGAAATGATTTATATGTAGCCATGGCTATCCTTTAGGTTTAATGGTGTGACTTATTACTGGGGTCTTTGGTTCTTCCAGAATCCATTTCACACACACAGTCTGCGAAATAAAAAGAACCCTGCTCGGACAGTCCAGGGTCCAGCTGGTCCAGTGTTCTGTTCACAGGGAAGCCCACCAGCTGCCCACGGAAACCCACATGTGGGATAGAAGCAGAGCAACAACCTCCTTCAGTGTCCGCCAGCAGCTGCTGTCTGTGGGCATCCTCTGCTGATGCTGGAGGGAGCAAAGAGCCATCCGGACTAGGAGCTGAGGATGCTCTTCTCCAGGAATCTGTCCAAGCCCCTTTAGAGCCATCCAAAGGGGTGGCCGTCGCTACTATGTCTTGTAGAAGTGAATGCCATACTTTAATGGTGGAAGCCCCCCCTCCCCCTGCATCTTTCCTGAGTCACCCCGGTTGGGTTCTACCATTATGAGGGAAAAGATGGTCTCCCTGTCCACTTTCTCTTACACAATTATGTACCGTGGCCTCTTCTTACTTGCCTTTTTCCCCTATGCTAAAGTATCCCCAGTGTTGTAATCTTTCCCATCTAGAGAAAGGACAGATAAATTTTCCCTCTGTGGGTTGGTGCAAAATAGATGTAAAGATCAAAACGGTGATACGGGTGGAAAATTTTCCGTCTGCAGTGTAGTAGCAATTTTGATGTGATGAATTGGATGCAACCTGTGACTTTGGACTATGGTGTACCAAAAAGCAAAACTGTAAGGTTAACTTTTCTTTCTTTCCTCCTCAGCACTCTGAAGGCTTCATTCGAAGTCCTAAAACAACGTAAGCATATCAATGAGCTCCATTTTGGATCATTTTGCCACCTTGAGATTAATGTAAGGAAGGGCAGCATCGGCGTCTTAGAATCACAGTTTTGCTCAGGTTTGGGCAGTATATAAAAGGCCAACTACCATCGCAAAGCCAGTTTAACACATTCTTCCCACATGGCTATACTTTAATTTCACTTTCGGTGGCCATTTTCATCTTTCTACATACAGTGTGTAGTTTATGTTCAGGATTCGAATGGAGGCTTATAAGAAAATCTATTTATGTGAAAGGGAGATCCCGTAAGAAGCATCCTTCACCATGCTGTAAGGCAGCAGGGCAGCTGAGGGGTACCCTCCAGTGCTGTCCTCCAACATCTTGAGAAGACTTGGGGGGGTGGGCATGAGATCCCTCCAGAAGTACCCCAAAGGCTGTCACAAAGAGGAAGGTCAAGGTCTCTTCTCGCTGGTACCAGAGTGTAATCAACTCAAGTTGTGACAACCCAGATTCAGGCTGGACATCAGGAAAAGCTTCCTCACTGTCAGAGCAATATGGCAGCGGAACCAGTTGCCTGGAGAGGTGCTGGGCTCTCCCACACTGGAGGCATTCAAGAAGAAACTGGGCAGCCATCTGAGTGGGATGGTGTAACGTGGTGTCCTGCAACAGCAGGGGGTTGGACCTCATGGCTTTCTTGGCCCCTTCCAACTCTACGATTCTATGATCTTCCAGCCACCTCCCAGCTGAGGAGACTTCCTCACTCTGCCAAGGGTAGGGCCAGTTCTGTTTCTGCACCACACGGCCTGTCCTGTTTCCAGAGTTAACCAGCTGCCCTCCAGTGTGGTGGAAGGAACTTTCATGTTGAATCGAAGTCAGCTGCCAGCCTGGTAGACACAAAGCCCATGGAATGGGGTGAGATTTGGTCCTTCCTCTCAGCCCTGACAGCAAATGCCCTCATTCTGGCTAACAAATAATTCAGCTGCAGTTGTGGAATACAGATCACCTGCTAAGATACTCTGGTATGGTTTTTTAATGTAAAAGATAATATTCTTATCTCCCATAGAGATCGAAAATGTTGGGAACTCTCATATCCACATGGCAACCATGTTGAAAGATGAACTGAAGGCCCTGGAAGAGTTTAGAGAAAGGCAGAAGGAGCAAAGAAAAAGGGTAAGACTGAGATAAATGGAAACACCAGCAGTAAACAAGGGTAAACAAGAGGCACCAGTAGAATGGAATTCTGGTGGTAAAAAACCCAGTTCTTTCACTGAGCGGATGCCGAAGACATGTTTTGCCAAAACCTCTGAAAAGTGGGGTTATGCCAGAGGTTAAAGGAGATATTTACCACTTCTCCGCTATCACTGATAATGACTGGGGTTAAATGATTTGGGACGTCCTTTTACCTTCAAAGTTCTGGTACCACTGAAGCATGAGATGCCGTTTAGGAATGATTCCATTACAAGATCAGTTGTTCTTACAAGCGTGCGGCATTCTCAGAAATGCTTGAAGGGGCTGCTCTGTTAGTTCTTCCTCTTGAGGGATAAAAATAGATGCATGTCCGTGTATTTCCTACAGTACGAGAGCACAATGGAGCGGGTGCACAAGAACAAGCTTTCGATGTATAAGAAAACCATGGAGGTAAGCAAGAAGTTGTTTTAACAGTAGCAGCAGCAATCATAAACAATGCATAAAGAGCCCAGTTTTTTTTTCAAAGCACTGTACAGATTCTGAAAAGTAAGGTGGTCCCTACCAACAGACTCACTCCCTAGCAGAGATAGCACAAAAGGAAAAAGCAATGGGGAGGGCAGAGGAAAGCAGCCACGGCAACAGCTCCCTTGCCACCTTGTTCTTGCTAAAAGCAGCTTCTCAGCAGCGTTCAGCAAGCACTCTAAACAATCACTAAGGTGCTAAATGTTTTTGTTCCACTGTTACTCTGGTAGGTAAATTTGTTGGTTTTATGATTTAAGTGATGGTTTTAAAGATTTTATATTATTAAGTGCTGTTACCATTTTATGAATTTATGCTAGATGTGTCATTAACTATGCCTTAGTTAAATATGTCTCCTTTACCTTTTTTGACCTTAAGTTATGAAATTTTATTTTTACTGTCTTAATGTTTGCTGTTATATATTGATTTTATTATCATTGCTTTTATTGTAAATTGTAGGTTTTACTGCATTGTTCTACTGATTATGTTGTAAGGCTCCCAGAGAGCCTTATGGTTAATAGGGCGGCATAGAAATTGAATGAATAAATAATAAATGCTGATGTTGTCCAACCAGCACTATTAGTCAATGAATTATGAATTTACTATGTGATTCTATGGATTTTATTCAGTGGGGTTCAGTATCGGGAAAATATTCATAGCGTTGCTGCTTTAGGTGATGTGGAACGGGCTTCCACGGGAGGTGGTTGAGGTCCCATCGGTGCGGGTGTTCAAAGATAGGCTGGATGTGCACATGGTGGGCATGTCGTGAGCGGAGCCGGTTGGAGCCGGGGGTCAGACTAGATGGCCCGGGAGGTCCCTTCTGACTCACTCTGTTTCTATGTTTCTATGTTTATTAATAAAATCTGCATAACATAAAGATCTGTTCTAAATAAAGAGCCATGCAAAGCTTTTATCATGAAAGCATACTGCATCTTTCATGGAAGGTTACAGGGGCTCCAGAGAAGCTTCTATCTATCTATCTATCTATCTATCTATCTATCTATCTATCTATCTATCTAGAGTGTTTGAATGCTGTCCTATCACAGAGCCTCAGGATGGCTTACATAAATTTTCAGAACGGCTATTTTCAGTGTGTAATGCTCCCATGTTTTCCCACTGCTTCTCCTGTCTTTTCTTGTAACAGAAAATAATCTTTTAAGGAAAAGAAGATTGAATCCCAGCATGATGCCTTTGGATTGGTAGTGCTGGGGGACCAGTGTTTGGGACCACCTTCTGTTTTTCAATGCAGCTTGTATGCATCATGGCAGGGCAGGCGCGATCTTAGAAGAGGCAGTCCATGTTTTGCCTCTGAAACAGGAGGATGTCTTCTAAAATGCCATTTACCACTGAGCTGTTTTGGGAGTTTGTTTTAATAAGGCTTGGAGTGAATCTTTAGTAGACGATCTACTGAGCATCCGTTCGACTGCCAAAACAAACAGCGTAAACAGCGCCTACGACCTGAATAAAATAAAAATGGGTTTACAATTCACGGTGTGCTAAGCTCCTCTTAGACAAAATATGCATCAAAGAATGGGCCCTCTCCAGTGAGCTGAACAAGGCAGTAATTAGTTGATTAGAAATCCTGGAAGCTTATGGCCCTTTGCCTGATTGATTACAGTTACTTATTTAAAAAAAAAATTAGACCGTCCCTTGCTGTGGTCTCGGGATGGTTTAACGATTAAGACAAAACAGAATAAAACACAGCATCCTAGTCAAAATATATACCGCCCTGCTGATAGGTGGAGCTAAATATGTTTGGTTTTCCACTTTGGCGACGATTCATCTGTCATGAAACCAACTCCCTCTGCCTCCATGGATCCGGCTCACGGAATTTATCTCTCTGTGTGCAGTCAAAGAAGACGTATGACCAGAAATGCAAGGACGCTGATGAGGCCGAGCAGACCTTTGACAGGATAAGTGCTGCGGGAAACCAGAAGCAAACGGAAAAGGTATCCTGAATTATCTATGGCGGTCGTGCCCTGCCACCAGGAGAACGCAACTGAATTTCCAAGTTAAGCCTCCAACCTCCTTTTCTCTAGGCTACCCTGCCTGGCTCCCACCACTTCCGACTCAGCTCAAGGGATGGGTTACTCCCCTAAAACTAGCACACCAAGGGAAGAGACTAGGTCAGATTCTTTGTAGCATGCTAGTTTTCTACAAGCAGGGAAGGATCAGGTAGTTATGTGTGGGCTAAGGTAGTAAAGCCCAGGCAAAGACGAATTACCCCACTGATCAGGTCTAATGCAGGGCTGAAGCATGAATTTAAACACACACAATCTGCCATACTAAGCATCCTTACCAGGGAGTAAGTCCCACTGAAATCATTGGGGTTTACTTAAGAGTAAACATGCATAGGCTTGTGCTGGAAGGCTGAAATCCAGTACACATAGGGTTGCATCCCAGGTCTGCCTTATCGAAGGTCTCTGGCAGCCGAGGTTTCCTCTGCCAATCTGGGGGGATTCTAGGAATGTAGGAAGCTGTTGTATAGTGAGCCACATCTTTGGTCTATCTAGTATTCTGGACACTGACTGGCAGAGGCTCTGCAGGACTGAAGCGGCAGCTTTTTTCAGCCCGATCCAGAGGCTGGATCTTGGACATGGTGCAAGCAAAGTGTGGAGCTAAGGCTGCTTTTACTAAGGAGTAAGCGCCCCGAAGATTTAAGTCCAGTGCTCTGTGCAGACACATTTGGAAGAAAGCCTGTGGAAATCCTTGGACATAAACAGTGACGCGGCTTGGTTAGCTAGTGTTTACCGAAACGAACACCCTGGATTTGTTTTTCTGGAAGGCCAGGCCAATGTTCTCTCTTTATATTTCAGAGTCAAGCGAAAGCAAAGCAATGCAAAGAGGCTGCAAATGAAGCAGGTATCCTTTCAAATAGCCATGAAACTAATGCTGATGCATCCCTCCAGCGTCTCGGTGCTGGGGAGCTGATCCAGGCCTATGGGGCAGCAAGGTAGAAAGAGGGGTCATTTGAGAAAGGGGATGGGGTGGGACTGGAGGGTAATGTTACCGCTGCATCACCCAAGCCACAAATCCAGAGCAAGAAAGCCAATGGGTTGCAGTGATGAGAGAGCTGGACTGGAACTTGGGGGGTTCTGGAGTTCAGCCCCTGCTTAGCTGTGAAGCCCACTGGGTGATTTTGAGCCAGTCACTGATGAGGAGAAAAAGGAGAGGGGGAGCACCTCGTATGCCTTGCAGGAAAAGCAGGCCATATAAATCCGACGGGCTGAGCGTTTCCCCCTTGTGTCTCCACTTCTGCAGAAAGAGTGTACAAGCAGAACATAGAAATGCTGGATCAGGCCAGGACCACTTGGGAACAAGAACATATCAGCGCTTGTGAGGTAAGTGAGAGCCTGTTTGGTTTAAACTCTTCTGTTGGGGCCACTTCGACAAGGCCAGAACCTGAGTGAAGCCGTCCTACACCGTTATGTTATCGATTGTCACATGGGACAGCCCTGTGACTGTTTATCATGCTGCAATTGTTTATTTAGTATTATTTTATTACCTTGCTATCCCGCCTTTTTTCCTTCCAGAAGCTCAAGGCAGCTGACATCATTCCCCTCTTTCTGCACTCGATCTTATCCCTGCCACAACAACCCTGCGACGTAGGCTGGGCTGGGAGTCTGTGACTGGCCCAAAGGCACCCAGTTGGCTCCATGGCTGAGCGAGGACTGGAACCCGGATCGCCAGAGTCCCAGTCCTGTGCTCATAACCACTGTTCCACGGCGGCTCTCTCAGCAGCACCCTCCAGCTACTACCAGCTTGCAGGGGAATCACTGCTGTTTCCTCCAGTGGGAGAGCCAGGGTGGTGTCGTGGTGAAGAGCACGGGACTGGGACTCGGAGGATCTGGGTTCGAGTCCCCGCTCAGCCATGGAGCCCACTGGGTGACTTTGGGCCAGTCACAGACGCTTGGCCCAACCTACCTCACAGGGTTGTTGTTGTGGGGATAAGATGGAGGAGGAGAATGATGTAAGCTGCCTTGAGCCCTTTGCAGGAAAAAGGCAGGATACAAATCAGGAAAAAAAAAGTCTGCCGACAGGCAGGGAACTCGGCCTGTGGCCCTTTCGGGCAGGGCTGAGAGCCCACCAATGTTGTCCGAGCCACAGACGGTCCAACGGAGTGGGGGGTGGCTGCGTCCGCAACCAGCTTGTGCACCGTTCGAGTTGGTTTTGTTGGGTTCGATCCAGATTGAGGCATTGACCAACCAGACTCCCGCTGATTTCAATGGTCGATTGGGCAGGCTCTACGCAGGGCTGAATGGGGATCCAGTCCATGGTGTACAGCGCTCTTTCTGGCTTTATTTTCTGCAAATGAAGTGCTTGGGCCGTAATCTAGATCGGGGCCATCACATGCAGGGAGGGGAGATCTAGAGCGTCCCTCCCCGGCCATTTCCCTTATGAAAGTTCCCGCCCCACACACTGCACAGCTGTCAAGAAAGAAAAATGCATTGCTACTGATTGAACCAGCAGGCCCATGGGGAACCCTGACCCCTCCGCTCTTTCATGTGCGCAGGCCTTCCAGCTCCAGGAACGCGATCGGATCACCATCCTCCGGAATTCCCTGTGGGTCCACTGCAACCAGCTGTCCATGCAGTGTGTGAAAGATGACGAGGTAAGGGAAGGGTGAGGAGGCCGACGAGGAGGAGAATGCTGGAAGCGATGGCAGGGTCCATCACGCTCCTTGTGGCCATGAGAGCCACTTTCTGATCATCGGTAGCATGGACTCCAGTCCTAGGCTGCCATGCTAAGAATCGCAGAACCGTAGAGTTCTCCAAGAAGGCCATCGTGTCCAACCCCCTGCTGTTGCAGGGCACCAGTTTACACCATCCCACTCAGATGGCTGCCCAGTTTCCTCCTGAATGTCTCCAGAGTGAGAAAGCCCACCACCTCTATAGGCAACTGGTTCCACTGTCGTATTGCTCTGACAGTGAGGAAGCTTTTCCTGATATCAAGCCTGAATCTGGGTTGTCGCAGCTTGAGGGACACCGAGCTGGCACCGGGCACCTGCTGAAGATCCATGCTCCAGAAGAGGGTCATAAAAGCCCCACAACTTGCTCTTCCTCTGCCCGCCTGCTCTTCCTCCTCCTCTCACTCTGGCCCAGTGAGTAGTGGTGGCAAGAGCAGGAGGGTTCACAGGTTCCTTAGGTGCTCACAGGTTCTTTGCCGGTCAAACAAGGAGGATGTGGCAGGGATGAGAAAAGGGAAGAGGAGCCGTAGTCGCTGGTGATGAAGGGGCTGAGAAGGTAGCGTTACTGAGGGAGGGGGCCTGTTGCAGGTTTCTTGCTTCCTCAAACCTGGAGCTGGCACTGGAAGGTTGTACAGACAAATCAGAAGGGGTTCAGAAGACAAAATCGTAGGTGCAGGATGAAAGGCTGAAGGAGCTGGACAGGGTTAGCATGGAGATGAGATGTCAGGTTGAGAAATGATGGCATTTGAGTGATAAACTGGAGGTTGCTCTCCTCAGAGTGCCAATTTTGCTGCTCCAGAGTTGAAGAACTAGGTTTAATGCGCTATACATTGCAGGAGGGGAGATTCCAACTGAGCTTCCAAAATTTCCTGGCAGCAAGAGAAGCCTGACTGTGAAAATTTCTACCTAGAGGGCTGGCAGGTTCAGTCTCCCTTGGAGGTCTCCACACTGGCAGGCCGTTGTTCAGTGTTCTAGATTTCTTGCACCAGGCAAGGATGTTGTCAAGATGGCCCTCAAAGCTGGCCTCCACCTCTGACTCAAGGTTAACTAACAGGACGTTCATTTTTGTGCAGGCTCAAATCTTGATCTCAAGAACCTTTCTGAAGAAACATGAAACCTCAGATAGCAAAGCAGTGAACGTCCCTTTTACAATATACTGACAAGGATCCTTCCTTTTCTTGCTTTCATAGCTGTACGAAGAGGTTCGAGTGAGCCTGGAGAATTGCAATGTAGATTCTGATATGGATTATTTTATTCAGAACAAGAGGACAGGAACGGAACCTCCAAGTAAGGCTCTATCTCTAAACTCCAAAACGGGGGGCAGAAATAACGATGTGACACACTGAACTTTCCTTAAAGCAGGGAAGAATTGAACCTCAAGCCCAGGGGCCTTGTTCTGCTTGCTCAGCATGACTCCAGGTTCATCAGATGGACCTGTTTCCCTGCAGCCACTCAACAATTGGTGGTTTTCCAACTTTTCCCACTGTTACATTCCCCATTTTAAAAGGCTGAAATGCTTCCCCTGAGCCTTATTTACCAGCAATATGAACTTTAAGTGAAAACGGGTAGGATTTTTTCTTATCTGGCACTACTTTTGCCTTTGACCTCACCCACCTCCCGAGTGCGGCCCCGTAGTGGAATTTGGCCCTCAGAACGGAAGAGGTTCAACCGCCCCGCCATAATGAATGAGTGAATGCAGACCATTAGGACATTAAGTTTCATTGGTGGATTAAATATATTTCAGTGAATCAGAAAGGCTTCCCCATTGATCATACGTGTGTGTTTTAAGATGGGAGTAAAACGAGACTGAACCAAGTCACAGCTGCCCATGTGACTTCGGGACAGAGAACATCGCAGTGATGTTTTTGGTGCCCTCTACCTGTTTCCCAATGCAGCTCCCATTGGCTATGAGAACTATTATGACCGAACGCCCCCTGCTAAACCCTGCGGCAGTCCAGTCCCGACTTGTGGAATGATGAAGAGGTAAGGGCAATCGTCTGCGAGATCTCGAGGAGGGGAGTGATATGGAAGGCTACCCAGGACTTTGAGGGGGGTGGGATCGTTGGGTAAGATTCCTTGTGTGGGCCCACCATGTTGACTGCTGCCCGCTCACTTGCCCACTCCCATTGGGCCCCAATCCACACCACTGCCAAATGTTGTAACCCCCCTCATGATCAGGCATGATCATACACGTAGCCAGGGCACAGCCCATCACGAGCTAGAGGCATGGTCAGAGTGCTCTTGTTCTCATGAGGACAAGAACACGAACACGGATGTGCACGCTATGCTAAGCTGACAACAAAGCAGGCTTCGCTCCAGCATTACCAGCACCACCACAGACATTATGCCCTTGTACCCACGCTTGCTTGCTTTTGCATGATAAATGGGCAAAATGTGCTCTCCCCCATTGTTTCTCTGTTGTTCCCCCATTGTTTCTCTGTTGCTCCCCTGTTGTTCGCTGTCATTCAAGCATAAATGTAAAAGAGTATAAAAATCAAATGTCTCTCCCCTGCCTGGTACCACACTCTAACGAGTGATGTTCCCTGCCGGCAGGTAATAAATCTCTCTCGATAATTCCAACTAGTCTCTGGTCTCGTCCGTAATATCACGCCCTACAACACCAAGAAGGCAACACTGGCGTTGCTGCTCCTTTGCCTGGGAGAAGCACCCAACAAATGGCCTCTGTCACAAAATTCATCATCGTGTGGTCTGGTCATGGCTACCAGCTTAAAGAGCACTGAAAGAGTATTGGACAAATTTGTGAAGAGTATTGGACAAATTTGTGATGGATAGTTATCCATCACTCCTGGTCATGGTTGCTATAGAGTATATTTAGGATTCCCTCATGTTGTTGAATCACTGCATCAAGAGCAGGGAACCTCTGGCACCAGCCCCAGTCCGGTCTTTACTGATGTCTTGGCTTTTAGTTTTTCCCCTAGAGTCTAAAATGTTGAAATGCTTCTCCTAAGCATTAGTTGCCAGCAGCCAGAGCTTTAAGGTAAAATACCTTTTTGGTGCTTTTCACCCCACCTGACTCTGGATGTTTCCCCAGGACTTGACCGAGAGCTTCTCTGAAATGGACTTTGGTCCTTGAGCTGAGAGAGATTCAGAAGTCTTAGCTACATTAAGCTGCTGTGGGGAAATCATCTAGAAGGTGCTCTGAAGCACAGATGATACTTGGCTCTCCTGGTTTCTGCCCACTTGTCTCTTGAATCAATACCTGGTAGCAGTTTCAAGTTGAACTCGCTGAGGCTGAATTCAAGCGAGAGAGAGAGAGATGTTGTGGGTTGGGGAATCGATGCTTCAGATGGAGGTTTTACAACTGCTCTTAAGAGCAGAATCCTATCCATGCTCAGACAAAAAAATTGTCCTAGAACTTCTAGCATGGCTGAGTGAGGAATGCTGGGAGTTGTGAGACTTTTCTTCTTTCTAAACAGAGCATAGCATTGGATTAAATTGGCCCTTAAATCTGGTTTGTTTTCTATTATCTTAAATGGTTTTTAAGGGCAGGGCATTTGATGGTCTTAGATGCAAGTATTTATTGGCTTTCAACCTTTACAGGACTATATATTTTTATTATTATTACTGGTTGTTTGGATCAAGCATTGTATAATAAGCAGACTAGGGAAGCTCCTTGGAAAGGTTTTCCCTTAATAGTGGCCTATAGGGATTTTAAAATGAAATCCATCATTAAATTCTGGGCAAGCTGACTGGATTTTGGTTAATGTTTGAAGAAGCCACCTTTGGACTGAACTTCAGGACTTGGAGAAGGACCAGGGGATTATTAGGGGCAGCTTGACCAGGAGATGTGGACTTTGGCAGGTGATGTTGACCTTGAGTGCTATAGAAATAGTAATAAAAAAGAGCAGAACAACATAAATTGGAAAAACAGTTGGAGGGGGGAATCTAACAGGCTCTACATCTCATCTCTGGTTTCTTGCACTGTGCAGGTTCTCAGGATTGCTCCATGGAAACAATCGCAGTGTCACGGAAAGAATTATCCCTTCAGCACCCCCAGCTGGTACGCATTGGAAAACACAAATCCATTCTTTATTTCTGAGCTTCATTCCAGTCACTTGTTTAAAGAGATTAGTCAATAAATGGCCATTTTTGCTATCCAGAGTGCTTTGATGTGAGAATGGAGGACATGGGGGGGGGGAGCATCAAAGCATCTTACGCACGATTAATACACATTACTGAATTAGGCCCACCGACCTGATTACAAAGCTATCACTTCTGGTGGCAGATTCCAGAACAGGAGCCATTATACTGGATTGTTCAGCCCCACTGTAGTTTTTGGGAATTTCAGCAAGCGTTTCAAATACACCCTCATTACCACAAGGCGGGAGTTGGAGTTTTGAGTATTTTCATCATTCCTGACCACTGGCCATGCTGATGGGAACTGCAGTGCAATTATTTTCTGGAAGGTCATGGGTTCCTCACTCCTCCCATAAAGGCTAGCAATTTATTTTAAAGAGTAAAAAGCCAAGATTCCCAGAACACCTGAAACACTGCAATAGCCTGCCCACATTTTCACTGACTGTACATGAAATATCTGAATGTGTGTTCTTCAAAGACAGCAAAATGATTTCAGAGATACAGCAGTTCTGATTTGAAAGGAAGGCATCTCGAATGTGGTGTTCGAATTAGGCAGATCTAATTACAGCAACCAGGCATGTAACTTGCAGAGCGCCATGGTACTCCAGCCGTACGCAAGTGTGTGAGAAGAAGAGGACGGCTTGTGTTTGAGCACTTGTGTGGAATCCTCTGCCCAAGGCTGTTCACCCTTTTTCTTCCTATAGTTGATAAAGCAGATGGTGTTTATGCAGCAATTAATGTGGCCCATGACGACGACGACGACGACGACGAAGCTGATCTGCCCCAGGACTACCGAGTGCTTTATGACTACACAGCCCAGGTGAATGTCTAAGCTCTTGCGTACGGAGTCCAGTCCAGGCCTTCAACTCCCATCAGCCCTAGTCAGCACAGCCGAACAGCACTTAGAGGGCCACGTGTTTCTCATCCCTGGTCTACTTCTCTCAGGGTTGGAGAACCAATTGTGTGTGGGGGGGTTCTCCCCCAGCCCTTGCTGGGCCAAGCAAAATCAGGCGCTTGTGGCGATCAGCCACCGTGATTACACCCACTGGGCGTAATTTGTTCCTGGAGCAAGCAGGCTGTGCGAAGGGTTTTCTCAGCCAAGCCACCCTAATCCCCATTTTTCCTCTGACGGCAGACACGGCTCTGCTCTGTCCCTGCCCACAAAGGGAGACAGCAGCAGGGCGGGTGAAGAAAGTAAACTCGGCTCAATTTAAAAAACCGGTCTGAAAGGCCAAGGTGCAGCAAAATTTGGAAGCGGTGATTCAGGCCCCCAGAGGGGGCTGCATTGAAGGCTGGTGCGCGCATGCGCCATCCGCTGTGCATCCAGGGAATGTGGGATGGAGACTAGGGAACACACGGAGTTCCCAATCCAGGCATGAGCCAGAGCCCGGTTGCGTTGCTTTTGGAAAACTGCCTTATACCAGATTAAGCACTTCAGCCACCTGCTTTCTACCCCTGTGACTAGCACGCAGTCCTTCAAGAGTTCCTATCAAGCCACGGTCTTTCACTTCACCGCCCAGCTGATCCTGGGTATCAAGGGTGGCAAGGACCAGCTGAGCTGTATTCCTGGGCTGCGCTCCAAGCCCTCAACAAGGCTGCTGTGAGGAATCTCCGGTGAAGGAGCCCAATGTTGCCTTCCTGTGACCTCCGTGTGACTCTTCTGGTTCTGCAGATGGCCCTCTCCCCTTTCTCCAGGATGCCCCATCCTTAAAGTGGGGGAAGAGCTGCCTCTTCCTGGCAGAATAAGCCTTCAGTTAAAATGCGGACAGTGTTGGTATTTGATGTACACCTTTGGACAATTGCCAACACTTTCTGTGACGCTGTCCTGAATCAGAGCAGTACAAATGGAGTATTTTCCGCACCTTTAGTTTACAGAAAGGGCCCACAATCCTCCTGTCTTGCCTTTGACTCACATTGCCAATGTGACCTTCTCTAGAATAGAAGATCCAGTTCCAGTGTGGGGGATTATATTACAATGGTATCTTTTGGCTGGTTATCTTGGGAACATTATCAGAAGCATGTTTCTAAGAGCACTGACAGAAAGGGATTCTATTCCTTTCCCATGCCACTCTTTTTCCAGAATGAAGATGAACTGAATATCCGAGCAGGTGATGTTCTAACAGTCATTGAAGTGGGAGAGGACGGCTGGTGGACTGCAGAACAGAATGGACAGCAAGGATTTGTCCCTGGGTCCTACCTTGAAAAACTTTGATGAGAAGAACACTCCTATATGCTTCTTTCTCAACTAGACATACCTTAAAATTGCATCTTTTCGCTCTTTGTATTTGCCATCAATGAAGACCTTGAGTTGTACTCTTTAGTATAAAGAAGGGGTTCTTTGATGCTCTTTTTTAAAGCAACAGAACTCTCCAATAGATCTTGATTTATATGGTCTGGAATTCTGGCGGCTTTTCTAATCCCAGGAGCTCATGCTCCAAAACATTCTTGCCAGAGTCTAAAAGCAAACCAAGACTCTATAGCCTTAGTGGTTCTAATTCTCACACTGAACCACTTTGTAAAGGGATAGCCTGCAAAATTGCCTTATTGTCCCCTTAGAGAACCTGTGGTCCCTTGATTCTATAGGAGGATCCTCACTTAAAAGATGGTGGGCTTCAGTAAACCAGTTTAAGTTCATTTAGTTCATTCCTTTTTGTACTAGCACCTTCCTTCTCATGAACGAAACTTCAACACCTAGGTCAAATTATCCTTTCCCTTTCCTTCAGTCTTCTATGTTAGATGAACAGGGACTTGTTACTGAAGCTACATTTAGTGACCAAATTCTCAGCTGCTGGGAATACAAATACATTCACAGTTGTTCTGACAAGATACCAATGACCTATCTTCACAATCGCCATTTGGAATTCTAGCAGCTGGGAATGTGAATGCAAATAGCAAAAATAAAAGCCCAAGAAATAATTGCATGATCTATTCTGAATTTGTGACTTTTACATTAATAAAAGTAAGGTCCTTGGAGGTACAGAAGGGTTTCCTGCACTGTGAGGAACTGTTTGTCAGCTCCATGATAGAATGCCTTGCTTTCAATACTCCAGTGCCCATAAGGGCTGATTAACTCGCAATGGTTGTTTATCATTTATTAACTAGCACGCACAAACGAATGGTTATTTTAAGTTGAATCACAATAGAGGCAATTGCTAGTCTTTAACTTTGTAGCCATATCTACCAGATAGAAAGTGAGGATGTATTGTCCTAAAGAATATTGACATGTGTAAGATTTAAACAAATGTTGCTTGAATTCCTTCTTCCTCCATGAATACAGTACTGGTTGAAATGTTTTATTTAAAATGTAGATCTAAGTGCAATCCGATCATTAACAGCACACTGAAAAGGCTAATGAGTTTACAGTAAGATAGAACTGCCTCATTTGCTTTCAAGCTTTCTTCTAGCAGCCTGACTTGTATCGGTCAATGTATTGTTTCTTGTCTTCTGGCAAGACTAGAAGCCTGGATCTTCTATAGCGAAGTCATAGGTCTGGACATTTTTGCGAGTGATCTTGCAATTCCACTGAAGTTTACATGAGGCAGTGATTTCAGAAAGGAAGTGTACTCTGGTTTTTGGCATCAGCCAGGAGGGCTAGTGTATTGTGAGACCGCAGAAGGAAGGAGAAAGATCATGCTAGCCACATCCATGGGCCGAAAGAACAAGGACGCCACTCTGCAAAGAACACCAGCATGGAAAGATCAACCTGGCCCAAAGTACAGTTAAATTCTTGCTCAAACCTTAACACCTTGCTTCTGACATTGAAATATAGTTGCTCTTCTTTTACCCTCCACTCCCCTTTTCCTTGCATATCTTGACATTTCAGCTGTAAGCCCAATAGGAGAGCCCGTCTCATTTTTATTGATGTGAGCTGTTTTGGGAGACAGTTGTCTAAAAAGAAGGCTACGATGCAGTAATCAACTTGTGATCTTTAGCTAAACATTTCCAGGAACGCATTAGGCATAAACTCTTGCAGTCTCTAGGTATGTCCATAAACTACTGAAAATGAAGAATGTATTGCCTTGGCATCGATCAGACTTTGCAAGGTTGCTACTTTAAAAACAAAACAGTTAAACTCTCTGTATTTGAAATGGTCTGTTATTTAGGGTCATAATTATTGTATGTACATTAATTTAAGCATTTAAACTGAAACTTCTTTTGTATCTCACTAAACCATTGTGTTGTAACATTTACAAGACTTCATTTGTAGTTATTTTCTGCTACCCCTTTAACTACCAAAACTTACCCCACTAAAAAAGAGGACATTCTGAACTTTAAAAAAAAACCTGTGTCAGCTCTAAATATCACTTACACAACATGCAGAATGTCAAAACAACTAATTAAAAATAAATGAGTAGCAGCTTGAATGCAGGGTTGTTTTCAAAGAAAAAAGGTGACTACGCCCATATCTTTAGTGCAACTCATGGAAGGAAAAGGACAAATCCTTAAGCATATGACATACCGGGTGATCTCACACAAGTGTGAGGATGGGATATCAATGTCGTAAATATGGTGTTACAATGCACAGACTTGCAGCCATCGACCACGACCATCACCATGGCTTCCAGTTATCCTAACAGGGCATTTTTTTCTGATCCTGGGGATACTTCTATAATGGCCTGAGCTTTTAGTTTTGTTACCAGCACCAATTATACACTGGACTTCCTTCTGATTTTTCACAACGTATTTCCTTGTGATCTCATGTGACCTGTACATAAACTGGAGTCCAGAATAGCTGCAGATGTTACGCACAAGTGACAAATTGCCTAGGCACTCTGGTCAATTAATTGGCAAGTTTGCAATGTAAGAGAGCTCACAAATAGGAAAGCTTATAGTCACATCTATAAACCCATGCACCTTCCTTACGTATGAATGTATATATATCTCAAATATGTAACATTGAACAGAAAGATGGCAGCTATCTCTTCCATGAAAAATATAACCTTATTTGAAGAGTTGTCTAGTATTATTGCAAATCTTTTGCCATGCCCACTCATTGTACCAGCAAATGTGAAAGATTCTGTTTTTTTACAGATGGGGAAATTGGATAGTTCACACATGGTTCTGGTCCATATAATTTCGGCTGCCTGATTTCCCAATGGGCAAGTGTTCAGTAACATACCTGATTCATGCAAACCATTTATATTTCTTCCATTCCAAGCTTATGGTAGGTGCCAAAAATGGATGTGAAGCTACATTGTAACTAGTAGCCCCCCCCCCGCCAATCCAAGCTTACAATGTCAGGTTAGTGCTCAAGTGCCAAAATTAATTATGAGGTGAAGCACCGCTTACTCACAATCCACACATGTCCAGTTGCTGTAACCACAACTCCATTACCTAAACAGAGGACCGACTGTATCTGGCCAGCATTCATGCAATTCTTTCTTCCATGTGGTGCCCGTATCACTTTATCATCAGTGGCAAGATGTAATGCTGGAACATCATAAATGAATTCATTAATTGCTGTACAGATGTTACGGCTGTAATTCTAATTAGGTAAATTCCCCGCTACTGTCAGGTTCTGTAAAGCCATTACAAATAACCTCCAAAGTGTCTGAAGAGCCTGTCTTGTACCATTCTTCTTCCAAGAGCAAATTTTTCATCGTTTTCATTTGCGATTTTGGGTATGCACTTCAACTCCTCCAATGGGAAAAAAGGCATTTGATAATGGCTTTCTTCCTTTGTAGCAACTTGTGTTTTATTAGCTGACAAGCCTGAAAAAGTGCCACTGGTATTGCTTAATCCATACATCACTCAGGACAAAAGAACCTTTGTATAGGATTTCTTTACGGCTGGGGAGCGGGACCGAAAGAAAGCCAGTTTGGTTGGGATTTCATAATTTGATTTGATGGATGGTGGGAGTTCGGACTACACAGCGAAAGGTTCATGTTTCGGTGATCTTTCCTCCTTCCCAGGGTAGCACAGACCAGCTGCATTCAGACAAGAAAAGATCTGGCTGCAGGACGCTGACAGAAGCCAGCTTCTGGGAACGTGGTGACCTTTGACATCTCCCCATTTAGCAGTATTAAAGCAGGATCATGCAACAGGCTGGGAGAAAAGCACTGCCTCTGAACAGGAAATGGCAGGTGCCCCGCAGCTTGTCCAAGCAACAGTGCCTGGCTTACTCAGGGGCTACTTGAGCTATGAGGAGGAGGAAGGAGCACAGGGCTCGGCTGGCAGCATTCAAGCTGAGTCCTAAAATTCATCAGCACTTCTCCAGAGCTTGTATCTCCTTGAAGCTCACTGCTATTAGGACTCCAGCGTTTGGGTGTCTCATTTTAATATTCCGAGTAAATAAATCCATTCCTGCAGGCTCAGGGAAGGCAATTTCACCCACAAGTATTTTAAAGTAACAAGGTAAAGTCACTACAAGACTCAACTGTATCAAGGACTCGCGCAACTGGTCTTTTTTGAACATTCATACTGGCAATCAAATATCCCTCACAGAAAAAATGCAAGGGAAGTAAGTGGACACACTGAGGTTAAAATGCTAATACACAGAATCCAATGCACATTACAACCTCCCAGGACATTCAGTAAGAGACTCAAAAATTACCATGCGTCAGCAGAAACCAAGTTCAAAACAGGCCCTCCAAGAGGAAAATGCTTGATCAGTGTTCATATGCAGAAGTGATATTGCTGAGTGGGTAGAACAGAGACTGAAAGAGGCCAAATTATGCCGGAAAGTCACTGTCCCACCATAAGTGTGCGTGTTTGGTTCATCTTCCGTATTCAATGCCGTTTGGAAGCAGGTCACCCCCATTCCAACTGGACCATCTGGCACGACTACATAACCATGAGCTTATTATTCTATTTCTCAACAACAGCCTACCAGATCCACTGGCAGCACTGAGTGCAGGGAACAGCCCTTGATTGTAAAGGGAGGGGGGGAAAGGCGAACTAGTCCAGCCAGTTCTGGGATGTGTATCTGCTCAGCATCAGCCAACTTCTGCAGCCTGCTACTGCGGGGACCGGCACTGGACTCATCTAAGCTGACATGCTCCCACAGGAAAATCAAGGCTGACCGGGCTGATGGCAGACCTGGGACAGCTGGACACCTCGTTCTCCTCTTTCAAAGCGTCATCCTCCAGTGGACAGTTCATTTGAGGACTCTAGAGATCAGCTGGTACAATCTTCTCCATATGGGAGTGAAGCTTTGGGACTGGCAAACCTGAGGGCCCATTTCTTGTACCTTATCGTTTTACCTTTTCGCTCCGTGGCTGCCTCTCAGGGCTCTCATCACTCAGAGACAGGGTGGAAGAGAGGACCAGAAGTTCAGAGGCGTTCCCCCCAGCATCCTGCTTTGGAGCTAGGCAGGAATGAAACAGAGAAGGAGGCCGTTCCATCATATGAAACCTGAATGAGCATATTCTTATTTATCAGAGTGAGCAGAAGAACAGTTGACTCAAGGATATTCACCACTAGGTGGAAACATTATACCAGAGTGGGTTCTGGCCTATGAAGGCTGCTGCTATGAAACATTTGTAATTCAAGGGCGTTGTTTGCGCAAGGAATAACTGACCACACGGAAATAGCTTTCTGTATCTGCACAGAATGGTGCGTCAAGCTCTGAAAAGCACTGTGAAAGTAAATGACAAGATGCTTAATTATGGAGCATGTTTGCTAGACCAGTAGCTGCTATTTATGTTGGTTCAAGAGCGATGTGCAGATCACGAAATGTTAAGCCTGGTTTAGTTTTGAAGGAGATGGTCAGAAGATTTATTTGATCAGATTTCCTATTTACACTTTCACATACTATTTTGCTACTCTATAACAATTCACTCAATACATAAAACAGCCTCTTCATAGAAAAAATGAAATATTCATTATAGAACAGTAGTGCATACATTATACTCCTGAAAAGCCAGCCTGTACACTAATGTTTGGAGGATTTGTTCATTTGAATTTAAGAAGGTCAAGAGATGCACTCATGTGATTCTGACATTTTGGTTAGTAGTTGTTTTGTAGTGTTCTGGTCTTGATTTAATGCTTTAAAAAAAGTCAGACAGACACTGGTGAGAGGCAAGCAGAAAAAAACAAAGGGAAAAGATATTGCAAAGGTAGCCACCTACCCCCTCCCTCATACCACTTTGGCCTGTTATTCCACTCAGTCAAGAGCTGGAGAACTCTGCATCTAAGAATCAAATCAGTTCGGTGCCCAGCAATCAACTTACCACGTTTCAGTACACTGCTAGTTTTCCTGCCAAGTGGCCTTGTTTATGTAAGGGGCTCCAAAACAGTGTTTACTTGGCTGCTAACATGTGGAAAGCTGGCTAAAATAGTAAGAGGGGTCACAGGAACATGGGTGTGTGTGTGTGTGTGTGTGTGAAAAGTCACGCCTCTCTGCCCATCACCAGTGTATCTGCTAGCTGTCCCAGTCTGTGAAAGGAGTGCTTCTGCTGAGTCAAAATCGTCAAGACAACTGCTGCAGCTGCCCCAGCCAAGCTGCCTCCCAGGTAAAGGAAACCGAGTTCAAGCTTCAGCTCACAGCTTCTTCTAAGCGTAGGTTCCTCCAGTGATGAGCAGTTCGTAAGCAGGATCCCGACTCCTCCTACAGAGCACAATGCAGGCACACAGCATCCCCAGCAGCTGTGGAGAAGCAGAGAAACGGGCTGAGCATCCTGGGACATTATTTGTTCCCGACAGCGGCTTTCTGTAAATTGATCCGTGAGTTTCTAGCCATCTTATTTAGGACGGCATTGTCAGCACTCTCCTTCAAGTCAGCTTCCAGGCGGGAGGCAAACCTGGCCTATTATTTTGTATTCTCATTCAAAGGGAGAAGTGCTTGCTATTTTCTTGATACTTAAGGGCCTGTTTTTACAAGAGGCAGTTTTGAGTAACCAGCTTGCGGTGGAGTTTTAGCGGAGTTGAAGGGGCAGCATAGCAGCCGAGCGGCCCACATGGGAGCCTGGATGGAACAGCCTCTGGTGTGTCACTGCTCTGAACACTCAAAATCCTACAGTTGCGATGAATGGAGACCTTGATAGACACAGACTTGTGAGCAGAGTTTTGACAGTCACATTACTTCTGACCACGGGCTAAAGTACAGCCTGACTTAAAAAAAAAACAAACCAAACGCCAAAAATAAAAAACCCACACACCCCACAGCTGTCACTGGCTACAGAAGTTTTATGAACAGCCTGCTTCTGTTCAAGGCTCCCAGGTGTATATGGGCTCATAGCAGCCCCAAGAGGGCACAAAGGCAAGTTCAACCATTCATCACATCAGAGCTTAAAGTAGGTTTCAGCCACGATGGGACTCCTCCTGCAGCAAGGACTCAACTGTTTGGAACCGTGCATTTATCTTTGGAGAACTGTATTTTTCAGTTTTTAAGTTTGACTGGGTATCAGTTTGACCCGACGTGGCATGTCAAGTAGGAGGGAGGAACTAAAACTGCCAACTAGGGTAAATGACGATCTTTAATAACACAACTGCTGCTCATGGTGTGAATCAACATCAAGCTGACCAGAATGGTCAAATGTATACTTTCCCTTTCAAAACTGGACCTAATCAATCCAGATGGCTTATTTAAAAAAATGTTCAAATGTTCCAGTAATCGCTTCCCTGATAGCTTAACTTTAGAAATGTGAGACCGCCATGAAAGCGATTAGGAGCTGAAACGCAACACAAACAGCAGTGGCGGAAATGCCGAGAATAATAAAGCATCCACTGAAAACTAAGAAGAGTAAAATGAACCTGGTGCTCCAAAACTAGTCGAGTAAGTAAAGGAAAAGTAGGTATCAGCCAAGAAGGTGCTTCCTTAAGCAGGACAACAGCACTAGAAAGGTCCCACCTTGCCTTGGAAGGCAGTGGGGCCCAAGCAGGCTTCTGGGTACTCCGAAATTAAAGGAGGAACACATTCGTGGAGAAGCAGACAGTACTACACTCTGGCCCCAAGCATGAGGAGGTTTAAATAATCTGCTTGCCTCTCGGTGCAGGAGGCAACAGTCAAGCAAAAATATTTTTAGTTGCACTACAATCATTTTTCAATTTATTCTTTATGATCAAGGAGTTTCCAGTAAGAGTTGTTTGAACAATCATACTAAGCAGGAGAGCCTGAGCTGCCAGGAGCAAAATCCATTACCTTGTCAACAAAAGCCAAGACAAATATCTGGATTCCAGTTTGCTCAGGACAAACAGTGGGTAATGGGTCAAATACAAGGCTCTTACAGAAGAGATGAGTAATTATCAGCTGCGATCATACGTGGATGCATTAACACCAAGTTATACCAAACTCTGGCGAGGGTGGGGGCTTTTAAACGGAAGGAGATTTCAGAGGCTGTCATTATTCTGTGAATGAGCTGCGAGAGTCACATGGTTGCTGAAGCCTACACCAAGATGAAGGATCAGGTGGAAGCGGCTACAACCAGCAGCCAACCAGAAACAGTAAAGATGGAACACAAAATACCGAATACACACATTACTCTGGTCGAGCTTCTTCTCACAAGAAGAAAAACCCAAGCTGCACATCAAAAGTGGAGGTTCGTGTAGTGCACTGCGCAAAGGCAGGCAGATGTCTGGCAAAGAAGGTGCAGGGAGTTCTCTTTGGATTTCAAAATATCACACCTTCATTGGAAGAACACTTTAACGACTTTAAATAAAGGAGTATTTCAGTGTGCCAGGACCATGTACATCAACTGGTTTTAAGAGGGTGAGGCTCTTCTCGGCCAGCGCATTTCAAATCACGTCAGGGCTGGCCGACGTTCTGTCCCAGAATCTCTGTGTATTTAGTCCAACCCGCTGTTTACACAGCTTTTGAGGCGACAGCTGGTGGGCAATTCCAGCAGTGCCCACGCTGTTCTTGCTTAGATGATACAACTGAAGGACAGAACACGTGCGGCCAGGGAACGGCATTATGGCAGCTAAGGCATGCCTGGCTCAAAGCAAGACGGGGAACATCGGAAGAGCCGTTACTAATTCTCCCACCTCGAAAGCATTTATAGATTCCGAGCCTTACCTGAATGGCGGCAAAGGCCAGTGCTGCCCAGATAACATACATCATGATCTCCTGCAGCTTCTTTACAACCAGCGCTTCACATCCCTGAAAAACAAACAAGCCCTTAAGGGCTCTCATTGCCAACTTCTAGAATGTTTTGAGCAGAAAGCTGGGATATTGGTTAACAAAAGGCTTATTTCTAAGACTACGTCTGCATTCATCAAGAGGATGCTACCCGGTTGGGTCCAGGGGAACCACCAAAACTGGTTTCTGGAGCAGGTGGGTTGATACCCCACCAGGTTCTTTCTTCTCCTTGCCGTTGCTCCTCTTCTCCCCATCCTATGCTGCAAGCACACTCATCTCCTCTTCCTCTGGCAGGTGGAAAGAGGAGGAACAAAGCCTGCGATGGGGTAAAAGGGACGGCTGCTGCGGCAGCTGGTGGTGGGAAAAGCCCAAGTCAAAGGACGGCAGCCAAAGGTGGAGGAGGAAGGAACGGCAGTGGCCAGGAAAGAGTCGGGCGAGCTACGCCTGGGGGCCTTGGAGGGCACCGACATGCCCTCAGGTGCCACGCTGCTGGCCCTATCTGGATTCTCAGCGTTTAAGAAAACCCGGCAGAAAATGGATTTCCCTTCAAAGAAATCAGAGGAGTATGGGAGACACGAATTAACGGCGTTCCAGTTAAACCATAGGCCCTGCTTACTGTTGCTCCCTTGCACCCGTCTCCATCTCTTAGCCTAGCACCCTTCAAGAAACCGCCATCTTTTACTGTGAATGCTGCAGAGTAAGTAAGTAAGAGAGATACTAGCCTCGGCATAAAGGTCTGTGGGGTGAGCCAAGCTTCCCGTACAGTTGCTGATGGCGGCCTTACAGCAGCTAAGGGGCACGCTGTTGTTCTTCGTCTCCTTGAACCAGTTTGTCGTCTCCCAGTCACTGTAGTTGTGGATCCCACAGCAGCGCAGCTACGACGGAAAAGAAGAGATGGAGAAGGCACTGGGCAGGCCGGGGGGCGCCCACCAAGAAATCGCTCTGTGCAAAACCCAACGCGCCTGCTCTCCTGGCTGCTTTGAGTACCGCGATACCGGCAATTTCACTGCCGCCATTATTCGCAGCATGCCCCACTGGCTGAATTTGCCTTACGGAAGCGAGATGCACCTTCTACCTCCACCTCCAGCAAGTCTCGCTTCCTGCCTTACCTCAAGGAATGGGGTTTGGGGAAGCAAAATCTTCCTGCAGACCAGCCCCAGGGCTCATCTACACTATTGCATCCCTATCCTGGGCTGAGCAGCAGATGCTCAATAAAGTGCTTTACTCTACAAAGTTGTGTCTTGTTGAACAAGACCTGGTCCAAGACCTTCTGAGGCTTTTTTATAACCTTGGGCATCTGGAAGTCAGCTACTGTTCAACATTGAACACTACCAGGTATCAGTCAATTTGCTACCTTGCCTAGCGATGGCCCAAGGCAGGGTTGAGGTTACTGCCACTACCTTCTATGTTGTTTCTGTTTCCCCAGAATCTGCTGGCCACCTGGCAGCATCAAACAGGCTAAACTGATTGACGTTCTCCCTTCTTTTTTGCTAGGCTGGACAGCATTTTTGTGGGTTCTCACCTGCCTCTGCACATAATCAATTGCACGGCTTGCAGCATCCGGGTTAGTTCCATTGTAGGTGTTATACACTTTCGTAATACTGTGATTGACTTCAGCCTCCACCTATTAAAACAAACAAACAAACGGACGCCAGTGTTCCCATTCTTAGCAGAAAGCATTCAGTTCAGAGAACTGCAAGGCTCCCATTTCTCTTAAGAGCTCTTCAGTGTGTAGAGAAACAGCCCCTGAATGTAGTGTGCTCTTCAACCATTATCAAACAGAGTATCTTAGAACTTGAAACTCTTGTGAGTTTTGCCCATCCTTTTAAAGTGATGCAGGTGGAAAATGTCTTTTCACTGGTAGATCCTGCCTATGGGAATTCCCTCTCCAGAGAGGCCTGCTTGCTTTCTACTTCGTTATCTTTTTCAGTACCTGGTAACGACCTTTCATTTCTTAGGCTTTGAAAAGCTCACGTTTTAGCTGCTCTAATCTGGTGGTGTCCACTACAAGTCCTTCATTGCTTTGATCTTGTATTGTTTAAAGTAATTAATATTTTAATGTATTCTTTATTTCACAGCCACACCTGCCATAGTCAAAGCTATTTTAGTTCTCAGTTTTACCTAAGAAATTTCTAAACACACATGTTCTACCATCAGCCAATATGCAAGGTAGCATCTTAGGGCAAGCCAACACTAACATACACTCTTCTGTTATAATAGGAAGTTTCAGCTGGATCACTTGGCTGCTCCCTTCTAGCCTTTTGTGTGTATAACGTATACGACACTTAGAGAAGGGAGAGTGTTCACACAGTGCTCCACAAGCGGTGTGATCAGAAGCAGGCCTCGGGCACGTGGGTTTTCATGTCTTCTCTTTGAAATTAATGTCCAAACTGTGCTTTTTCAACACAGAACCCCTTTTGACTCTGGACACTAAACCTGTTAAATAGGGGGATCTGTTAGCATGTGTCTCTGAAAGGACACCGAGTTGGTAAAGTGCTGTATTAGTTGCAGTTTCATTCAAGGTGATCAGTTTTAAATTGAGCCAAAACTGTACTATTTAGGAGAATGTTTTAGCACTTTAGAAGAAGCAGTTACCTTTGCTCTGTAGATATAACCGAGAACAACCACCACAACTTCTGTGATAAAAACCAACAGGAGGATGATCACAAACTGCAAAACAGAAACAATTTTATGCAAATAGTTTTGTGAAAATATGACTTTTGGTTATTGTTCACATTAGAATGACCTGGTAAGAACAGGTTAACACTGTCCATTAACAGCGACTATACTTGTTATATTAAGTGACTCAATTCTGCTGGTAATTTGAGGAAGCAAATGCAGTACCTAAAGAGAGATCAAGATAGCTATCAAGGTTCAGGTAAGTGCTATGTAGCAGCCATTCCATGGGGAATCAAGTTACAGTTCTTTGAGTGTAATACAATATTCCAGACTATTGCTTTCAACCCAGGCCAAAAAAAAATCCATCTTTAGTGGACTTATATTGGTTGTTAGCCCAACTAAGCAGGTTCTGTTCTATTAACAGAATGAATGTTTGTTTCTTACATGATTAATACACAAAAACCGACTGCCATCGGGTAAATATTTTGGAGGGGAAAATTCCACCTTATGAGATAGCGTGTTTTAAGAGAGGTGCCACTCTTAAGTCAGATGACTGAAATGTGCCTACGCATCATTGCATATACAAGGCTCCCTCAAATTTAAAACCGATAAAAACTGATTTTGACCGCACACCTGGAGGCTTTCCAGAGCAACTGTAAAAAGGATGGAGATCAATGACTTGTTACTCACATATCTATCCTGAAGTCTGGGGGAAACACTATTTAGAGGCAATGATGTTAACAAGTTTTTTTTTCCATACTGTGGGAAGTAACACAGGAAACCATATCGTGGGTCAGAGTAGTTTAGTATTTCATCTTGTAGGTAGTATTGGTCCTCCAGGGTCTCCACTAAACCCTGGACCCCTGGCAGGAAAAGCACGGGCTCTACAACTGAGCTATGGTCCACTGGATTAATGTCAAGTATATATTTGTCCTGCCAGAGCAGTGCTGTGGTTAGACTGTGACTCAAGAACTCAGGGTTCAAGTCACCACTCCGTGACGCTGACTGGGTGACTTTCAGCTAGTCACTGACTTGCAGCCGAAGGGTGGGAAGGCTCATGCAAGCCATTCTGGATTCCTTGCGAAAGGGAAAAGGGGAGGATGTTATGTGTAGTAATATAATAAATGAGTTTGCTGAGTTAACCAAGTTACAGTTGGCTAACAAGATCACTTGATTATTTTATGCCAACCATACGTACCAAAAGGCAAGGGATCCTGTGGTTTGCAGGGACTACTGGGGGCCTTAATGACTATCCGTCTGAGGAAATCGTCTGTGGTGCACCAAATGGAGAATTCCTTGCAGCATTAGGCTTACCGTAGCGAGCCCACAGCGGCTCTCCCGGATTGTGGCACAGCAGCCGATCAGACCAATGATGAACAGAAGCGTCCCCACTGCTATGATAACCACTGCAGGGATGAGGGTATAGACGTCTTCAAAGAAGTGGTCATAGTCGTCGTATGTGATGAAGACATAAGCCCCCACGTAGCATAAGATGCCTGCTGCCGCCTGCAAAAAACAATGCAACGAACATTGGCAATGAGAGATCCCGGTCGCAGCTTCTTTTGATATCCTTATCTTTCAACTTTATGGCGATTACTCCATTTTAGGAAGAACATTAAGCCTTTTCAGCCAAAGAATAACAGAAATACTTCAGCGCCAGGTTAAGACCTTTTTATTTGATCAACATTTCAATAAGTTTTAATATTGTATTTTACCATTATATTTTAACCGCAGCCAGAGTGGGTCGATAACTTATTTATGTTTGGTGATATTTGTATTTTATCTTTGTAAGCCATCCTGAGGCTTTTGCAAAGGACGGCATAGAAATAAATAAATAAATTCCTAGAAGGAGGGAAAATGCACTACCACCACTCCTACCCGGATAAGGCAACCGGACTTCACCTGAAGCCACTGCCAAATAAGCCAAATTATTCCAAGTAAAGGACATATTACTTTTGTTTACTTGCCTCCACCCTGAATTCACATTTCCTCTCATTAATCCAAGAAATCGGCCAGATCGGCTAAACCTACTCAAACTGCAGGCGACATTTTTGGTGCAAGGGTATTTCCACTTCCGGTCACCCAGTGCATGTTGCCTGTGCCAAGCGTGCAAATTTTAATGCCCGCAGCTCACTTAGGAGGCACTCTGACAGCCCGAGTTCGACTTTATCATGGTCTGGTAACTCGAAGGCAGCAGTTCTGGGGCTGCACGCGGCTTGCCTTGGAGACAACGACTGTTTTGTTATTGTGCAGACTAAAATATAAATAAGCATCAGTTCACCAAGGCCTGGCTGGCACACAGCTCGAGTGGTTCTCTTGCACAGAGGTGCTAAAGCCAAATTCCTCTGAACTGCGTATGGGTCAACGTGAGATCCATGCCTCTATTTAAAGTTCTTGGGCACACAAGCACGAAGGACAGGCTCCAGAGCCACTGTTCCACACCCACTCCATGAAACCGCCACCCTCCGCTATTTTGGCCCCACTGTGAGCTGCCAAGGAGTTTCGGGACGCACATTCTCTCCAACAGAGCCAGGACGCAAGTGTTGCAGATGCTGTGCGCTTCCAGGCGTCAAGTTCCCTGCACTGACATTGCAGAGTGCTGCAGCTCCACGTCAGAGGAGGAGGGCACCCGGCTTCTGCAGCCTAGCACGGGAGGGCGGCTTAGGAATGGCTTCCCTAGATAGAGTAGCTAGACAAGCATCCATTTGAAGTCCCCAAAACAAATGAGGACATTGTTGCAAGCACAAGAAGATGCCAAAATGAAAGCAATCCCGAAATAATCTCAAAGAGCTTATGTTCACGTGGCACCAAACCAGTGATCCCGTAAGGTGCCATGCCTCACCAAATTCATACTGCCATGTGCTGCCACTACACATTCTCAAGTGGCATGTATTTGCAATTAGCTTGTCTAGCTTACAGCCAGTGTATTTCCAGTTTACCAGGGGGAAGGAGGGGCCACAAAGATTACGCACCAAAGCAGCCTTTTGTTTCGCCCTTAATACACAATCACAGACAGCCTAGCAAAAGGCCGTTTGAGAGCCTGTCTCATACTGGGAGAGGAGCACAACCCAGTACGCAGCTCACAGGTTCAGCTGCTGGAATTTCAAGTTAAAAAATCATTTAGCAGAAAGAGGTCCCCCCACCCCCGCCTTTGGTCCAAGACTCCAAAGAGCAGCCCTTGTCAGGTGAACAGACAGACCGAATTGGTTTACTATAGTTAAGTCTTCAGTAATCAAGGAAGTAGCCAGCATTCAGAGCAGGGTGGGGAACCCATGGTAAAGGATGATGGAGGTTTGAGTCAAGCAACACTTGGGAGTGCTATAGGTTCCCTGCATGCCAATTTAGAATCTGGTATGTCTGCAAACACAATTTTAGAATGTGGCATTTTATGAGAACACTTTTTAAAGAGCCACCCAAAAGAGCTGGGGAATACTCTCATTATTATTAATTGTTGCCTAGCAACAGAGCACAAAAATAGCTTGCTAATGTTATCGCCCTCACTAAAGGATTCAATACAATTGTCAAAAACATAAAAGAAATCCTAAATAAGATTCTTGGACAGTTGCTTTTCATTCTCTAATCTTTTAGGACATGCTTTGCATTTTCTACTACTTTAGAGCTAGGCATTTTACTGGTAAAAAAGATACTAATGCCACTAATTTAGAGGAAAGACTTAATGAGATAAATTCTGAACAATCTGAATTTATAACAATGTCACATATACATAAACAAATATGTAGTTGAACAATTCTTGACTCAATGCAGAAACTAGACAAAAAGCAACATTTTAAACGAGATTAATTAAAGCATGTACCCCTTCTGTGATCTGGTGTAGATATAATGCTGCCCCCAAACGTGCCATGAAGGCCTACATGTTCCTTCTACCTTTGCCTTTGAATTACACTTCTGCCTGCAGTGCATGTCTAACCATCCTTACACAATATATCCAGCACAGACAGAACAGTGCTCAATAATAAGTCATTATTCTAGTTATGAACACAAAATGTAATGAAGCATGCATTATAAACATTTACTTCTGTGAGTGAATATTTATGGACCTGTAAGTTCTAAAGCCCTGGCTTTGGACAGCATCATGATGCACTTATAAAGACAGGTTGCTATTTATAAAAGGAGTCTCCTTGGGTTCACAGAATATTTGACGCTGATTATATAATAAGGAGCTAAAGGACCAGTGTGTCAGCCTACACTGCCTCAGTCATCAAAACTCAAGACAGCTCTTTGCAGCTATTTTAGATTTTGCTGATTCTATGCGGCTACAGAAAGGCTTAAACAATATCAAAGGCATAACACTAACTTTACTGGTGCTCCAACGCAAGGTAATATAATTCTGCAATATCTGTAAGCATGTAGTTTACATTGTCAATAAAAGAGTACTGGCACCACCAGTGCTATAGAATCCTTTACTTCTCTGCCCCTGTACTAGCTTAAAGAAACAGTTTGGCTGTAAATATAGTGGGCAAGATTGAGCTTGCTACATGCTAGGATGCTTCCCATTATACTGACCTAAGTTTTAAAGAAATGAGACAAGGCCTGCTCAGAGTACAGCTGGCATTAGAAGCAGATTGTCAATCATTTATGCCAGTGGCATAGGCTGACTGGCATTAAAAGCATTTCACTATACCTCCTAAGTAGCCAAATGACAAATTTTAAGCTCTTAAAGGTCTGACTGTCTAAAGCTCATTAAAATACCATGAACTGTGGAACGGAAATGTATTGATTCTAATCTAATGGAGATGAACTGTGCCTCTGAACTATCATCAATTCTCTGATGGCTGGGAAACACAGACTAACTATGACCCTGAAAAAAGAGCTCCTACAAAGCAAAGGTATCTATTCTGTAACAGGCCTAGTCACCTAGAAGACCCTGAAGCTATCTGAGAAGAACATGACATAACTACAATGACTACAACACATTATTAAATCTGACTGCCACTGTTACCAGTAGGTGAACTATAACAGTGTGAAGTGTGATAAAATAACACCCATGACATTCGGCTACACCTGGCTAAGCAGAATCGGGCAGAAGGTCCACTAGCAGACTCCTAGACAACTTCCGCAACATCACGCAGGCCCTATCAGTGGCAAGAACTCTTACTAAGTATTCTACCGTTGTCTCTTTCACAATGTCTGCTTTTGGGAAGACCGGATACCCAGCATCACTTATTCTAGTTATGCTTGAATTTTCAAAAAGTATACATCCCTGGTTTGTTTTTGAATTTTACAATCCTTGAGGTAAGAGGAGTTTAGTAAAGAACAGTAGATCACAGGCGAATAAACTGAACACATGGAATACATTGGCCCAGGTCATGAATGTGCTCACTTCAAGGGGTGGGGAGGCGGGATGCTGCAGAGTAGAAAAAAGCTACAACACTTTTTAAAAGGTCTAAAAGCCTCCACAAGGACCCTAATCTGCTGGAAGAGGAGGCAGTTAGAAGACAGAAATGAGACCAGGTTTCAGAGAAAGTGACTGTTTGACTGAAATGTAGATGCATTTTCTAATTCTGCTACGTCTGGGAAAAAAGGTATTTGTGACTTGTGAGCTTTAGGAGAGGCCAGCTGGATCAGGCCATAGGCCTACCAAAGTCCAGCATCCTATTTTTCCCACAATGCCCAACTGCAGTGTCTTTGGGAAGCCCACAAAGAGGATGAGGGCGATAACCCTCTGCCACTGTCCTTCCTAGAGACTGGCAATCAGAGGGGGTAATATACAGTCACCATGCCCAAGAGGCCAGAATTATCATCAGCAGACAATCAAGATCATGTACAAGCTCATTTTTCTCCACAAAGGTCTCTGTGTAAGGGCAGAGTAAACCCAATGTGTGGGGATGGGGGCGGGGGGAGAGAGGAGGAAAAAACAAGGTATACAGAGACTTAACAATGCTCTCATTCTCTTGCATGCACTGGGTCACATGGTTCTGCAACCTGAACTGACTCATCGGAGCCACCAGATCCCTTCAACTGCACAAGAACAATGAAGCACACACCAAGCTTCAGAAAACTCCTTCCAAGATGAAGTTATGGCATTCAAGGCCACAGTGAAAAGGCACTCTGAGAGCCCCCTTGGTCGAGAAATTTCTGGGTGTATTTCAGGCAGCTGTGACTCAGTGTTCTGCCAAGGACTCACCTTCTTCCAAAAGTGTTCAAGTTGCATCGGTTTGGTTCAGAAGGAAAGGAGGGAACATTAGCTCAAGGTCAAGTTTCAAACACAGTAATAATTTATAGGTTCAAGTAGTAAGGTACCGTATCTTATTTAGCTCAGTGTTGTAGCACCACGCTTAATATGCTACGCAGGCACCAGATATTGGAGAGTAAGCCTCTTTGGGCAGAATGCTAAGCCAGCGTGGGTTAATTAACCTGTGGGGCCTCGGGGTGCATACTAGCCATGGATTGGGCCTTGGGGGTTACACAAGTTAAACAGTAATTGGAGAACTCGAGAACAATATGTGACCTCTCTTCAAGTGAATGATCATCTAGTTTTGTTTCAACTCTATCCAAACCATCACACTCCACAATCTAAAAACAGGATCAGAAACATCCCTGCATGTCTATAGATACATGGCCGCCTTTGCCAGGAACAGAAGTCTTACCTAGAACAATTTACCAAGAAGCCATACAACACACAATCACAGAACAGTTTTACCTGGGTACAACTTAAGAATACTATATTAAAATTTCATCAACATAAACAAGTTACAAGATTATAATTAGACATGACTTGTCCTATGACTGATAACATATTACATGTAAAGTACTCCAGAAGCACATTTCTGTGCCAGACACTGTGTCTGTTCAGACATTATCTGTTGGAGAGAAAGCTGGCCAGAGTTTCAATTAAGCCTAGTCTTCTACTGGGAGAATTTCCCACCTGATCCATATAATGCTGCCGCCACCACCAACCAAAGAACAAATATCTCTGGCTGGTTTACAACAATACATGAAATACAATCTAAAATACAGACAACCATATAAACAGAAAAAAACACCTTGCCCTACAAAACTTTAAAATCCATTTTAAAACAAATGTTAAAAAGCTACAACAGCTTATACATATTAAATCATGAGACCTGTTTAAGCAGCTAACATAAGCCCCAATAGCAAACTAATTAAATGCCCTGTGGTAGAGCACAGTCTTAACCTGGCACCAAAAAGATTGCAAGGTTGGGACCAGGAGGGCTTCACTGAGGAGCTTGTTCCATAACTGGGGTGGGGGGTGCACTCAAAAGGCTTTTCTCTTTATCATCACTAACCAGGCCTCTCTTGGAGGTAGCAATCACTGGCAGGCCCCAGATCTTGACTGCAGTGTTCAGTCAAGGAGAGGCATTCCACCAGGTATTGTAGTCCCAAGCTCTGTAAGGCTTGATGCTTAAAACCAGCTCCTTGAACTGGGCTAAGCACGTGGGCAGCCAATGCAAGTGGGTCAGAAATGGTGTTTTTAAGTTCAGACCATCTGGTCCCTGTTATTAATCTGGCCATCACATTTCGAACAAGCTGCAGCTTCTGAACAGCCTTCAAGGGCAGCCGCAGACACAATGCACTGCAGCAATCTCTAGAAGTCTGTAAAGGCAGATTATTGAAACGAGGCAATTCCTGTCCAGATCCGGACATAGCTTGGCCCCAAGCTACAAACCTGCTCCCATTTAGAACGGATTACTTCCCTCCAGCTGGTCAAAAGAATGGTCCACTAACAGCAGCTCAGTCTTGTCTGGACTGAGTTTCAGTTGTGTCTGACCCTATCATCTCCTTAACATATTTCCTCCCAAGGACAGGCGATTTCTTCCTTTAGTAAATGAACTAAACAAGGCAGCCCTGTGCAAAAATACCCTTCAGATTTATACCCAAGAGTCACATTTACATGAACTGGAGTTTACATAGCTCCTTCCAGAAGTACATATTAAATAACATATTTGATATCAATAAGCCCACCAAGCCTCCATGTACTGTTTAACTCCAATAACAAAAGTACAATCCACACATGCCACTTCTTCAAAAATTTAAACTGATACACGACAGTTCAAAACTTAAGTCACAGAATGTAAAAACATCATCTAGATATTACGTATCCAGAAACATCATAATATCACAGTAAAAGGACTGGAATAAAACCAGAAAAGTTTGTGTTAAAAATGGGCTAAAGGACATACCACATCAAGTTGAATGGGCTGGATATTAGCAACAATGGATCTTTTTAGAAATCCTATTTATAGCTATTTTTGTTCATAATATTTTTGTTATTTTTGTTCGTAATATAGTATGACCGCATGCCTCAGCATCTTCAGCGGCTAAGACTTTTTCACACCTGGAATAATGCATCTGGCGTTACATTAACTCGAACTCCAGCCAATCGGCTCTGTACTGTTTACCATCATGTTCTTAAATTGCATTCCCTTTGCTTGTGTCAGGTCATGCTGAACTCATAGTCTGTGCCTCTGCCCACCTCTCTGCCTTCCCTCAGATGTTACCAAATGTTTGCTCTACTAACCTTGGCAAGCCACTTATGTTTATATAAAATTTGGACTTTAACTGCAGCAGCTCAGGTATAAGTTCAAGATGAAGATCTGAACACTGAGATACAAGTAACTCATCCAGCTTGCGCACTCTGATCTCTTTTCTGCTGGCCCCAGTCCATTCATGTTGCCCTAGTTTGGATCCACCCCATACACACATCCCTCAAAAGAGCCACAGTTGCCACGCAACTGCAAAGATTTATCTTCCTTTCTGCAACTTGTGGGGGAAGGATAACCTGAAGCAAAGCTACTTGGGTGCCATCCCAGGGGAGTCCCTAGCCGTTCCTCCTCCCAGTGTTTCCCACTCCACAAAGCATCACTGCCAACAATGTTTGCCAGTTCATCCATATTTTAAATAGAGGACTATCATTAATAAATTAAGAACTGCATGAATAAAATTCGAGGCAAGCAAAACCACTGCAGCAACCTAATATCAGTGTGCAGCTTAAAAACCAGGCATCAGTATCGCAGCGAATATTGATTCTTCCAACACCACATGAAACTATTCCTGGTCACCACTGTTTAATGGTTTCAGTGACCTCCTTTCAGAAACATATTTTTTTAATCCTTTAAGCAAGTCCTCATGTAACCAAAATACCCCCATCTCTTTCTGTCCTATCCATAAATACGCACATACTTTTGGGGGCCTGATTAAAATCTGGGATGGCTGATCTGCTTGAAGCAGGACCCCAAACACATACAGAAGCATGCAGCGCTAATAAGGGTGAATCCTCTACCTTCTGGTTTTCTGCCCAAAGAAAACCCTGCTCTTAAAGGCAAACAGGAATAGGGGTGTTTTTTGGGGGGGGGGGAGATAGAAAAGTTAAAAGGTTGAGAAGAGCTGGGGCAAGAATTTCTGGTGCTAAGATCCCCAAGCAGCATCTGAGCTCATCATTTCGGATTAGATCATTGCTCGTGACGGCTGCTCTGGACCGCTTAATGGAGAGAATCCAGGTTTGCATCCCTGTAATATGAACGAAATCGCTGCACCAGCCAGAATGCAGGCTCTGCCTTGCGGGGGCTTTCTTCCCCCACTCCAACAGTCCCAGGTTTGCCCCCTTCGGTCGAACACGGGTCAGCGGAGCAGGTGCGAAGCCGCACAGCCGGGAAGACCGTCCGTCCGTCGGATGCGCCGCGACGGGCCCAGCCGACCCACGGCTGCATGCTCCGGGTCACCTTCCCAACCCCTTGGGCACCTCCTAACGGCCCTCTTCCAAAGGGCAAGGCCCGGCCCGGGTCGTCTGAATATCCCTGGGGCGTTCAAAAAGGCGACAACAAGAGCGCCCCGAACTAGCTTGCTACGGCCGTGCCCCCTTCGCTAATAATAAAAGGAATGCCAGCCATCCAAGGGAAGGCCGGAGACACACACGCCCCCTCCCAGCAAGCGGTCTGCCAACACTCCCCCGCTCCCCGAGGCGGCTGCGTACAGGGCCCCGCTCCTCGGGGATGAAGGACACGCGTCTCGCGCCGCGTCAAGAACGTGTGAACGGAACAACCCCGGGCGAACGGGGGAGGGGTCTCGCGGCGGCACCCGACACCAACGCCCCCCCTCCCCGCCACCGTGGGAGGGGACCCGGGAAGCCGCTGGGCAGGCGGGCAAGGGGAAGGGTCGCTCTCGCGGCGCCGGGGCCGCCCGGCCGCCCCCCCCCCCACGCCCCACAGCCGGGGAGGCCGCCGGGCCGAGCCGCCCCCGCGGCCGAGGCGGGGAGAGGGGCCGCCGCCTCCTGCGCTGCCGCTCACCCAGAAAATGAGGTTGAGGAAGAGGAGGACGGTCTTGGAGGAGGTGATCCCGCACTGCCCCATGGCCGCCGCCGCGTCGTCGTCGTCGTCTTCGTCGTCGCTGCTGCCGCCGGCGGTGCCGCTGCCGAGGCCGCTACGGCTCTCCCCGCCCAGCTCCGGCTTCCACCGCCGCCGAGCCAGCAGGCCTGCGCCGCGCGGACTCCTCCCCCGGCGAGAGGAGCGGCAGGCAGGGAGGCAGGGCCCAGAGCACCTAAGATGGCCGCCCCTCGCGTCACGTGGGCGGCGGGGGCGCGGGCGGGGGCGCGGGCGGGGGCGGAGGGAGGGCCTCTAAGATGGCGGCGCGGCCCGAGGAGGGAGCTGCGCACGCGCAAACGCCTCGGGCCTCGCCGCCGCCGCGCGGGCGGAGCCTCCGCGCGCGTGACGGCGCTGACGCGCGGCGCGGGGCGGGGCGAGCGGGGGCGGGGCTTGTGCCGCCCGCGAGGGGCGCCTGGTCCGCGGGGAGGAAAGGCGGTGGCTGCTGGCTTGGTCCGCGGGCGAGGCGAGGATGCCGATCCGTTCACACGACGGCCGTGCGACGCGGAGAAGTGCCCCCGCTGGTTCAGTCCCGCATGCGGGAAGCGGAGGCGGGGTTTGATCCATGGGCGAGTCGCGGGGAGAAGTGTGCGTGTGAACGGTGTACACGCGTCTGGCGCACACGTGCAGCGGAGCCAGGTGGCGGGATGCGCTGTGACGTCCCTTCGGGAGGGCGTAGCCACGTGGCGGCGAGAGGACCTTCCGCAAGCCTTCGCCCCCAGCCGGGCTTGGACGCCGTGGTTTCAGCTCTGTGTTGGTTCTTTGCTCGTCAGAACAGAACAAAAGCCGTCCTCGACCCGGCCCGAGGCCCATGCAGTCCAGCATCTCATGCATACGGTGGAAAACCAGCTGCCCACGGGATCCCTCCTGCAGGATGGGTGCAAGCCCAGGCTCCCCTGCAACTGGCGCATGTGCATGCAGGGCATCCCCTTGAAGGAGGAAGCCCGCAGCCATCGACTAGTAGCCACGGAGCGCCTCCTTCCTCGTCCCCCAGTCCCCCCCCCCCGCCCCGGCTTCTCCACTCCTTCACTGCCCCATCCGAATTTAGCCAGTGTTGCCTCCCGGCTGCATGCCCCGGTTCTCCTTTTCACATTAAAAATTGTAATGCAAACCGAAAGCCAGCGCTCCGCCATTTCTCTGTTTTAAGGGAGTTTCTCTTCTCCAAAGGGTCCTTCCCAAGCTTCTGTGAAAGATATTAGGAGGCAGAGCCCCCGAAGGAGGGCCTTCTCTGTGGTGGTGCCCCATCTCTCGAATGCGCTCCCCAGGGAGGTCCGCCTGGCGCCGTCATTATATGTTTTTTGGCACCAGGCGAAGACCTTTTTATTTGATCAACCTTTTAATAAGTTTTACTATTGTATTTTTACCCTTATATTTTAACTGCAGCCAGAGTGGGTCGATAATTTATTTATGTTTGGGGATATTTGTATTTTATCTTTGTAAGCCGTCCTGAGACTTTTGCAAAGGATGGCATATAAATATCCTAAATACCGTATTTTTTGCTCTATAAGACACACTTTCCCCCCCTCAAACGTAAGGGGAAATGTCTGTGCGTCTTATAGAGCGAATGTGTGTGTGCAGCAAGTCTGTCAGATGTACAGCCCATGGGGAAGTGATGGGGAACGTGCCTGTGATTATGTGCCCATTTGATTCAGAATATTTTTTTTCTTGTTTTCCTCCTCTAAAAACTAGGTGCGTCTTATGGTCAGGCGCGTCTTATAGAGTGAAAAATACGGCAAGTTAATAAATATGTTAGAGGCAGATACGTGAGGGCAGCTAGGTGGGAGCAAAGCTAGTGAAAATCGGCATTTTTGCAGGGCAATCCATTCGGAGAACGCTTCTAGAAGAGCAGGAGGCAGCCCCTCCCAGCGTCCCTAACTAATGTTTAATACCTCTTACAGGCTCAGAGCAAGGGTGGAGAACTGATCAGATAAAATCCAGAGTCTTGACAGAGTTGCTGGGGCAGCTAAACAGACCCGGTGGCGCTGGCTGCCAAGAGCTTCACGGGCCCGGCCCGGCCTGCTCCAAGTTTTGCTTTACCGACATACAATCTGCATTTTCGCAGTTGCTGCTTTGTCTGTTTTCTCATCATCTTCCTTGCTTCTTGGGGGGGTGGGGGAAGCACACACGGTAAATTGTAAGCACAGCGATGGCTCATCAGATTGTGATGTGACAATATGAAACGTGAATGATCGGACAAGAGGAGGGATAAGTTGAAATCATGGGAATAATCATCCAATAATTATGGATGGGACATGGCCTTCTGGATGGACAGGAGAGCCTGCAGGAATGTTGTCCATGGGGTCGTGATGGGGCGTGCTGTCAAAGATATTTCGCATTACGGTGCTGCTGCTTCCTCACTTTATGTGTAGGATGTGTCAGCCATATCCTTCAAGGCATCTTTAGGGATAAGTACTATAAATATTTGCCATAAAATGAGGAGAGGGGAGAACTATTTATTATTTATTTATTTAGGGGACTTCCATGCCGCCCCATTCGCCGACGCCTCGGGGTGGCTCACAAACAGAAATAAATAACATCCTATAAAACAATATAATTTAACAGTATAAATTAAGTCGCCCTGGCCAAAGAATAAAATAAATAAATAATATTAACCATTCAAATAACGTTTGAATAAAGAGGTCTTCGCCTGGCGCCGAAAAACAAATAGCCATGAACGAGCCGTGTTAGTGCTACACTGCTAAGACCTTCTTCGTTTGCAGTGCTCTTTGCTTTAATAAAGTCTGTGACGGATCGTACTCCTAAGCAGAGGTGAAGGTTGTTTCTTCAGCAGAAATATTTGAATTAAAATAAATGCACTGCTCGTCATAAATGCATAGAAGGGCTTTTAAAATTCTGGAGACTGAGCCCCCAGAGGCTCTTGCATGACTTCAGACCTAGATGGCTCATTGTATGTAATAGAATACAAATATCGAGAATCTACAAATGTAAAGGAAAAAAAAGAAATCTGGCTTTGAATAAGACTAATGACCGTACCCCCAACGTTCAGTCTTTCAGCAGCAAAATCCACCATAGCTTTATATATTTCACAAATGCTGTTCTGTTCTTGTGTTGCTTCCCCAAGCTGGTGCTCTCCAGGTATGTTAAACTGAAAATCCCAGTGACCATGTTGGTCTGGGAGTGCTGGGAAGTGTAGTCCAGGGAGGCTGCTGAAATGTTGCATGTCCTTGATCCAATTTCTCAGCTTGCTCTTCGACTTGTCCTCCGGTTGGTCCTTGGCTGCTGGCTGGTTCATTAGTCCTGGATATTTAGTTCAGCCGTTGACTCAGCACTAAGGCAAGCAAAGTTTTCCTGCTGGGACTAATAACAGCTTGGGAGGAAGAAATATTTTAGGAAGGGCCCTGGAAGAGGAAAGCTCAGCCTGCCCTCAGACCCAGCCCTAATTCTGTTCTGCCTTCACCCAAGAGCAAAAATTAAAGAGCAACATTTGTTTTGGCACAGCGGTGCAAAGGGAAAAGAAATAAGGACAGAGCAGATGGTAGGATTGCTTAAGTCAGCAATCCTATATACAGTGGGGTTTAAATCTAAGGTAAGAATAGCCCTAGCAAGCTACTGCTGTTGCCGCTCCCGTTTTTAAAGGGGGCACTGTTATTTCCGGGTGCCATCTCCACTGGGAGATTAATTTTGCGTTTCAGGGAGTAATTTCCCTACTCTGCTTTGTCACTGGAGGGCCCCTGCAATCCGAAACGAGTGAAGAAAGCGCTCTCCCAAAAGGAGGATTCTCCCATTCTGGGTGTGATGCAAAGCAATGCATTAGATTAGTAGAGAAGGAAATCAGGCCAAGTTTTCCTTCCTGCTTTGCTTACCGCTATTAAAGGGGGCTTGACTGCGCTTGAGATGTCCCAAAGGGAATAATCCACTCATTGCCATTTACTGGATTATTCTCAGAGCACAAAGCGATGTGCTTAAATGCAATTTTATGCATTTGGGGAAAGCCAAATAGCTATAAGGAAAGAAAACTCTGCTATCAGCCTAGTTGTTTAATTAACATTTAGCACAAAGAGGATACATGCAAAGTATCTGAAAAGCCACATCCTTCAAGTAGTTCGCTGGCTCAAGCCCCCTCTGGGGCTGCAAATTAATGGAAGCCCCTCCCCTCTGAGAAGTACTTTAGATTCTCTCCTCTGCAGCTAAACGGGGAGGGAGAAGGGACCTCTGTGATGCTAAGGTGGCATTTGGGAGTGGAAGAGGAACATGATGTTCCCATTCTTGGTTTGCCTTGCCCTGCACCCTGTCTCCAGAAGGGGCAAGCAGATTTAGGCATGGCATCCAATGCAGTTTCCCACAGGATAAGGGTTGGGGCATCCGATGGAAGGCAGGAGGGGCAGAGAAGCTAGGAGAGCCTTTGTCCCCCTCAAAACCTTGAGGCAGCCAATTTTGGCCATACAAATACCCCCCACCCCACCCCCCCACACACACCTTTGGAGCCCAGCTGGAGTAGACAGAGCAAAGGGAAGGCCTCCTGAGTCCAGAGAGTTTTTCCAAGGACAGAGCAGGGGCTCAGGTCAGAGTCCCACACGGCGTCTGCAGACAATGTCAGGCCAAATTCCCTAAAATTCCAGCCCAGCCAAATACCCTCGCCATCAGGCACGGTCTTTGTCTGACACCTGAGCATCTCCTGCTAATTTCTGAGTTCTGGGGAGTTTACCTGAGTGACTATCCCATACCTTTATCTAACTTCTGATAAGATCGTGGGCCAGCTTCCTGTCATGACCTAACCCTAACGTAACACACCCTGCTCCTGATTTGCACCAGCCAAGTGTTCTCCTGCTGAATCACCACTCGGTTTCTTCTCAGCTGCCTCCTCCTCCCCTTAAGTCATTGCAGAGCAAGGGCAGATGCCAGTGGCCTATGTGAAGGCTGGGGCTGGGGAAGGGGTTTCGTCGGGACTTCAGCCTCAGAATCTCCACCAACAGCCTGGCCCGACCTTGTCTTTCAAAGAGCAGTTGCACAGCAGCCCTGCATATACTGCCCTCTGTGTATTCTATAGTACACATTCTCACTAATATTTAGCGTAACTCGGAGTGAGCTTGTTTCATCCAGCCTTCCGGCTAAATTAGCCCATTCCCATCTACGACGAGGGTTTTGCTATTTCTGCTTGAAGAAGCAGCTTTTGGCTTCATCTCAGTTCAGAGCAGTAGCGCCCATCCCTGTCCGGGATACAAGCGGCCTTGTGTAGATTCTGATTTAATTAATTCACTAGGCAATTTGATCTCCAAATTATTTCAATCCAAGCTTTCTGAATCAAATGATTCATGGTGAAAGAGGAATATTACAGTGTCCAGTCTTTAATTTAATCAGTTCCGACAGCTTTGAGCAGATATTATTGGATAATCTCCGATTATGAGCAACAGGAAGCTGGCATTTAATTCGGTGAGGGACAGCATAGTCATATTCAGAGTAGGGAGGAAGAATGTGAACCTTAGTGAAGGTTTGAGATAGCAAAAGAACGTGGCATCCGATTAGCAATTCATGAGCAGCCCAAAGCCACACAAAGCCCAGTCCTTCAGGTAGTACATTTCCTGGAGACATTTGCATGTTCAAATAGGCTTTTTGCCACACAGTGGCATTCAGCTGGTATTGAAAGATGATGCTCGGAACGATTGACGGCAAAAGGAGAAGGGGACGGCAGAGGATGCGGTGGCTGGATGGGGTCACTGGGGCAATAGGTGTGGGCTTGGGTGGACTCTGAGGATGGTGGAGGACAGGAAGCCTGGAGGAATGTTGCCCGTGGGGTCGCGATGGGTCGGGCACGACTTTGTGACTAATCAAAAACATTGCAAGACATGCTGCCTCCGATACTGGATGGTCTCTACATGAGTTCGTCGAATCGTATTTTACAGCCTTCCAAATCGGTGGTCCTTACTGCAACTTATGTTCACCCATTGCTTGATTTAATTAAGCAGTGGACGAAGAAAGCTTTTGTCTGCCCCAGATCTCCCACCGTTGCACTCCGTGGGATGACACCCAAGGCCTCATGATGGGAAGGCAGAATTCCAGTCCCAAAACAAGCGGTGCCAGCCTGTCGGCTGCTACCTGCCCATAACAAAGACCTCAGGCAAAGAGAAAGGTGCAAGCCAGCAACCTGAAGCTCCTCTAAGCTGCCAGGCGGACTTTACTTGGCAGGGATTTCCATAAGTGGGGCTCGGTCACCAGGAGGGTTCTTACTGCACTGAAAGAGACCTTTGGGTCCCTCTGCAAGGCAGACCAATGAACTGCTGGTGGCACCTCTGGACCTCCATGCAGAGTCCATCTTCTTGGTGTGGCTGCCGTGGACGTCACATGGTTCCCGAAATGGCCACTTCTCCCCTCTTTTGTGGGACTTGCCAAAGCTCTGTCAATATGGAAAGCATTGCGTATTACTGGAGAGTCCCCAGGGGATAGTGGCTTACCTGAAAGTTTGTACCAACTTCTTTATGATGGCCACTTATTTGCAGCTCCTTTCTCCTTTGGGCTGCCTAGAAAGGATTTCAGGCTTTTCAGAAGAGCTGAGATCGGGGTTATTTGCCTTCCAAAAATATTGGCCCCCAATGAGACCTTGCCACTGATTTTTATTTATTTATATTGCGATTTATATCCTGCCTTTTTCCTACAAAGGGCTCAAGGCAGCTTACATCATTCTGCTCCTCCATCTTATCCCCACAACAACAACCCTGTGAGGTAGGCTGGGCTGAGCGTCTGTGACTGGCCCAAAGCCACCCAGTGGGCTCCACGGCTGAGCGGGGACTCGAACCCGGATCGCCTGAGCCCCAGTCCCGTGCTCTTCACCATGACACCACCCTGGCTCTCCAATTTTTAAGGTTGACTACCTGCTCAATTGTGCCCATGTTTTCCCTTGTAACAACATACGTACCGTCTGGACTTGGAGCAGTGACAGCCACCCTGGATACCTACTAAGGATTTAGGAGCGAGCGCCCCAAATTGAATTTCAGTGAAGAAAACAGCCTGGGGGAAGCACCAGAATGAATTGCACCTTGGTTTGGCTTGGGAAAAGAAGACTTTCATCTTTCGCCTTTGTTTTCGCCCGAACTTGCCTGTGTGCAGGGAGTGACCCAGAGCAAAATGAAAAGTGATCATCAAGCATTGCTAGAATTAGGTCAGTATGATTAAAGAAATACCCATTATCTTATCTGTTTCCATTCATCCTGTGAGCTTTGAGGAAATGGATTTAAAGAGATGTGAATGCAGCCTAGATGAAAATTAATTCTTAAAGAGACTGGCAGACAGGTGGCTCAATTATTGGACAGCTCCGTCGGTAGGGAATTAACTCTTTAACCCTTGCTGAAAAGAAACATTTGAGGGCAGCACAAGATAGTAAGAAAATGTAGTGTTTTATGAATGCAGGACCCAGGAAAGTATCTGCAGTGGAAAATCATCCTTCCAGAGAGCACCTTGCTCTGAACCATCAGAATTCACACTCTGAAGATGCATTTTAAAAGGGTTTCCCTTATTGGGGGCTTGAGCCTGGAAACCTCATTGGTTCAGTGGGCAGGGGTGGGAAGAACCAGCCTGGCGCTAAGGATTTGCAGGGAAGAATCAACACGTGCAGAAGGAGCTAAGTGATACCATCCTACAAACGTTTCCACTCCAGAGTATTAGCTAGGCAGGCAGATTTGCAAAATAAGCTTGCCTATAAGAGTCTGCCAGGATGCGGTATCTGTAAGAGGGACTCGTTATTTGTTTTTCGGCGCCAGGTGAAGACCTTTTTATTTAAACGTCATTTTAATTGTTAACAATATTTGCTTATTTATCTGGCCAGGGCGACTTCTTTTATATTTTTTATTTATTTTATATTGTTAATTTTAATTTTATATTGTTATTTTTGTATTTTATTGTATTTTATTGTGTTGTAAGCCGCCCCGAGGCTTCGGCAAGGGGCGGCATAGAAATGTTTTAATAAAATAAATAAATAATAAATAATTTCTGTATTGGACACTAGAGGGAGTGCAAGTACTGGCTTTTGTGAGCCAGACTTAATTCCCCCTTCCCTCCCACTTTGGAGGTTTAAAGAAAGAATAAGGTCACCTTTCCCATTGGCCTATTCTGCTCAGTGTTCCCTGCTCCACTGCTTCCAGGAGAGAAAGGTATTTTCCTGCCCCTCTAATAGAGTATTTTTAGCTAGAGATGCCAGAGACCAAACTGGGCTTTTCTCCAGATGGTACCCTTAATGAAACTGTCCCACTCAAGGTTAAGGAACAGAACTGAAGATCAAGAACATCAAAGACTAATAAAATGAAGAGCAATTCATTTGAACCTATCCAATGGTTAGGTTGGAGACCACATCTAGAAGGGTCTGGCATTCACATTTACAGACAAGAATTACAGCAACAAGGTTGTAATTGCAACTTTCAGAGCTGAAAGTGTTGCTCCAGTTGTTCCTATGAAGAATAAAAGGAGGTTTTCACAGCTGCTTTAATTTAAAAGACATTCGTGAAGATATTACAATCCCTTGTGAAAAAGGCACAAGACAAGGAGGCATTTAACTATAACTGAAAATGCACTTTCAAGGAGCTTTACTGACATAAACATCACCTCTGTACAAAGCTACCCAAGAGGAGATAATTGAAGGCAATGGCACGCTGGATTTTCAGTGTAATAAAACTAGTTTATTTACACAGTAACACGGATGCCACAGAGTACATGGAAAAGTACCACAGCAAATGTTAAGAGTGTAATGGCACTCCAATCACAAAGGAAGGCTAAGAGTTATAGCTATAAAAATGTGTAAATATAGATATGAAGCACCAAATACAGCAATGCAGTAAAGTCCAAATACAAAGCTTACCCAGGAGAATGGAATCTTACAAAAGATTACTTCTCACCTTTAGGCATTTGTAAAGAAACACCATGTAAAACTACATCTGTGCAGGAGCTTCAGACTTCTTAATAAAACAAAAGGATCTTTCCTGACACTTAAAATGTTCAGCATTACTTTAAAGAAATATCCCCCAGGGTGAAAGCTATACAACTTTCTGAGCCAGACTAAGTTCAGGTTAACAAATTGTATGCTTGAAGTGGTATTTTGGAAAGCGGTCCTCAACAGAAACACTGATACACACCAACTTTCTTGCTGGGAGACAATCTTGCTCTAGAGTTTATCCTACAGTCGTCTGTTACAAACCCTTGGAATGCGATGCATACTTTATGAATTTTTAAAATTCAATCAAATAGTATATATATTATATAAATGACATATAATATATATACAAGGAATAAAGAACAAAGGGCAATGTGAACAATGCCTGTAGTTCAATAAAATTCATTTATAAAAATATGGACAAGTATTTGTTTCTTCACTATCAAAATATTTCATGGTTTTCTGAACAGGAAAATCATGGGGTTGGAAGGCGGTATTAATGCGAGTAAGGTCAACTCTCTAGTACAAGCAACTTGGCAATTTTGTGAACCACCATCTGCTCTCCCTTGCCAAAACAAGACAAAACCGCAGCCAAGAGCTTTCCAGCCAGGATATGGAGTAGCAAAGACCCCGAGGAGGTTTCCTTAGGAGTGGATAATTTTCAATTCGTTTCCCAGGCATAAATGCTGCAGTCAAACTGAAACCAAGAGCTTCCAGCACATTTCAGTCCACACAGGATTGCGATGACTGTCAGCTACTTGTTTTGTATGTTTTTCGAAAGACACTCCGGTAACCAGCAATTATCCCCCAAAGATAGACAGAAACAGGCAGAAAGAGGGGCCTTTAGCTAAGTTGCCATGATCTCACAGGATGAATATTCCTCAAGAATTCCACTGTAAAGTTTATTTTGTTTATATAAATAGCTTGCAGAAGGCAAGTCCAGCAGGAAGAGTGTATGTTGAAGGAATGAATGAAAACGGCTGGCGCCCCCAGGGAATACAGCGCAATCCCCCCCACCGTCCAGGGAAAATTTTGCCCCCATTGCTATGTTGTCCCTAAATAGTGCTCTTTCCTTCCCATGCTCCAGGAGTAAAGAACAACCACACATTTATACTTGAGGAACCTGTTCCATGCCCCTGGAAATCCCAGCCTCTTGGACGCAACGCTGCTTCTGCAGTCACCATTGTGGTTTCTTTGTCATACTAGAACATGTTGGAGGTGGGCTTTAGATAGAAAATTTTTCTGTTATGGAACAGAAAGTCCTGCTGGCTCAGGGTATTTTTTTCCCTGAACCCTGATCAAAGTTTGTTGTATGTCTTGTATGTCAGATTGTTTCCCAGAGTCTGATTGATGGACTGCTGCTGATTCCTACTTTGGTTTTAGGATGGAAGTGATTTTTAGCCAAGGCAGCAGTAAAAACCTCAAACTTACTGCACAGTTATGGAATTCAGGATGGGAATATAATAATCATGAATCACTTTAGAAAGAAACAGGAACTTTCAGTCCTTGACAAATATTAAAAGATGGAGAATTCAATAGTGCTTTAAGGGTTTCAAGAGTTCCCCTTCAAAAATCTCTTCCAAAGAAACATCTCCTTAATTTTATTAGATGATTACATAAGGCTGGCAATCTGGCACAATTAAGAAATCATCTTTTAAAAGTGAAAGCATTAAGGTTAATGCCCCAAATCAAACAATGCATTTGTTCATTGCTGGAGCCGGGGGTCAGACTAGATGGCCTGAGAGCCCCCTTCTGACTCGCTCTGTTTCTATGTTTCTTTCCTGGCTGAATTTGCAAAACAGATTTGTAAAAGAAAATGGGAGCTCTGGAATAAGACAGGCTTGAACCACCACACCGGTTTTCTCATGTTGCCTTAAAAATAAACTTGCTGTTGCTACTCGGCCGAGAATTAATAAGTGAATCCTAGTAGCTAAGATGGTACTAGCGGCTGGAGTTTTCACTAACATGGCTCCTCCTCACTCATTCACTGACATTATCCCATATTATACAGTTTTTATGAAAAAAAATGGTTTATATCGGTCTTCTACCAACACAGGTGACTTGTTCATTTTTTCAAAACCCTGAATGGCTTTCACTGGAAGAAAATTGCCACTTTCCCTAACATTCATGCTTTCCATGTGTTCTGTTTTTTTCCACCACTGCATAGACTGAGCACAGTTCTCAACAGCGTTTGTAACAAGACCTGCGTGAGGTTTGTGCACACGGTTTGTCTTGTCCATTGCGTCTGAAAAAGATTGTCAAAGCAACAGGCTTTCCAAATCCTTTGCTGTGTAGATGGTTACTTCAACACAGCTTGTTTCTTACTCTGTGCAAGTTGCAGATTTAGAAAATAACTCCTATCATTTTGTTATTTTGGCTTTTCACTAATATCAAAGGAGCCACAGGATGTCCATGACCATACAATGCTTGGGTTAAGTTGCCCACTCAGCTTCAGATACACGCAAAATTTTATTTTATTTTACTTTTTTGATGTGGGCAATATATTTTTTTAAGCTGGTAGCAAGAGGCGGGTGATTCCCTCCTCCACAATAGCTTTAAATCTGTGACAAGGCACTGTTGTTGCTGCAATTATTCATTGACCCAGATGGCCACCCCAGAAAAGATTAATGACACTAAAAGTTCCAGGAAGTACACATTCAAAGACTTTAGCCTAACGGATTTTCCCAGAGATTGTTTGCTATTAAGAAATTGGCAGATATTGTACTAAAGTAAGTTGAACAGTAGCTTTCTGGAAGATACGTATTTACAACTATGGTGTGTATGCTTATGAAATATATATATATACACACACACACACACAGAGTATGGCTAAAGGGGAATCACAATCCTTTAAACTGTGGTGAGCCGCAACTAGAAATGTTAAATTATTTAAAATACAAACCCCTGAACCTTTAATTGTGTACTTAAGGTTCCACTCTTGACGCCTGCAGCAGGCAAGGGTAATATGCGTTCTCCATTTGTTTGGAAATTATAGTGTAACACCATTTGCCACTTGTTCTGGTATCAGGCCCAACGAGTAATTGAGGTTTCAGAAAGGTAGCCCAAGGCTCCATCAAGAATGGAAACTCTGGCTAAGGTGAATCTGTGTTTGTCCTTCTGTCTCTCCGACACACACACACACACACGCACACACACACGGATGGAGCACTCATGTTACTGTCCTTCATTATCAAAGTTCATCCTCTCCTGAACAATAAGGAGACGGCAGTGAGCACAAATTCACGTTTGCCTGGAGAGCACAACACGAATACTGGTTCAGAACGTATCTAAATCGGATCACAAAGGGAAAAGACAACCCACGGGGTTTTGGGATCGGCCGCACGACAGATGCGGGGTCATAAAACATTCAAGAGTCTGCTTTGCATGTGCTCGTCAACGCAGCAGTGACACAGCACACAACTCTTTGCACATCGTAATAGAGCAGGAGGCCTACCATGGTGGTCAGCAGTCGACGTGTTGTGAGGACTGACATGTTGGGGTAACTGAGAGTTTATGTGCACACAGGTATCGGAACGACACACACCAAGCTGGGGAAGAAGCGTGCCCTTTCCTCAGCCAGTGGCTGCAGGCAACCTGCACTCACATAGGTAATACGGCCCCCTCCCTTACCTGTGCGAAGCAGGGCTCCCCGTGATGTTTGGCAAGGTCCTCTAGAGGAAATAGCTGCTGGGTGTCTGTAGTGTGTACGGGGCAGAGCACTGGCACCAAATGCCCCTGCCACTGCCAGGGGCCTCGTGAACTGTGAGTGCACCTCGCCTTCTGGGCATTGGTGTGCTTGGCTCTCGGCGTGCCAGTCCAGTTGGACACTCCCATTTCGCACTCTTCTGTCAATTAATTTTGCCTGATCTTTCGCCAGCAACCAGTAGATATGGAAGCAAGACGTTCCAGATGTTAAGAAGCCATCACGTGTTCTACGCTGGGCTCAGGTTTCCGCCAGTTACAGGGAGGGGATCAGAGAGAAATCCACAGCCCAGGCAGAGCGGACTATGCTGAGCTCGTTCTTGCAGAGGTGCTTTCAGGTTCTGGTCCAAACATGCCTATGCTGTTCAAAGCGGGTATTTGTCTCCAAGGCTGAAGTAAACAGGTTAGTCACAGTTTAACACGGAGAGGGGAAATATCAACCGAGAGAAAAAGCACACATAATGTTGTGCATCTATGTGCCATGAAAAGAAAGAGGGCAGGTCTTACCTATGGTTAAGTTCGTTATGCAATGTAAACATTAACACAGCTTTTCATATAATACATCCAAAAATTGCACATATATCCGAGGAGGGGGAGGGGGAGGAGGAGGGGGAGGAGGAGGAGGAGAAGCGGGAGCGCAGGCTCAACACAAGAGCTATCCACATTCCAATAACCATCTCCATCTGTGGGAATTCCATACTGGACATTAGCCCCATCATTCCGGAGCTACTCAAACAAACCTCACCAAAACTGAGCAGAGGGATCAGGTGCAGAGGGCTGCAGGGTTTCCCCAAGAAAAGGCCAGTGAATGCCAGGGCAGGAAGCTGGCAGCAGGGTCTACAGGCAGACACGCTTTTGGGCGGCCGGCCCTGTTTATTTAGCACATCCTTGGTGCGCAGTGTCAGTCAACTGAACCACGTTGACAGAGTAACAGCAGGTAACAGGCGAGATATCTCAGCGCTGGTTGGTGAGAGCAGCTCCACAGCCAAATTATGCGTAGAGGAAGCCGGAGCAGGACGCTGCTGAGATGCATCTGCGGAAAGTGACTGCCTTCACGGCTAGACACACTGCATGTTCCCCTCCCTTCTTGTTCTGCCGCCCAGGAAAGAGTGCCTGCAGAAGGCCCATTTCCTGCTCATTTGTTACACGAAGTTGAGCTTCAAGAAACAGCGTCACCTGCCAGGACGCAGCCAGCTTTCACCTTGCTTGGCAAATGCCACACGAGGCTGCAGCGGGGTCACAGAGCGTCGGTGTTTGTGCCCTTGCTTTAGGACACACACCAGCCTGATGGGACACCAGCCATGGGGCAGAGAACATCTCTTGGCCTGCGCAGCTTGCATTTTCATGACTACGAGCTCCTTTCTGTTTGCGATCACGACTGGATGCTGCCACTTGCAGCCCAGGTGCACCACACAGAACGAACTGGACTCGCCTGGCCAATGACTTTCTTCCGATCATCCGCATCAGAAATAGTGGTTTCTTTATTAAAAATTTTCACACTTCCTTGTCTGGTCACACAGCCAGCTGTAAGAGGCGATGACCTCTCCTTTGCAGCCATGACAGGAACGAGAATTCCCCATCAAGATCCGTTTGCTCAGTGTTGGCAAGCTAGGTTTGCGTTCTGACTCTTGTGCACAGCGTGAGACGAGGGTTGGACAAAGAATTTGGGGGCATCTGAGTGAAAGCAGCAGCTCATACAGACTAATGTTGCTGCATGATTTTCACTATGCGACTGAGCGATTCTGTAGTGGCGAAGGCGAGATACTGGCAGCAAAACCAGTCCTCGAGGCCGACTTGACATTCCCTGTCCAAAGACTTTTCGGCAAACTTGATCATCATCAGCGTCCGTTTGATGTCCAGCCAGTTCTGCAGCACGGTCTCTTTCTGAGCTGGTCTGGAAGAGGCATTGAGAGTCTGGAACAAGTCCTCCCTGGGGCCCCAGAGCAAACCCTGGAGGACCCCCTTGGCCTCGGATATAAGGATCCGTTCGGATGGGTTGGGGTTTAGCAAGCAGTTGGCCAGCTGCTGAAGCCCCAGGGAGTAAAGTGAACGGCAGGGGATCTGGGGGAGGTCGGCGTGGGTGTACTCCTTCTCCTTCAGCTCTGGGTTTTCGTCGAAGGGGTTGGGCAGGTGCAGCATTTCGTAAATGAGGATGCCAGTCTGGAACTCATCACATTTCTTATACTGCGTGGCTGTGATGATCTCGGGAGCAAGGCGGGACTGGTCCCTCAGGACTTCCGGATCCACCATGTGGCTCTTTTGCTTGGCCTGGGAGAAATTGCTCACGATGAGCCTGGCGGGGCAGGCAGCACCGGGGTTGGGCTCCACCGGCTCATGATTCAGAAGGCTTCCCCCGGGTTTGTAGTCCACCAACAAAAGATTCTCCAGACGCAGATCACAGTGTGTGATGTGATAGGGCTTCAGGTGCTCGAGGCCAGAGCACAACTGTAAGAGCAGCAGACACACCTGTCTCTCGTACAAATCGGGGCTGTCGGCATGGCGATCCGAAGAGGCCCGCACGAAATCGGCCACCGTGAGATATGGAACCTCTCGCGTGATGACGACGACCCTGCTGCGCTGCTTGCTGAGCGTTCCCTGCAGGCTGGGGCTGTCTTTCTGCTGAACCTCCATTGCAAAAGAGCTTTCTTTGTCCTCCCGCTCCCCGTCTTCCTGCTCCGCTTCCTCTTCCTCAGGTGAATTGGCATCCTCCCATGGCAGCAGGCGGACTGGCACATCAGCCAGGAAGTGACCGCAGTCCTGCTGGATGTTAAAATGGATAGCTAAGCTCTGGCGGATAGCCAGACTGTGGTAATACTGCTGGGATTCTTTCGCTTTGCTCTTACAAATCTAAGAGGAGGAAAGAAAAACAGGGCAAAGATCAGTTTTAAATAAAACAATGCAAACCTGTCGCCTTGGCTAGAGTCGCCCATTCTGGAGAGAGAAAAAGAAAATAGAAATCAATGAAAAACAGAACAGAGCAACCAAAGCCTGGCCCATGATGAAGCGAGTTTCAACAGTAAGAAATGGCTGCGTGAAAAAGGGACACAAACGTATCTTAAGACCCACCACAGGAACGTGTTTCAGACAGTATTTACATTTTGCTGATGCTGCCGGAGCTAAGGGGCCGGTGCTCTTATGAGCTAGCCTCTTTCTTACAAAGTTCAGAGGGACAAGAGGAAAAGGCACTTCAGTTTAACAGAGCTAAATTCATTCCTAGGTCGACTCTGGACGAAACAAACATGGAGCAGAGGCACGAGGGCGTGGACAGAAGCTTCCCACTGCCCCAGTCACTGCAGAGCTGAAGGAATATAGTGAGCCATCGCGCACCGAACGAGTCGGAAGGTCTGAGTTGGCACCGAGGGCAGGGGCTTCGGCCCAGCGCTGTGTGCCATGCAGTCAAGTATCACGTGACCCTTTGGCACACACTGCAAGAACCCCCTCCTTTTAAATGAAACTGGAAACTGATTTAAGGTAGTTCTCCAGCGCATGTACATGCCTCAAACAAGAAGGCCCGCATTAAATGCACGGCTCTGCCACAAGTTCAAAGACTCAGTTTCTCATCTTTAAAATGGAAATGCTCGCCTACATGGCAGGATTCTTGTATGAAACAGGGAAGTGCTGGCGGCATTAAATATTAACAGCGATCGACCGCTTTGAACACACAAGATTAAGTTATATTATAGAACAGATACAAGTCCCGTGTTGAATACAAGAAAGGAAGTGAATATTTAGCATGATTTCTAGTCAACTTGATGTGAATTTGTTATAATTATTTTGATAATCTTTACATATTCCCCAATGCCCATCCATTAACTGTGGGGTCTAAACTGAAGTCCTGTATTATTTTTTCTGCGATACTCAAATTGTCTGAGCAGAGGAAAGGCATCATGCCTGTTATGAATGAGAAGGAACTTTATTTCCTTCGACAAGCTGATCAAACTTTCCTCCTTGAAAAGTTAAATGCATTGTAAAGAACTGTAACATCTCCAGGTACAGTATTTTAATGCCCAACCAGTCTCTAAGTGTGCATTTACCTGTTCCTTTGAACTGCTCCAGGAAAAAGGGGGTACTATATGAAAGCTCTCAAAGCAGAGAACATAACAGGCTAAGTTTCCCTCCCCCACTTAATTACCTGGAATTATAAATCAGTAATAATGACCGACCTCATTTCATACCTGATAGCATGGTTTTAACTCCAGATATTAAGTCTGTCAATTCAACAGGTTGCCAGGCAACCAAATTGCCTGCAGATTCAGTTCAACTGACTGGCATTTTTGACTGCAGCCTGAGCTCAGCTCTGGAACAGCAAAGGAACCACCTGCCCATCAACAGACATGAGGGAGCAGATTTTGAAAAACACTGTATGACAGCTTCGAATAGGAGTGTACTATGTCTGTAGTGTCCCTCCAAAGCATGGAGAAAATATTGAGCCAGCTCCACAGGCCACAAAAGGAGAAATGCAAGAAAAAGGTAACAAGACAAGGAGACGGGACAAAATGAGCGAGGACTAGCTGGGGGTCTTGGGAAAGGAAAACGAAGCAGGCAGCAAGGGCCCGAGCAAAGTTGGAAGCAGATGGCCTAGGAGGAGAACTGAGGATGCAAGAATCAAGAGGGGGAAAGGTGGAAACGCTCACGACGCAGCTTTCATTTCATTCTGCTGTTTATGGTCAATATGAGTAGATGACGGGTCAATACGGCCTGTGCATTCCACGCTTCGACACCACTCAGGGTGATTTGAATTGACCCACAAGGGACGGATTTCTTCATATTTAATGCAAGGCCCAGTGCGTTTCCTTAGCCCTGGAAGAATCCTGAACCACCGCAGGAGCCGTTTCGTTTTGGAACAGCATTTGAGAGTAAAGATGTGGAATCAAGGGAGCGCTGCAGACAGCAATCATGTGCTGCATCCGAAACAGGAAGTGATTAGGAGGGCACAAAGGGCTCTCGGCTGATGTATGTCGATTGTATGCTACACTGGCAAACCACACGTGTGTGCCAGGGCACAGGCAAGCAGTCAATGCGAAAAGCAGGGTCCCTGGCCCCATGCTCAAAGTCCACACGTGCGCCTCTGTGCCGGTTGGGGGACGGAGGACAACCATGACCCCGTTTCCTTCCCTCTGCTCCCCACCCCCGTCTTCACTCCGCCTATCAGTGGGTTCCCGCGCTCACTGGGGAAAAGAGCCCTCGTTGTAGGGCTCTGGTATGGCTCGAATGCCACCCCACTTCCTGCCGTGCCCCTCACTGGATTCAGGACGCATGCGAGGATAACCGGGCAACTCACACAGATGAGACCGGTCTGCGTGGAGGCACCGTGAGGCCGGCCTGGGCGGTTTGAACGCACGGAGAGGCCTGGAGTTAAAATGGTCATGTGAAGCGGGTGCCCCTGGATTGTGGAGAGCTCTTTTCCTAGAAACCTGCAAAAACTGCGCAGCCCTCCTTCTAGAAAAGCGGCAAGTCTTTTTTATTTGGGCAGCATTTTGGTGATCTCAACTGTTTGTTGATTAAAACAATTCATTGTTTTGGCACAAGGCAGAATAAACGGCACGGCAATGCCTGCTCAGGGAAGAGTTCAAATGGCATCTCCGGGAGGCAAGTTTTCCCAAATGCAGGATGTGTCTGTCGTAGCACGCTTCCACGCCAGACGGTGAAAACTGCTTTTGTGCAAGGCACCAAAATGAAAGATGCGGTAGCACTGGTGGCCACCTACGAAGCCCATTTCATCTTTCTGCAAGGGATCACGCCGTGTATTCGTATTTTAATCTGACAGGGAGGCAGTGATATCGGGAGTCATCTTTGCACGATGGAAAGAGCAACATAAAGGATGCTAATTCCTCATGTTCTGCACCAGGGGTGGAGCGAAGTGGCACCCGGGGGCACGCTGGTGCCATCGAAGAGCGCAAAGTGTGGCTACTGAAATCTGCCGTATCGCAGGCCCTCCGTTTCCGCCACTCTCGTCCCTTTGCTCCTGGATGGATTCCTTTCCTCCCACCAGAGTAGTTGTCCTGTTACCCCTTTCCTCGTGCCCCATCCCAACCCAACCTTTCCTCCCCATTGCTGTGGCCACACTTTTTCCTTTCTTTTCCTCTGCTGCTGTAACTCCCGCAGACTGGGAGGCTCAGTCACGGAGGAGGAGACGGGGAGGAAAGCATTAAGGTGGTATTATGGGTGGGCAGGGGGTAGGAGAAAGGAGGCAGGGAGCAGGGAAACACAGGGAACAGCAAGTGGGGGAGAAGGAAGAGGAAAGGGGAGAGAGAGGAGGAGGAGGAAGACAGAGAAGCAAGAGGAAGAAGGTGTGCCCCTTTGCTCCAAAAGTAATGTTCACTGGGTCTTGCAAACACATTTTAAATGTAAAATATGCCTGCATGCCAAAAAAGCTGCTTGACCCCGTCCTGCATTGGCTACTGGGGAAACCTGAGGGACCTTAATCAATAAATCTGTTAACTGTTCTTAAACACATTAATGAACCCTCAGTGTGGAAGAAAAATCCACAAATAAATGAAATACATCAAGTTCAAACGTAAGAGTGGATCTGCATCCAAATTCCCATTTCAGCCCTTTACTTTGCATTTCTGATTAATTCAAAATGAAAACATTGGTTGTGCTCATGCCAATGTAAGCAAGAACTTTTGGCTTATGTTGATTTTCTGTGAATGAACTGCATGCTGATAAAGCAAGTCTGTAGCATCCCACTGAGTGAGCGAAAAAATAAACAAAAATGTCATGTCTGTGTTATGTTAGTGTTATGTCCAAACCTGGTTTGTTTCTTCCAAGTAACCAGGACTGCAAGTTGGCAGTAAGTTAGGTTGCTTCTCTTTTGGCCTCTGGTCTATGTTTGGGGAGCATTTAGGGAGTGAGTGAAAATGTGGAGTTATATGGTATATAGCCTTGGTTTTGAAAGTAAGTGTGGTTCATTCTATTTCTGTGAAGTAAACATAAGTTAAAGAAAAAAAATCTGCAATCAATTTCTTAAGGAATCAATTAAGCACGTTCTTACCAAGACCAAATAGCACTTCCAGTTAGCTCTGTTTGGCTTCAAGCTCCACCTCTGAATAGGTTGCTTGCGGTGTTTAATTCTTACAGCTTCGTAGGATCCTTGTATTTGTTCTGCCATTTGGATTTTTTTTAACCAGGCAGCACTGACTTATGGAATTACAGTACATTTGGGTAGCAGTTAAACTGGGCAATTAATTTTTGTTTTCAATGCATTAAATATTACTTTATAGTGTGTGTGTAGAGAGAGAGAGAATAGAAAAACAGCATTTTAACATAGATGGTTAAAATTTAGTTCAACCTATTTTTTCTTTATTAAGTGTCTGAAAATCTTAATATCCAATTATAATCTCCATAGCCAAGACATAGCATGGAACCAAATAGTATGGTAAATTTAAATAATGAACCTATTTTAAATAATGAACCTAATATGCAAGTGCTTACAAAAGCCCTTTAATGTGCACAAATTCCCTGTTTTGCATCTCTGTTTAGCCTAATCGTTTGTGGATAAGAAAAGACGCTAGTAAACTGTGGTTGGAGAACAATTCCTATGTCCAACTTTAGGTCAGGTTGTTAATCACCAGCTGAAGGACAATGGTTAAGCAATAATTTTCTTTCATTAAAATTGCCACTTTGATATGGCAGCTCTTGAGGCCACCTACCATCTTTCCTGGCAGTTTATAGCTGTGTTGCCCAAAAGAATCGCCCATTTTTCAAACTTCCTGGAACATATCATGCTGTTGCTATGATGACATCCATCTCGCATCCTTTTGCAAGAGGAGTCTAGGATAGAATCCCTTTCTTTGCATGCTGATTCTGTAGGTGCAGGGAAGCTTTTTATGTGGAAGTTTTGAGGCATTTGATCCTCCTTCTGCAGACTGAAACAGCACAGTACTGCAAGAACCACATCATGTGACTATCCCAAATCTATGCTTTTAGTTGGATGGTCTTGGGTTACTGATAAAATATGTTTTGTATATTTTCACCATATTTGTTTATAAATGATTGGTACTGAATTTTCTGCAAGACACTTGAAGTTTAAGAATATAGCATATACTTTTAAAAATAACTATATATGCAGAACAATGCATGCCACATTTTATATAAAGAGCAAAAGAATTGTGTCTTTCCACAAATAACTTATTCTAATAGCAGCATGCTAAATAGACAGAGATTCTTTTAAAGCCAAGATTTAGTACAACAGTGCTAGTAGCTGGTTGTCAAAGATTCGTTTTGTTTTTAAAGAGGAAAGTGTGGCCTTAACACTGAGGTTTTATTTATTCACTGCATTTCTCATGGTCACTGGAGAACATTTTGCCTGGAGGCGTCGGGAATGTGATGTGTGAGAAAGGGCTTATAGCATGAACCGAAAAATTGCTACAGCAGGAAAGACCTGTCTAGCACGGGACACACAAGCCATACGTTTGTGCGGGAATTCTGCTGTCCTGCGATGGTTGCTCAACTATGCTCCTACCTTGACTGCATAGCTGTTGAGAGGGTCCTTTGCGTAAGAAGCAGAGTAGTAGACGGCATCCCCGGCCTCGCAACACGGCCTGTCGCTTGTGAGCCGGAAGTCTGACCAGCTGTCCACCCCAAACCGCAGCTGATCCTTCAGCCCGGCCATGAACATGTCTTCGCACTTGGCAGACAGTTTCTTCAGGGAATCTGCATGAAGGCTTCTGATCTTGTTCACCACCTCCCCTCGGTTCTCAATGCCTCTATAAAGTGCGTGCCTCTGCGGCTTCTGGACAGCCTTGCCGCGACTGCTATGGCTGACAGGTCTACCTGGGAGAGACTCCGTGCTATTGGAACACCTGTCCTTAATACTGGTAACGGTTAGGCTGGAAACACTATTGGCTCCTGAGGAGATCGCCAGTTCTTTTTCCGGAGGCCGATCCAAGGAATCTCCCGACTCGTTGTCCACCGCCTTGAATTCCAAACTCACTGAAGAGGACGCGCTGCTTGCTTCCCAGTTGGTGTCGATGTCATAGGTGGGGTTGGCCATCCCACATGGGCCATTCCCAAGGGCCTGTTTCTGGAGGTCTTGTGGAAGAGGTTCGGTGTGAGCTCTTAGAATAGTTTTCTTTGGCAGTGGAGGTGGTGCTGGATGCCCAGCGGTGGCGGCTTCTGCATCGGCTATTCCCCCAAAAGCGATAGCATCATCCAAAGCTCCCTTTGCTTGCCGTGGTTGTTTTGGAGGTATCATAGCTGCCCGGGATTGGCCTAGGATAACGAGCAAGCATATCTGTGACTCAAAAAGACACACCTGTGCAACATATAAGTGCAGTTTCATTGAGAGAAGGAAGAAGAGCATGGTCATCTCATTTTATGTTTGAACAGAAAGTCAATCCTTTAGTGGGGAGATCAAAACATCGGACCAGTATTATTATACAATGAAAATAAGAAAACAGTTCCCAATTACATGCCAGGAATTGCCTTAAGCAGCTAAACAAAAGCTGTATTTATGAAAAATATAGGATGGGATGGGATATACAGTATAAATCAGAGATGAGGAATGTGCGGCTGCCCAGATTTTGTCGTTCCGCAGCTCCCACGGTCCTTCATCACTGACTATGCTGGATAGAGCTGATGGAAGATACACAAGGGCCACATGTTCCCCATCTCCAATGCCGCGATGCTCCAGCCACAATCTATTCAGCTGCACATTGGAAGTTCCCCAGCATTGCAGAACAGACGGAATCTTATATCAAAATGAAGTGATGATAGGAGTTCATTAAAAATTTCATACACTTCTATGGCATATACTTGCTTCGCTTCTTTTAGAGAAGTAATTTATTGAATTCATGGAAATGAATTCAATTATAATTTTATAATTGAATCAGGGCAGCTTCAGACCAGACCCACCCCACTCCACCCCACCCCAGAGATATTCTCTTATTCAGCTGAGAAATTTTCCTGTAACTGAGCAGTTTATGAGCTGAGCTCTTAACCCTGTGCATTGCTTTCATGCCTTGCAGGCCAGCCCTTTCAGGAAGCAAATATTTTTCTAAAGCAAGCAAGCACGCAAGCATGCAAGAATGCAAGCAAGCAAGCAGTTTTCTAAAATCTAAGCATGGGATCATTTAAACAGTGTCAAGAGAAAGACATTTTCAACAGAAATAATACCTTTTCTTCTTGATTATTTCTCAAATAAAGGGGAGAATGTTTAGTTTACACTTTTAAATATATGTACCATTAATGTGAATAATATTTCTCACTGTCCCTGCCGCAAGGACCCAGCAATCTAAAATTCCACACAAGGGAAATGAGATGCAAGAGGCAGAAGTTGTGGTAGGCATAAGCAAGAGAAGAAGGAGGGAATACACAAAACGCTTTAAAATTAAATTGACCATTTCAAATATTTGGGAAAGCACTGAAAACGCCATTGGTAAAATAATTTCCAAGCAGATTTCTGAAAATGATTTTTCGAACACTGAATGCATGACCTAGTCTGTGCCCATATGAACATCAAACCTTTTGATATGTTCCTAGAAAGTTTTCAAGTGAATATGGTCACTTAGCTAACACCCAACCCTATAGGAAGGAGGACTGTGGTTTATTTTTCGGTGCAGACGCATGGTGCTTACCCAAGTTGCTGTAGGTAGCACTGCAGGCACTCACGTCAGAAGAATCAGACATCTCTTCCCTTTCGTCTTCCCCTGGTGGCATTTCAGGAGGGGACAGTGGAGCAAAGTCTGCATGACTGCCATTGTCCTCCTTTTCAAATGCAGTTCTTGGAATCCGGGGGGACACATTTTCCGCTATGTGCTCATCAGGCACTTGACTAAAATAAAAAGAAGACAATCATTTACGAAGGCTATTATGCTTTTGAACCTTCAAGTGAAAGTCCACGTGGAACTCCAACAATGCAAATTCTTTAGAGAACTGCAGCCTTAACTGTAATGAACCAGGTCATGGAACAGAAGAGAAGATGCTTTGCTATTTTGGTTTTTCACACACACACACACACACACACACACACACACACACACGTAGGCATCTGTGCTTACCAATGTATGGACAGCAGACAGTATTTTACCATATGTATTACCACCTTTAAGTAACCGGTAAAAAACTAGGAATATTATTGTATATTGCAGAGGCAAGCATCGCAGCCTGCTATGACAAAATGCACGACCCGTTGAAGACAAAGCAATCTTCCTTGACTCCCAGAGTAGTTTCAGGCCCAGTAAAGGGAACTTTGGTCTCCTGCTCATCCAGCTACAATGGGCACTTCCCAATTTGCATAGGCCTAGAATGTGGACAGGACCCTTGGAGGCTTGCAACTTGTACGCTGGGCCCTTGTCCTTACTGGCTTATAAAAACAGCAGAGGTGGGGGTGGGACTGCATTGTAAGGGCACGGGTGAATGCCCCTTTATGGCAAGCGGTGGCTCAGAATTGCCTAAACGAGCCAGTGATAGGACCTTTGTTTAAGAACAACAACAACACCAGCATTGTTTGATGTCCAACTGGTCTCCAATCTTCCGTCCTTGGAAAAAAAGCAAAGCGGAAATGTCTGCGTGGGTGGAAGATGGGTTGGGAGGTTCTCTCTCATCCTGCCCACCAACAGGTGATCGGCAGCAAGGGGAGAGCTTAACGAGCGGCGCTGTAGGCGTCACATTGTGGAGCCCTGGAAGAGTAGCCAGACAGTGTTTATTACCAAGAATATGCAACACGTCACTGGGAGAGAAATGTTGAAACGGTTTCAGATTCCAGCAAAGAAAATTGGATTGAACACACTGGAGCTTCCGGGACTGGCACTTAGCACATTAGCCGATCCAAATTAATTTCATAAAATAGTAATCATATATTCAATGAACAAAAGCTTGCACTCTCATTCAATAAATCCCAAATACTAATGGCTTCAAATTATTGCTAGATGCAGGATCAGATGGGTGTGTGCATAGTTAATGCTGTATATATTTGAAGGCACACAACTGATTCCTCATGGATGAATGGAAAGGCAGGGTTTCACCACACAGGAAACTGCAGACTGGGAGGGGTTGATCAAAGGGCACAATGCAGTTCTGGAGCCGTCTGCAACATAAGGCTAGAGAAGTCCTTCATTTGCACTTCATGTCAGACCACATGTACATGTTGCTTCCATTTTCACACTGATGCGATTTTAAATGCTAACACAGAAGTCACGGACAAAAATTAGTAAACAGATAAAAAACTCAAGCTCCAAGACAGTGTCATTGGTCAGTATCGACAATTGCTTTATTAATACGCAATGGCACAGTGGAAACACAGCACCTTAAACACAGAAAAGGTATTAAAGGCTTTGGGTCATTTCACATGTTAGGAAAACCACACATCCAAAAATCAAAGCAGTGAGAAGTTGTCAATTCACTTTGGATCTGAAAGGTACGGAAGCTGACTTGTGTTTAACAAACCTCATTTGTTTTTCTCATCAGCCTTCCAACAGATAGCCGTTCCTTCAAAACAGCCTCCTCTGATAGTTGTGCTATTTTGAAACAAGAACTCCTGTTACAGGTAGTGTCTGTACTGCTTGCTCAAAAAAGGAATCATTCCTAGTCCCCTGCACATGTGAACCTCTTTTAAGTATACTTTTGAGGAGTACACTACCAAAGTAAATCAACAACCAAAAAGAAGGGAAGCAAAATGGAGAAAAGAAAAGCAACTCACCCACTGTACTCACTCACACAATTCCCCATTAAAGGAAACTCTTTCAGAGCCTTCTTGAGCCTTTTAATCATGTCTTGAAACTCTGGAGAAGCATTTATTCCACTGCGGTCTGGTGAGCTACAAGTTGTGCAAAGCCGTGAGCAAGAAAGACTGAAGGTCTGCCTGGAATGATACCATGTACTGCACCTTGATGTTTGCCTCTGGGGGATAGTCTGGGGAATGTGCCAAAACACCTTCAGAAAGCTAGGTTCAACACAGTTAAAGTCCTGCCCCCTTAACCCTCTCCTTGCTACTTCGTTTTAGATTTGTTTACTGGCTCATAGGATAAAGCCCTAAGGAGCAGGACTGCAAGTGTCCCACAGGCCCGCAGAAATCATATGCACTGACCTTCAAATACGATTACAAGACAAAACCGGGCCACTTGTCTATTTTAGAATTGGAGTGATGAGGTAGCAATCTTGATAGGAGGAGGAAACCTTTCCCTTTTGCTGCTCCCAGCAGTAAAGAACAAAAGGGAGAGGTTCTGAGAGCAGCAATCGAAAGACTCATATGGAATTACTCACTTCTGCTATTGTGCAATGCAAAGCCAGGTTTCTCTCATGTCCCATGAAAGAAACTGGCAGGGGAAAAGAAGCTCACTATCCATAACCAAGAATATTCCTCAAAGCAGTGAGAGTGCCTTACATCTCAAGAAGAACATGGGAAATTCAGGAGCATAAGCTTACTCTGAGGTTGCTCTTGGCTTTTACGGTGCTTCCAGACATGGAAAATTACATTCAAGAGCTTGACACGGATCTTTCAGTGCCATTATCTTAGCTTGGTAAACTGATAATGGCTCATCACATGTAGACTACAAGGTTTTCTTGCTGAAGCAATGCTATGGGCACACAAGAACACATAGGCCAGAAAGAGAATGAACGCACCGAGCATGTCCTTCAAAATTCTGCGACCTCTTTCTTAGCTTACGTGCAACTCCATCTAAAATTGGTACGGCAGCACAGAGGTCACTGCTCTGAACTTGGAGGATCAATTTGAAAAATAGGTAAATGAAGAAGAAAGGCTTCTGTGGAGGCGAAAATGAGCAGGGTTACTACAAAATGAAGCCCATGTGTCCAGCTGTGTCACACAAAATTCTACACAGTCAAGGACAAAATGATGAAGTATGAGTGGGCTCCGCTACAGAGGTCAGACATGTGTAAAATAGATGCGATGGAGTGGGTTGCACTTGGGAATTTGAACCATACCCCGGGAGAGATGATCAGGACTAACAGAGGTTGTGAGCCTCCCCTGCCCGCCCGCCCCACCGTGGTCTTCCTTCCTGTAGTAGCGCTGAGATATCTTCCACCTCCAGCAATCCATTTATCGGTGGGCACACCTGCACTTGAAAGTGTTTCGCTTCTTTTGGGATTGTGAAAGCTGCGTGAAAGGCACTTTTCCTGGTCCTATTTGGACATCCAGGTTTGGGGAAAGCTGCCCATGATCACCCAATGTTTTAAAAATTAAAGATTGCCCCACTTCCCTTTGCTTGGAGCAGGACTGTTGAAGCATGGGTCGGATCCTTGCGATGCCACAAGGGATTAAACCTTGTGGAAAGGGGCGTTTCCCTCTTTTTGCCGCAAAATCCCTCGGTTTCTTTGGAGAGGTCCACTGTTCCAGGCCTCCTGTTCCCCAAATTGTTGACAGTGCCCCCTGTTGATAGCCAGGAAGCAGCTTTTTCTCTTTAAATCACAAGATGTCAGCGTTTTCTCTCAGGTTTTGCCGCATTCCGAGGTGCAATCCACTTGGATTAAATGGCAAAACTGAGGGGAGAGTTGGGCTTCCTAGTAAACTCCTAAAGCCACAGGAATCCTGCCTGGAAGGGGTAACTGAGGGGCAGTTCCCTCAAACACTTAACAGGCTCTTGGGGGTTTTTTGGATGGCGTCACAAGAGCACCCTTCCCCAAAGAGAAGGTTCTGCTGAAAAATGTGCTTTCCTCCCTCCCTCCCTCCCTCCCTCTCTCACTCACACACTTGAAAAGTTGAAAACTCTTAGCAGTAATTTAGGGTTACTGCATTGTGTCCATGCAGACACGTGATCACGTCAAATTGCAACTTTCGTCGTCCACTCCTAGCTATTTTGTTCAGGTTATTTTTTAAACTGTGAAGCGCAGAAGCCCAAACCCAACCCTTGAATGGTGGTTTTTGTGATCTTTGGGGAAAAAGTCAAGCTGCAGTTAGCACAGAATGGCTCACGGTGCCTGTGGAAAGTGGGGAGCCTTTCTCACGAAAAGGACCTTTTCAGTGAAACTTTAGCACAAGGATGTTGGAACCTCTTTCAGATGCAGGCTGAATTCTGCTTTGGAGAACATTTCAGCAGCCACATTCCACTGGCAGGCAAGGCCAAAGGCGAAAGAAATGCTCCAAACCCACCGAAGACACTGACAGATGTTTGTAAGGCATTGTACTGGAGCGTTCCCACCCAACCTGGGGAAGGACGCCTTTAGATTAGTATGTAACACACTCTCGATTTTCAGGTCAGAAGCAAAAAGGCAGAAACACCTCTGAGAAAAGATTAATGGCACTGAGCAAAGGCCACGAGAGAGAAATATTATAACTGAATATAGGCACCCTGCTGTCCTTCAAGATGAATCATCGTTTTTAAATTGGCATCCTTTAATGGACAACAAGGCACTCAAACCGGTCAGTCCTAGAGGAGATCACCCCTGACAGCTCTTCAGAAGGCCAGAAGCTGAAGATGAAACTCAAATACTTTGGCCACCTAATGAGAAGGAAGGACTCCCTGGAGAAGAGCCTAATGCTGGGAGCAATAGATGGCAAAAGAAGAAGGGGCGACAGAGAATGGGGTGGCTGGAAGGGGTCACTGGGGCAGTTGGTGTGAGCTTGAGTGAACTCCGGGGGATGGTGGAGGACAGGAAGGCCTGGAGGAGTGTTGTCCATGGGGTCGTGATGGGCTGGACACGACTTTGCGACTAACAACAACAACAACGGACAACAATGCCATCATTTTTCAAATACCTGGTGGGACTGTACTAAACAAGCAGTAACTGTACTGCGATTTGCTAATTTTTAAAATGTTGCATGATTATGGTTTTGCGAGTATTACATAAACAAACCTGCACTTGTGACAGGAATGGTCTCACAGAACCTTTTGCCTAGAATTCTAGAGAGCTGATGGAAATTGTGATATAATTATCTTTGAATATGGCACTTTGGGTGCTTCTGTTCGTCTAGATTTTGGTATGCGTTGAGAAGTATCTAGGAACTCTGTCGGGGATGAATGAGAACCCCTTCAATGTGAATACTTTATGCAAAGTGATTGTCTGTGAAGTTTGGAGTTGGCACTGGAACCAAGCAGCCGAGAATAAAGAGGAGGTGGCATGGATCAGGACGCTTGCGCAAGAATGACGATCAGCGCTGCTCGCGGAGAAATTGGAAAGGCCTTGGTTGGTGCCAAACTGAGCTCTCAATAAAGGTTGTGCTGACACAGCAGGCCATGCTGCAAGCAGCTAGTTAAACTGGATGCATTACATCACAGTGGTGAAACCTACATGAGGTTTCCATCCTGCTGACACCTGCCACTACAGAACAGACATACTTCTGATTACCAGAGTGTTATAATGAGACCATCTATGCCATTTAAAAACCTTAAAGCCCATTTGTTCTCTGCTGTTTTCCATAGACATCTGACAAACAGTTGTGGCTTTTTGTGAAATGGATTGTCAAGTACAGAATGAAGTGCTTTCTCAGGGAAAAGTTCTTGTATTCAGTTCAAATCATATTGGTGTGTGTGAGCGTCTGTTGAATGATGTTCATATTACTTGTAATTGCTCGCAATTACATCGGGGCAATTGGGCTTGTTGGCAAACTGCTTTATTACTGTTTGGCCCACTTCACATGGCTTTCAAGGCGATCAATATCTTAGCAACCCTTGGGGGATATTTCTCTTAAAATGATCAGTCTGAAACGACTATAACCGTTTCTAATATTAGGAACCCACTTAATCTTCTCTTTTGGCAATTACCTTGTAATGATCACAGGCAGCAATGATACCTGGTGTACAAGCTTGAGGTATGATTAGATGTATTACTGCACGGAAGAAGGGAGAACTTTAAGACCCTTTCCCTTTTCTAGGCTCGAAGAGAGCAGCACTCTCTTCTGATGCTTGCAAAAGTGAAAAGAATGTGGCCAGGACCTTTGCTTCTCTGTAACATGGAGCAAATGGGAATAGCGTGGCAATCCTGGAATGCCTTATTTGCACTTAATAAGAACGGCCATGAAAGGGCAGGACAGGAAAGCTGAACTTGGAGAACCTACCACCAGGATCCTAGATTCATAGGAGCTGCTAATTGCTGTGGCCAGTGATGGAGGACAAAGGAGAGGATCAGAAGCAGAAAGAGCAGTTCCAACTCGCCTCTACTTCTGCCTGTTAGAACAGCCAGATCCCTATTGCTCTAACAGAAATACTTATGCCTGAACCTATGGATGTTACTAGGGAGTGCTTCTATCAAGCCTATTCTCAAGTAATCACATACCAGATTGTGTCCCTAGGCTAACATCAAAAGCACGGCTGTCTGGGACTAAGCCCCACTGAACTTTGGTGTTGGTGTCGGTGTTGCTGTGTGCCATCAAGTTATCTGGAACTTGTGGCGGCCCTAGGAATGCCGCTAAACATGTCCTCTTCTTCACAGCCCTGTTCGTTTCTTGTAAAGCCAAGGCTGTGGTTTTCTTTATGGAGTCAGTCCATCTCATGTTTGATCTTGCTTTTCTTCTTTCGCCTTCAACATCCCCTAGCATGATTCTCTTCTCCAGGGAGTTTTGCTTTCTCATGATACACACCAAGTATGACAGCCTCAGTTTTGCCATTTTTGCTTCTAGGGGAAGTTCGGCCTTCGTTATTGAGCTTCAGAGTCTTGACTAAATGTGCATAAAATTGAGCTGACAGTTGCCCTGAAAGGAATGACCCATATCCACCCTCCTTAATCTGGGCAGTATCTGTGTCTCCCTTCAGGGGGTTCCCTCTCACACCTTATTAATAAGGAATTCCTCTATTTTGACAAAAGGACTCTGCTCTTTATACCAAAAAGGAGTAGTTTAAAGCTGTAGGAGTCTAGGTCAGGAAGTCCAAAAAGGACTATAGATGGAGTTGGGAGAAAGGAGCATCAGTTTGATTGTAATTTACTAACTCACTTTTTCACTACAGACCTCTAGTTTAGTTTATATATCCAGTTGAAAAGGGAAGCAAAACTGCATGGGAGCTAGAAGAGAGAAGCCCGTGTCATACAGTGCAAGTTCTTCAGCTGCAGATGTTTATTCCTTAAAATGACAGAGAGTTTGCAAGTGCCACGGGCACGATCAAATGACCTTTCCAGAGATGTCATAACCATAACTTTGAACTGCTCCAGCCTACTGTTATCACTTGCCACCACCTTTCCTAATCCACTGTAGGGTAAAAAATAAACAAACAAAATCTCAGTTTCCCCTGCTGATATGCCTTCAGGAAAACTGTCAATCTGATGTTTCATAATCCTATTTTATTTTATTTCTAGGCCATCGGTTTGATTTCTCAGCAAGCGCCGCAGCACTCACCGTTCTCAGACAAATGTCATGTTCCTTGATGGTTATCTTCATAGTTTTAGGCTTTCCAGCAAGTATTTAGAGTGAAGGTTTAAAATGTTTTCAATTTTCTATAATTTGTTACTTGGTCAAAAGAAGCCTAACACCATTTGATCTCCCGGATCAGATGAAATTAGGCTTCCTTTCAGGTACCAAACAATAGCCCAGTCTTTTTTCAGGTACCAGAAGATGCTGTTTTCCCCCCTAAACAAGTCAGGCCATGATTTTCCCGCTCGCTGTGCACACAGACAGCCGGGTTCAGAGGGGCTCTTGAGATAAATCCCCCCAGCATCTTATCCTCCTATCTGATAAGCATCCAGTAGGACATCCCACTTCGGTTCCTCACCTGCACCTGCACGCAGTCTAATCCTGGGCTCTGCGGTGAAAAGCCGTGTGCTGGGAGCCGAAGAACGAGCAGGCTGCTGCTTGCTTCACGGGAGGCATGCAATGGCACCAGCTCTGGAAATGCTCTGGTATGTTGCATGACACACAGCCTAGGAGCAGCCTGCCCGATGTGAGCCAAGAGGAGGCAGGCTTACGCTGCAGTTTTTGCTTTCCATGTACTGAAGGAGCAGGGCTATACCTTTAGGCGGTAAGCCGCTAGGGTGTATATACTGCAATTCTTCCAAAATCTACTGGATGCAGGTGTGAAAGCGCACAGCTTTAATAAATATACGGTGCCACTTTTAGCGGCATCTACATGTCTTATTTTGGGAGAAAGCAGGAAAGTGCCTGTAATATAGAATGCAAATAAATGAAGGCATTGTACTTTACCTGAGTGTTTCCTTTGGAGTTTGGAGTGATGAAAACTGGTCCTTCAGGGCTTCTGCTGACATATCTAGAGACTTCTCCTTCTCTCCTCTCTCCGCTGTCACAATTTCAACTGCTGGTTCCACCTCAGTCTTGGTTTCATCAGATCTTGCCTCCATCTTGGCTTGTTCACATTTAAACATAAAGACAATAGAAGGTTTCTCACTCGAATCCGTTTTTGATTCGCTGAACCAATTATGGCGCTGAACGGGAGGGGGCGGGAGCATATGAATTACAGTTCCATCGAGGCCCACCAGTTTCCCCTTCTCTCTCTCTCGATCGTCCTCATCCTCAGTCTTTCTGCGACGAAAAAAGCTCTTAAACGATATCCAGCGCTTGGGTTTTGCATCCACGGAACGTCTACCTTCTGAATGCATGACCGACTCGGCTTCCGTTGACCGGCTAGGACTCATAGGCTTGGTCCAATTGCTGAAGTGCCGTTGCAGCACTTTGCTCGCATGATACGGCGAAGACGTGGACCGGGGAGGCGGGAATGGGGGAGGCTGCTCAGTTTTGGGGCTTGCAGCATTCTGGGAAGTTGAGACTGGCTTTGCAGGCTGGACGACGGGTGACTTGGTTGGGATTTCCTTTGGCACCGTTTCCGTGGACTTGATCCCCTCAGCTTCAGGGTTAGACTGGGTTGTGAAGAGGGATTTGGGTCGCACTGGGGTGCTCTTACTCAGATCTGCATCAGGGGGGAGGGAATACAGTTCTTCAACACTGCAAGACTTCGGTCCAGTCTGATGGGCTTCTGGGGGAGACTGTGGAGGCTGGATGGAAGCGACAATCTGAGACAGTACCAAGCAGGCATTTTCCCGACTACCAGTAGAGATCTCCTGTGTATCTTCCACTTTGGCTGCAGACTCCTGAAGAGTCCTTTGTAATTTTGTTGGGGAGCTGTGGCCAGAACTTTTGGGTGAGGTCTGACCTTTACCAAGGCAGCTATTGAATTCCTGAACTTTCTGAGCCACTGAACCCAGTCTTCTCTCAGTGTTATTAGCTAACCCTTTCGTTTGGGAAAATTCAGATTTGTTAGCTAAGCTTTCAGATCCTGCGTTTTCTGTTTCTATTTCTTCATATGTGTGGCTGATGACGCTTGTGGTTTTATCTTTAACAGAGATATCTCCACTAGTTCCTAGAAAACTTTTGTAGATGGCCAAGTTGTCATATGCATTCGGATTTATGACAATAGGAACTTTGATTGCATTCTTAGAACTCCTAGCATAAGTTGGCTCATCATGAATAATAATTGGGAAGGGTGGCATGCCTGCATTGTTGTAACTATTGAATTTAATTTCAGACAAGTTAGGAGACTTAACAGGAATTGTTTTTGTAGAAATATTTGTTGATGTAGGTGAAGTAGGGGCAGATTTATGGACATTCTTCCTTACAGGAATAGAAGGTCCTGGCGTATTGGCAACTAGTTCCATCTTGGGGATCTTTTGTCGTGGGCTTGTACTGGAAGTCCAAACTTCTTGGTATCTGACTGCACTAGACTTTTTAAGGTTGGTATTTACTTGCCCAGAGGATACAGAATGAGGAGTCGCATTTGGATTTACAGTATCTGGTGAATTTGGGTTTGACAGGATACCTTTTGTATCTAAGCTTCTTGCTTGATTCTCTATACATTCATGGGTCATGACCGCGGATACATCCACTATGGTATATGGCTTGCACACAGGCTGTTCCATATTTACCACTCTATAAGGTCTTGCCTGTTCTTCCATGTGGATCAAATTGGGAACTGCAGCTTTGCCTGGGACGCCCGAAGGACTTTTACATTCTTGGTTATCACCTTGGACAGCAATCCTGCCATCCTTCTCTTCCAGCCTAAGGGCAAGCACTGCCTTATGAGTCTCCAAAGTTTTCATTGCATTTTGGGGACTTTTTTTGGCTGCTTTCAATGGCGGATCATCACAAGAACCCCGATATTCTTCCTCAACCAATTTTGTATCTTTAGGAGTGCTAGGAGACAATCCACCATTGCAGAGTCGTTGAGACGAACTGCTGGCTGTTCCAGAGCGAGACTCCTCCGTCAGAGATGAGTCAGGAGACATGGAATCGGAAGACATCATACTCTGTACGCTTTCTTGCCCATAGAGCATCACAGGGTCATCTCCGTAACCATTCAAAATTTCATCATAGCTATCATCATAATCTACTGCACAAAACCTTTGTAGAGATTTGTTCCTTAAAGGCACGGTGTTCCACTTTTTGTCAACACAAAACCGGACAGGTGAGAGAGTGTTAGCCCTAAAGTTAGCGAAGCGTGGTCGCCCCCTCATGCGGATCTCCATTGCTAATAGCTCCTCATCACTTTCGTCCCAGCTCTCGTGGTCTTCATGCATGCTGCCGAAGAGCAGATCATCCTCACTCTCATCTCCACTGGAGGATTCTGGGTAGCAGAAACGGCCTCCCTCGTTGCTTATCACATAAGGGCTTCCGCTCAGCACGACATGCTTATTTTGTGAATCTCTCATTCCATCCATCATGCAGCTCGGAGGAATCTTTCTTTCTAAAGACTTTTTGTAACGACTGTTTATTCTCCCCAAGAAAGCTTCCCTGGAATTAATTTCATTTCCTGTTAGAGAGGATGGGGCATCCAAGCCTGCAATTTCCTTTAAAACTTCCGTCAGTCCATTATTGTTACTTGGCGCTTTGCCGACTTCATCGCTATTCCCATAAGGTCTGTGAACATGGCTATAACCTTCATTTTCTTCTTCTTCGTTGTCGTCATCTTCATCGTTATTATTATTACTCAGTGGTTTTTTGTTCAGGATCGTCCTGTTTTGGTTCCATCCTGCAATAGCTGGCTTGTTTTCGCAAAGATCCTGTGAGGTGGCCTCCCCGCAGATGCCCTGTCCATCTACTGTCATCATGGTGGGTTTCACAGCTATCGTGGGTTTCTTTGCCACAGGTGGTCGAAAGTTCCCCGTATTCCTAGCACGTGGGTTGTTGTTGGAGGTTGCATTGATTTTCAGATTTGTATTTGAAACTGGAGATTTTTCAGTGGCTGGAGGCAACTGGTGTAGGTTTTTTGGTTTGAAGCAGTTTTTGCACTCACCGGGTTTCCATACATGTTCAGTGAAGGCATTGCAAGCAGACATTTTCTTAGGGCTAAGCACCAGATGTTCAGACGTTGTTCAGTGCATAGTAAAGTCATTCATCTGTTATCAATTTGCCTGTTTATCTCATCGGTATACTCACATACTGCTCATCCTATAAAAGAAAGAAGATAAAATGGATAAGAAACTACCCATCAGTGAGAGATCAATGTGTGCATTGCAACTTAGAACATACAACTTAGAACATTTTAATCTACTGAGTATCTGTTGATCCTGTTTACTTATTGTAACAAACACTATTTTCAGGTTAACCTACTTCACAAGGTTGTTGCATGGATAAAATGGATAGAGAGTGAACCCTGAATATCATTCTGAGGTGCTTGGAGGAATGGCAAGATAAAAACATGATAAATAACTAATTTGAAGCCATGCAACAGAAGGAATTCTCACTGTAAAGATGTTGCATAATTGTGGAAAACAATCTCTGGAAGAGAACAGGCTTGTGATGAAAGCAGGTTTCTCCGCAAGTACCCATTTGGTGTTGACATATAAATGTATCCTAGTTGCCCAGTGTAATTAGTAGCCCTCTATTAAGAAGTCTGCAAAGATTTTGCAGTTTTCCTATCAAGAATAAATTAGTAGTAGACTGTTGCAGCTGTTACATCATTTATATCTAATATAAGGTGCAAGACTAGGGGCCTAACATATTCAAAATGTCTGACACCCCCCCCCCACAGTACTATTTCTGATAATTGGCCTGCTTCTGTTAATCCCTCCATACCGTACAAACAGAATATCTTGTAGGAGGCAGTGGTGGGAGGATTTCTTTAAATGTAACTACGAAGAGTTCCATATGTCAAGCTTTTGTTTGAAGGACTCATGTGGTCTCAGTAATTTTCAGCCAGACAATTGCAATGGCCCATTTTTCAGTTGGTGATCACATGGTAAAAATTTCTAGGCCTATGTGGGAAACTGCTTGTATAAATGTTTCTCAAATGAAGCAAGCTCTAGGCAGTTGTTTCATGTGGTTACCCACACAGCAAGCTGCATGAATGCCTAGTCAATACAATATTTCAAAATTAACTGCAACCTATTTTGAAGTTACTAAACCCAAAGGGAAACAAACGTCAACTTGTACGCTTCTAGAATCCACCTCAAATTGTCTGAGAACCTAACATCTTTTTCCTTCTAATTAGTTTGAATGAATACAGATCTGAGCAGCAAAACATACTGTATAAAAGACATTGATTTAGGCAAAAGACTGTTCTGAGGTTGATTTAGTGGCTGCCTCCTCAGGCACAGCTATTATGCAATCAGCAAAACTCACTGTAGATTTACGACTACATTACTAAACATTCCACAAACTATAACAATATTTCCCCTAAAGAATAATGAGAGTTGCGTTTATCTCACTGTGGGATACTGTAAGTGGAGAACCTGGGGATCTGTCAATCTGCATAAACGCTACACCATGTCATGCATGGTGTGCCTGCTAAATTAAACAATTAAACAAGTGTCCCTGTTTAATTCTCACAGAAAAGAAGAGAGAACTCCCAAACACCAGATGGCGGTGTAGCACAATCAGAGAAATTTCTATTCCACTTGGCTCTGATATTTCACAGCATAGCACCTCACAATCTTCTCTAAGATAGTGCTAAAGCTTCCTCTTATGGGGTCTCCCGAATATAAGGGGCTGTTGTGAAAATGATGGCAATTCATGATGTGAGAGTACAGACTACACAGCCACACACTGTACTTCTTAAAAATAACACCTACAATTGTTTCCTCATATTAGGTAACATCAATGACTGAAGTGCTTAAGGTAACAATGGAAAGGATGAAAGAAACATGATTCTGACTATTTCCCAATTTCATGCAGGCAATATGCTAGTATCTGCAAGAAAGCTTCAAAGAAAAATGGTTTAAAATTCTGAGTTGCTTATACTACTTTCTCGGGTTTTATGAGAAAGCTCTTGCTCAGACATCCTTAGAAACACTATTTTCTGTTAATCCGATTATGGCAAAATGATGCCTTGCATTACACTCAAATTAAGGCAGAGTTTTAACAGCCTATGGCAGAGCACGCCTTTGCTCCATTACTTTTTCAGCTAAATATGATGCTGTTTAAGTTGCCCTAACTTTCATTTTTCTTGGCAGAAAGGTGGTATACAAATCTAATTAACCAAATAAAAATTAATACATTTCATTCAGTTCCAGCCTGCCCCAAGATATTGATACTCACAGCTTGTTTATTTCTTGGTGGCAGACTAACCTGAATGAGTTCAGAAGCAGGGAGCATCCAAAATTGGAATTAGTTTGGGTGCTCAATACTTCCTATAAGATTCCTTTTATTAGGTGCCCTACTTTCAAATAAAGTGCTAAAAGATTTTTTTTAAGAGCTTTGATTTTTATAGCAATAGTCAGATGAAATCCATATAAAGACTCAAATGAATTAAATAATCTGAAGTTTGTGTTAGAAAAAGAAAGAGAAATCGGTACTTGACATGCCAGTTTTGAACGTTTCCCTTTGATCATATATCTCGTTGCTAAAAGGGTAAAATAGTTACAGCAATAAATAACCCCAAGCAAGAGCAGAAAACAAGCTAATAGCAAACTAGAGGAAAATTTGGTTCTTTTGGGAATTCTCTTAAACTAGAGAATGTTCTCATATATCATCTTGAAAATGATCCATTGTAACACATTGTATTAAGACACAAATTATTAGGTAGACTGGAGGAAAAATTCAAATGAAATATTCTGCCATCAGATTATTAGATCTTCCAGATGTATTTGTGCAGATTTTTATTAACTTTAACCAAGTCTAACCATGTAGCCTTCTGAGGCAAGAGGGAGCTACAGCTTTGGATGCCAAGAGGTATGTGCCATTGCTAAGCTGGATCGACATTTTAATGTCTTCCTTTGACAATAAAGACATCAAAGCAAAAGACGGGAACAACATCTGCATTCTATCTGCAGGCATGCATGCATACACATACCCACACCCACCAGGCACTTGAAATCGCCACCTGCTTACACGCAACTTATGTTTGGTTCTCTTGCTATTATCAGTCTGTCTAATGAAAGAAATACATGCAGGATCCCTTTTCCTCTGTGCATTTAAAGGACTCTTTCTTTGTTCTGAATTTCAGGCTGGCAGGTTCCCTTCGGATGTGTGCTGGCTGAATCACAATGAAGACCTCCTACTTTATACCAACATAATCCAGTTAAAAGGAACTTAATTGTTGTGCACGATTCCCTGCAATTTCAACATTCTAAAAATGAATAGTCCCAGCAAGTACCAGATGGTGATATGCTCTAATTAATCAGGCCAACTCAATGAATGAGCCTATTAAAATGAATGCACCTATTAGACGTGTGTTTTCAAAGCATTCTGCTGCAAAATCTTCCCCTTAAACGAAGGCTTGATTCGTTTACCGAGCAGTGCAGGCACCTGCATGCTGGAGTCATTCGCCATGGCAATTCCATCAGCTCATCATCTGCTTTTATATCACTAGGCTCATCATGCCAAAGCACAACGTTGTTTTGTTTTGTTTTCCCCTTACACTGGGCATATCGGAAGTGCTTCCGTTCACCTGTTCAGGAGGAGCTTCCCAGGACCAGCCTACTCCAGGATGCTCTGCAGGCAGCCAACCCCAATTCTGACAGCTCTCTGCAGAACCAGCTAATCACCATTCACGGCAACAGGCGCTCTTGCAAGAGTGTGGCCTTCCATCAGCACGCCGGGCAGAAGGGAAACCAAACTATGCCTCAACGCGGTGCACGCAGAACATTATGAAATGATCAATTAAGATTGGCCCATTTGCATTCCGTAACAGCAAACACCACAGAGGGGGGCAAATAATAAAAAGACGCATCAATTTAAGCAGAACATCCTTCAGAAATCTTAATGTTTAATTTATACCTCATGCCTTTCATTATATGCCACATTTCAGCGCTATCAACACCTGCGTGTTACCCAGGGAAGCTTTGTGAAAACTGTTTTCTCTGCTTGCAGAAGCTGTTGAACTAAAAGGGTACTTGGTCTTCCCCAAATTGGATACATTTAGGCATTCTCCAAACGGCTTAAAATCCAAGAGAGTTAAGCTTAGATATTCCCAATATCTTTTAATGAAGAGAAAACGTCTGCATATATCACAAATCGGTCCAGAAACCTCTGACAGTAATAAGGATGGCATACAATTATGTATAAATGTATAATGTATAAAATTATGCCAGATGCTTTAAATTTCTATGACTAGGATAGTCAATACTTTGAATTTAAAATGTGTTATTTACACATACCATAAGTAACTAGCAAACATAAGACAGTTATATTGCCAAGGAAATCGGCATATAGTATATAAATCATGAAGAATCTCTGTTATATCTTTTGTTATAAAACAGAGTTTTAAAACATCCAATAAACTGGGAGTGAGAAAACCAGGTAATTATCATCAAAACAGTAAAAAAGAAAAGTGGAAGGTATACATCGCTAGTTTTGTTTTGTTTTTTTTTAAGATTCGAGGCAGAGAACATACTTTCTATTGATAATATTCTGGACTAAATCCTTGGCATCCACGGTTAAAAGACTGTGGGAAACTGTGGCAAAATTAGGACGGAGCAAATATTTCAGTATAAGGCAACGCTGCATATTTAAGAGCATCTCTTCTTGCAAGAGAAAGAAAGGAGAGAGACAGAGGAGCAAAGGTCCCCACCCCCTGAGAGCAGAGCTTAAGGCAGTTTGAAAGGCTTGTTGCAAACCTTGTTTACACTTATCCCCCTTTGCCTCAGATACACAAGTTGCAGGTTTCTGCGCAGTTCTAAAAAACCTGCAAAACCTGTTTGAACAAAAGGTATAATTAGGTGAGATGTATCCAGACACGGGGACGGATACCTCTCTCAAACAACTTTTATTTATCTTTTTTAAAATAACTTTAGGGTGCCTTTCAGAGAAGGAGCTCTTGCAAGGTGGTTTACAACAATACGGATAAAATGTCAAACCATCCAATAATAAAGAGCAGCAGCAAAAACACTTTCAGCTCTGAAGAGCCATTCCAGAAAAGCAGCTCTACTGCTGTTGCAAGAGCACTCACTCGACAGGTTTTGTGGCAGATTTAAGCCTACCCTGCTGTCTCAAGCGTATTTTCTTCAATT